TCCAGATTGGCTGCATAATAAAGATGAGTGGCCTAGTCAACCAGATATCGTGGAGACACCTGACACACTGTGTGAAAATTTGCCCAGGAAAGAAAGGCAATTGTTTGCCAAGGAACAGATAAGGAAGCCAGATCACTTAGGTACATTGTTGGAGAAATTTTCTTACTGGAAGACATTACGAATTACGGCCTTTGTGATGAGATTCATAGCAAAATGCAGAGGCAGAAGAATTCAAGAGCCGATGTTGACAGCAGAAGAGATCAATTCAGCAGATACATATTGGATGAAAAGGTCTCAGGCATCTGAAGAACTCAAGTCTGACATTGCTCTGGAAATTGATGAAAGTGGGGTGTGGAGATGCAATGGAAGAATTCCAGGATACAATCCGATATTCTTGCCAAAAAATAACAGATTGGTAGCCTCACTTATACAGCAAAGCCACGAGAAGACGCTTCATGGGGGAGTTTCAATGACGTTGAGTGACATGAGGAAAAGATACTGGGTTCCTAAACTCCGATCACAAGTGAAGAAGATTGTACATCAATGCAACCGCTGCAAGAGACACAGAGTTAAGCCCTTGCCAAGTCCAGGAAAATCCATGTTGCCAGAGTTTAGAGCCCAACTCAGTCAGCCTTTTGCATTCACGGGAGTGGACTTCGCTGGACCGATCATATACAAGATCAAGAAGTCAACATTTGGGAAGTCATATGTAGCCTTGTTCACGTGTGCAAGTACAAGAGCCGTGCATCTGAAGCTTTGTAAAGATATGTCCGCACTAGAATTCAAGAGAACGATGAAAGAGTTTGTTGCTAGAAGAGGACTTCCACAAGTAATGGTGAGTGACAATGGAAGAACATTCGTTGCAACAAATAAATGGTTGAAGACATTGGTGAAAAATGAAGATCTGATGAATTTTTTGGCAGTTCGAAGGATCAAGTGGAAGTTCAACCTTTCTCGTGCAGCCTGGTGGGGAGGTTTTTTCGAACGACTGGTAGGAATTATGAAAAGAAGCCTCTCGAAAACAATTGGCAGGAAACTCCTCACCTTTCCCGAGCTGGAAGAAGTCCTACTTGATGTCGAGTGCACAATGAACAACCGACCATTATGTTATCAGGGAGAAGAGTTTGAGCATCAAGTTATCACACCGAATATTCTACTGAGAGGAAAACCTGAAGTGCTCTTGGAAGAAGACTTAGACAAACTGGCCCAAGGAACCCAGTTGACAAAACGAATCATATTTACAAGGAAAAGCAAAGAGCAACTACGAAAGAGATGGATCAGTGAGTATCTCTATGCCCTAGAAGAGAGAAAACGGCGATTCGGAGGAGGCGCAGATATTATTCCCAAAACAGGAGCAGTCGTTTTGTTGAAAGAAGACACCAAGAACAAGTCGCTGTGGAAACTTGGAAGAGTGATTGGAAGTATCCATGGCAGAGACGCAGTAGTTCGTGGACTGAAGTTGAAACTCGGGAATGGAAATATCGTGGAACGACCTCTTCAACTCGTTTGTGACATGGAGATAGGTGGAGAAGATGACGCAGCAGAATTGAACCCCAAGGCAAAGGAGTTTATTCCTGAAGGAAGACCAACGAGGAAGACGAAGACAGAAGCATTGAACCAAATCAAGGGAGTCGGATGTATGAAGACGAAGAAGACTGAACAATCAAACCTTAGTATATTTTAGTATAATATTAAAACTGTAGTCACATTTTAATAGGGGGAGGGTGTGGTGAATCCTAGACATTAGGTAATCACTAAAAGGACATTATTTCCTCAAGTATAATATTAGACATTACACACGCTGTCGTCAAACAGTGCTTTCTTTGTTTTGTATCCAACGCGACTAATTGCTTGTCTGACGCATTATAAATAACTTTGTTATGATTGTACGTTGTTTAACCTAGTTTTAGAAAATCACGTAATTTTTGTTGATGTTTTGACCTGGTTTCTATGACCAGGGTAATTAAAAAATTTGCTTAAATAGAGTGCAACTCTCAGTAAATTTCAGATAGGATTTGAGGTTGCCTCACATACGAATGTATTTTCTGTGAGCATAATCATCATAATCAGGACTATTTCTCGTGATATATTTAGTGTCACTGGGAGTTTCTACGCAAAAACAGGGCTTAGTACGAGACTACAGGAAATTCCCCACATCAATGCTGCTACGGCAGAAATGCCACTGCAGAGCAACTTTACTTCTAACATGTTACTTGACAGCTCTTTTGGGGAGGAAGAAGTTTCAATTGAAGTTGATAGGCCATATCTGACCCTCGATAAAGCCTGTTTTTCTGTGAGCCCTACGGTCATCTCTGTGAGGCATGGAGCTTCGAGTAGTTTGGAAAATCCTTTTGATAAGAGTTCTTCAGTCGACGTAACTCTTTGTCGGGGATTGAAAAGAAAACGAAACGAGCCGCTGGGTGACGTAACAAACAGATTAGGCTCCTTTCCTGGCCACAAAAGCGACTTGAATTCTCTAAAAAGTGCTCCAATTTTAGGTAATGATGGCAATGTAGATTGTTATAACCCGACTTTAAAGAAAATGAAACTTAGTAAGGATACAGAAAATTGCACCTTCTTCCCAAATGCTGTTGAAAACTCGCCTGTCGAGGAGAAAAGGTTTAAAGGTCTGAAAAAGTTGGGTAAACGGTTGAAAACAATGAAATCGAGGTTATTTAAAGGATTAAGAGATAATAAAAGAAGTAATGTGGTTTTCCCAATTAAAAAACAATTGAGAAACGTTAGATAACAACATTATTCTATTATGCAACTATTAGTGTGTAGTATGATTGCATTTGTGATCCTTAAATGATTTACATTGTTACTTAAATGTGATTTCTACAATGAAAAGTTAATGCATTGAAAATTCTGCTGTTATTTCTTGTTCAATCTCTGCAGCGATCATTATTCGCTTTTACTTTGTTGGTGAATATTCATTTTAGGACACTGAAACTGAAGATATCAATTCACCTTAAGATAACATAAGAGCTTGTCAGTCTAGAGAGCAACTGATTGATTCCTTACTTATTTTCAATAACTTATGCAAGACTTGCAATTTAAATATAAGATTACCTTTATATCACATTAGAGATTTCGAGCATTTACATTTAATGGGCAACAGAACTGCAATTACTACCAAATGCAACTAGTGTCTTACAAATCACCGACATACAAATTTTTGGTTTAGCAGCAGATCTTATTCTAACCTTAGCCTTTTTATTGGAGCTGGAATTCAAAATGTGGAGCTAAATATGAGATTTTGTGGAGCTGGACTTCATTTTTCATACAAACATTGGAGATTCATGCAAAACAATAAAGAAATGTTTCGTCCGTAAGGTCGACCGTACTAATCCTGGAAAGGTTTCTGCTTGCGAACGTGGGCCAAAGGTATCCGTAAATCTAGGAAGCAGCAGATAACAACAGAATTTCAACCAACACCCATGTCCACCGAGATGTGGTCAGAGGGGGCAAGTTGCATTTGGGCCTTAATGTCTAGAGGGCCTCATAACGTAATGCATACCATTTTAAGATTAGAATTAATCAAACACAAAAAATATGCCTAAAAAGCGATTACAAGAAATTGACTGCAAGGAACATTTTGAAATTTATTTCAAGCTAAGTTAAAGGAGTGGTTACAACAATTTTCATTGCAGCTTTTGAAACCCCTTGGTAGCTCTCTCAACACCTGTAACAAGTTGATCTACTACTATAAAAATATTTAGCCAATTGGTTTGCATTTGCACTGATAGAAACCTCCTGGCTTTAAAAAGTGAATAGCGCCAAGAAATGTTATGATGAATTGTGGAGATGGAAATTTTTTTTAGAATAACCTCTGCTTCACACACGAATGAGAGGCCATCCGGAATTCAATGTGGCGTCAAATTGCGTAGCACAATTACCAAAAGCCAAAAATATTTTCTCTTGCCACAATTACAAAGCCCAAAATATATTCTCTTGCCACAATTACAAAGCCAAGAATATTTCCCAAAAATGTTAAATTGTCGAAATGTAAGCTCTTGTAACTTAAAAACTATAGAAAACATTTGAAAACAAACAACAAATTCATAAACAAGAGGTTGATTTCTATAAAACGAACTAATTAAAGATGATTGAAAATCAAGGTCTAGTCAAAAACAGGTTGCAATGGCACCGGCCCCTCTCTGATTTTTGAAGAGGCCATCAGAATCTTTTTCGCTTGTCAGTAAACGTTAAAACGTAAAACTTGTCTTGTCAGAAAATGAAAAAGAGTCACCTTTTATTGCACGGTTTAGTGATTAATGCACTGTAATAATACATCATGACTAGGAGAGTGTATCTTTGTTTCAATTTCTATTTCTGCCATTTTTTAAGTACCTAGTATGTGATTATTTCCGCGAATGTGGCAGGTAAACTGTAACTGGCTAAATTCTGTCACATGACCGTTCTACAACAATAGTCGACCCAGGCCGATACAGACATTCATTTCAGCACCCTGGTCACGCCACTGAATGGAATGACGATAGATTTGTGGACTTGAGTTTGCGTCCACTACCAAGATTTAACAAATGGTGAATATGTATATAATTCTACAAAACATCAACCCGTCAATTGTCCTTAAAAAAGTTTCAATCTGTCCCAAGAACATCGAAAACTCTTCTCATAAATAAACGTTTGTATTGAGGATTGACCTTTTCAATAAAAACTGCATTGTTATATATACAAAGTGGGCGTGGTGGATGCAAAAAATTTTGGGGGGCTGGGTATGAGACTTCCCCGGATATCGTTGCTTCATCATTATAGAATTGCCCGAACGGAGCTTGAAGTGAGATAAATTAGGCCAGGTTAGTGGGCCTGCAGCCCTCGCAGCCCCTGTCTCATAAGCGTTTGTATAGAAACATTCGAGCTATTGAGCATATTATCAGATGTTTGAAATTTCCAGAAAATTGCCCAAGAATGTCAGAGGTTCAGAAAAACCCATAACACATCTTTGGTAGCCTATTTAATAAGGTTTCGTGAAGTTTCAGCGAATTTTGTTCAAATTTGCAAAAGTTGTATCGGTACAACGGAGTTTTTAAACTGTCCAGAAGGGATTCAGTATCTTGGTATGAGCAAAGTGCCTTGCCTACTTAATCACAGAAAAGTGAACTCTTGCATTAGCAAATCAGTGTGAACTTAGAAGAACAGAAGCACTGAGTCGTAGATAGTTATGTTCTGATTACATGAAATTACAAACATATAGTCTCTTATTGCATAAAAACCCATAAAATCACTTATGTTCCTAGCAATCAAATGTCCCAGTGTCTCCCAATTATACATCTACATGCACCTGCAGCCAATAATCAATTAGCTCGTCAACTCTTTCCTCGTATTCTAAAAACATTCCAAGAACTTTCCAACCAGTTTGTGACGTTAATAACAAATATTCGTTACCAGGATCCAAAGAGTATTGATAATTGCCCAAAGTAAGGGATTGTACCAGTCTCCCAATAACACAGTAATACAACACTTTCAATTCAAGATCTGTTAAGGGCTCCTTTGACAAATACCCGGACAGTACGAGGCCAGCATCCTTCAGACAGTCATTTGGCCTAAGCAAGCTCATGTAGGCCATACAAATTGCAATTTCAAATACACGAAACGAGTAAGTGACTTCACCAAAATCTATCAAACCAACAATCGTTGCTTTTGAGGCGATCGTTTTGGTGATTACATTGCTTTCATTGATGTCCGCGTGAATCGTTTGTTTGGGTAAATTCTCTGCGACTGAAAGGAAATTATCTTGAAACAACTGAAAACACTTCACGACCATACCATGGTTTTCCTTGTTCATTATGGCATCGAGATACTGCGGTGAATTCAGCCAAAGAAGGTTCTTCAAATCCCATATATCTCTTCTTGCAATAAGGATTGGATGGGTAAATCCCTGAAAAATAAAAAAATTGGTAAAACCTTACCAGCAAAATAAAACTTACATGAATAAGGCATTTGTATATTTGTACGATTCGCTATATGCGCCAAAGTCATATATCTAGTTCTCCCCTTGAAATTGCGTTTGATAGCAGCAGTTTAGAGCTTGAAGTTAACCTGGAGTAGTTTTGCCGATAGAAGAAATTACAGAGTCCATAAACAGGTAGCAAAAACATTATCCTTTTCTATGTCTTCTATGTGAGTAGCATAAAAATCAAAGCAACCATACTCGGGTCACAAACAACAAAAACATTGACATTATAATCTTACTAAACATATTGAGAAAAAGAGACTAACCTCTAATGCTTTGCATATTGTTGCAGCCAAATCTCCAACCTGAATAAGCAGTTTGTCTTCGATTTCAAAATCCTTCAGAGTCTTCCCTTCCACAAAAGAAAGTAACCTAAATTAAGGAACAAACAATGTTGATGTTGGTCATTGAAAATATTTGGACTTTTACGTTGCTTATTTGACAAACCATGTTTATTCATATACAGGGGTGTATCTAACGGGTATTCTGTTGAGGTGTGACACTCCTAAACTTTCATAAGCGGGTTGATAAAACCTTAGTTGGTCTCAGTAAGATCCTTTTTCAGTCAGCGAAATCGCCGGGCAAAGAAAACAATGGGAGAATTGATGACAATTTTATGTTTTTCTTGCTATGAATGATTTTAATTCTGAAAAAAGGTTTTTTAGGGTACTTTCCCGCGACTCCAAGTAATTCTTGCGGGGAGAAACCCTATGGGTCTGATGAGCAAAATACCCCTTTTTCATACACATTTTCAATATTCATTTAATTTTCATACCCTCAAAGCAAAATTTTCCATAATATATATAGATACACACAATGTCGTAAAAGAAGAAACAGAATCAAGAAAAAAGAGAGAAAGAAATAGGAAGAAAAAATGGTAAAACACAATTTTTGGTCCTTCTGAGCATGACGTTTGCTAAAATGTAATCAGCTTATCTGAAGAACTGCTCTTCGTCAGTTAAATCTAAAGCTTAGTGAAATTAGACGGAAATTGGAAAGCTCATACCTGATATAGTGTTTTATCACAACTTTGATTCCAGAGTTTCTACCAACAACAGCCTTCCACACGCTATCTCCTTCAATTTGCTTCTTAGCAATCTTTTCAGCAAAAGATGCATCCCGTTCAGCAATGTATTCTAATGGAACCTCAAGTTCTTTTGATTCTGCAAAATTTCCATTTCTACTTGAAACGTTGGTAGGAATGTTGTAAGGGCTGTTGCCTGCAAAAAAGGAGAAAATGTTGCAGAAAACATAAGAAGAAGCTCATAAGAAAATCCGTTTTAGAATTAGTGTCTCAAATCAGTTGGATTGGATTGACTCAAACATTTCCGCACTGCTCTATATTTAACAAAGCTCTTGCCTTTTCATCTGCACCCAACAGCTACTCAAGAATAAAGCTCAAGAATAAAACAAGGTTGAGCTGAGTTTTAAAAATTGTTGTCTCAATCATTTCCCAGCCGCCTGATGGGATGTGACACCAAAATCCAAACTAGGCTTCTGTTCATAGCAGTGTACATATCAATTAATCATTTTATCATTGCAACATCCAGCAGACAAGTTTACTCTTGCGCAACTTTCAAAATTTTGCTCTAACGGATCTTGAGTAGTAGCAGTTCTTCTTGACTGGGAACCATTTTTGGATCATTTTCTTAGAGGCTTATCTTGCTAATCTATTTTCATGGTAATTGTTACCTTCTTTGAATCGGAGTGTTAAAGAAAATTACGTGAAAAGAAGCAAGTATTTTCTAAAAGGGGCGTTTTCCGGCGTTCTAACAGGCATGGCCTCAAAACATTTTCAGTCCCACCTTCTCAGGCCACCCACTTTTAGACTGGTGCGCAGTATCGAGGCAAGATTGAAAGTTTCTTCAAAAGATTATAGTGTTCTTGTTTCAATATTTCCACGGGTTGTCCCCTAAGTCTTTCCTGTTTATTCTGATTTCCAAGTTTATGTTGTCGATCGATATATTTCATTTAGCATTCGATGACTGGTTGGGCTCACTTGAATATTTTGTAGATTAATCCAAAAGGTGTTTCTTTATTCTGATTTTGACGTCAAAGTTCGGCAAAAATATCTTTCATAGTCAATATAGCCTGTGTCAATTCAATATTGCTATCAACTCGTCGAGCCACCCCCACCACATCTCAACCCCACTTTGAATTTCTTGGCGCCGCCCTTGGACTGCATTGAAAGCTCAACATAGCAGTTCATTTTCACTCGATGTTACCTTATACCAAGGTCCGTTTAATGCTCGTGCAAACTTTACCACTGAAGCGATCCGTCACGCAAAAGGGATCACGACACGAGCCCAACTGCCAGGGCCTTTTTAACATACTAACTAATGGACAACTGCCCCTACAGCCTAAGAGCGTTTCCAATGTTTTAAACAATAGGCTATTTATATATCAACAAAGGCTTTTCCCCGCAGCTGATAACCCTTCGAACATGCTAAGGCGCTGGCCTGTTTGCCTGCGATATTTCTTATGCCTTGGCCAAACTGGGCAACATTGTTGCGCGACAATGTTGCTCAAAATTTTGTTGATTTTTTGCTGTCAAAACCCGGGGGGTACTCTAATTATGGCCTAACAAGGGGTCCAGTCAGGGCCAAAGGGGGCCAAGTCCAAATTGTTAAAAAATTTACCCTTAATTGTTGGTCTTCTTTGACAACAATTCTCAAGTGGTAGCATAAGAACGGGAATTATGTCATTGGTAGCATATATTTCTTTGTACGAGCCTGGTCCTGTTTTGACAAATTTCTTCGCCATTGACTATTGTTGCTTCAGAAAAGACAAAACATTGTTCATTGTCTATAAATAAATAGTAAGCTAAACTAAGCCGTTGTGTTATTATCGAAACTGGGCCATTTGATAGTCATTTGGTAATCGACTGGACCCTCAAATTGACTGGACACCCCTGTCAGGCATTAAAGGGAGTATCCCACCTGGGGTCAAAACGTTGTGGCCAAACTGGACAACATCGTCGTACAACATCTAATGCTGATGTTGTCACAACAGCGTGCCAAACTAGATCTTTTAAGTGGTTTTCTGCGCCATAATTGATCTGAGCACAAATTTGGATGGCAGAAAGAAAGCAAGCTGCAGCTACTGGAAGCTGATTTTGACATCACAACAACATTGTTGCCTAGCACACTCTGGCTGAGCACTCGTAGAAGCAGTAGCATTTGGCCGATTTGTTGTTGTCAAAGAACGTGCACTTGGACTTGTTTCAGACGATACCTTTTTATTCTTCCTAGCAGTGGCGTACCCAGGGCTGCAGCAGTAGGGGGGGTTTGGGGCGGAGCCCCCAGCATTCTTTGGACCACGCCCTTCAGTCACTCGCAAATGCGGGGAAACGCCCTTTTTGCAAAATTTCCCCCCATTATTTGTTTAATGTTAGTTACGGTAAATGGCAAAGTATTTTACAATTATTATTGTGTAAAACCATTGAGTTTATGAGGGTTTTACAGGCTTGTGTTCGCAGAATCGGCAGTAAAAGAAAGTACAAAATTCAATAAGCGTGTTCGTCTGATTTCTTGGCTCGGCGGTTTTTATAGTTTCATCTGATTCAACAACGACTAAACGGGTCACTTCGGCAAAACTGGTATGCTTCAAACTTCTCGAAATAACAACGTCTATCCGAACATCTGAATTCTGAAATCACGTCTAAACCTTGGCGACTAAATTCAAAAGCCAACAAATACAGAACAAAACAGAACAAAGGAGCTCACAAGACAAGATGTTACATGGAAATTTGCCAAGGTGCGAACGAAAGTCAAGCACGCAAATGAAATTCAAACAGCAAACAAGCAAAAGTCTTTTTACAATTGACACAAGCATACAGTATACTACATCCCCCTCCGCAACGAGTTTTACATCATTTTTGGACAAATCTCGAGGATCATATTTAAGAAAAAGGGGGGGGGGGGGGGGTCCGGACCAGTGTGTAGGTTTTCTTCCGACAAGATGAAATGTTAAAAGTTCATAGGCCCCCAAAAATAGGAACCGGTTTTATAATGACCAAATTCCTTGATATAGAGCTAATTATAAATAATATTTTGTTTTAAATCACCACAAGCAATCAGTGTCTGACAAACCAATTACCCCCAATTTTTGGGATTTGACCCCCTGTTTCTCGGAAACGCCCCCTCAAACACTTGATCAACATTGAAATTCGTAATTTACGCCCAAAACTACATCAGTAAAGGGTGGTGTGGTAAATTCTCCGCTCGGGTGACAATAGCCCCCCTCCAGCCTCGGGATTAATTCTGTACAATCAAATTCAAAGCAACAGCTAAGCAAACATTAATAGCTTATTTACCAAGGGCTTGCTGTATATGCTCCACAACGTCTATAGAAGCATCCAGAAAGTCTTTCGAATATGTTGTTTTGGAGCTCATTACTTTGAAAACGTATTTTCCAGTATTTTGAGTTGATTGATTCGCCTTTTGGGAATCCTTGGAAAATTGTTCTTTTCCATCATACCTTGTCAAGCTCACGCAAGAAGGCCCATTGTTGGCGATTCTCCCTCTCACATAGTAGTTTCTATCATCGTAGCTAGCTAGTTCTTTGATACACGATTCGTCTGTTACTGCCAGTCCGAAAACTTCTTGTATATATTTAGAAACAGCCTTGACATCAAGTAACGGTCGGAGTATAAACCAGCTATTCTCACAGTCGTTCATCTTCGAAATCCTAGCCTTTTGAATCGTGATTAGGCTTCAGCCTAATCAGTATGCTGAAACCACAATTGAATTTGGCCGGGCCAATGAGATATTGGCAATATCATATTACTCTATAGCTCGGCCCAGGGGCGGCTGGGAGTAAATTTTTTTGGTATTACTTTTTCAAACGTATGGAAGATGCATGAAAAAGGAAAATTAACAATTTCTTTAAGAAGGAATTTTGAACCTCCTCAGCTGGAGGGGTATAGGGGTTTTACAACACTCCCCCCCCCCAAATTTGGCCTAGCCATACGTTGGGGAAATATGCATATCTTCAATTGACTATAAACAACAAACAAAAAGTCACTAAAAAGACATCAATTGGTCCGATCAAAAGCAAATTATCAGTCAGTACAACATTTTTGTTAGCAACTAAGAACCTGAGCGAATGCTGAAAGTTTTAAGTTAATTGGCAATTTTAGTGCTGTATCTCCTAGAAAATAAATGCAGATACTTCCTTGCTCGCATATCAAAAAGAAATCTATGAAGAGCCTGATTTCCTGTTGGTCTTTTTAAACAAACTGGAGGGCTGTAACTTTTGTCTAAAGGGCTTGCGAGGGGTGAAATATTTGGCGGCCCCTTCGTCTGAGCCACCATGTGGGCCTGTTATTAGAAACACGATTGTAATAATGGAAACCGCTGCGTGGAAGCCCTCTGAACACATTCAAGGTTCAGTTCAGTTCATCATTCATTTTAAATGCCTTTACATAAGCAACTTGCAACATTTTGAATAGCTACAGTTTACAAATGTACAAATAAATTTGAAAGGATGCAGGCTAAAAATTTATTATAGAAAAATACATGACGAGATATATCTGGCACGGCCTTTCAGTTCGAGACGTTGCTAGTGAGTTAATTCCACCCGTTTCAAAATAATAACACTTTGAACACCCAGACGATGGTCATTCACTTGATCTTCCACAACACGATTCATTTTGAAACAGCTAACTTACAAGCAAAATCATAAAACAGCACTGGCAAAAGGTAAATGGCCGCGTTATTAGAATCCCAGAAGTAATAACGGGGCTGCTAGGCTCCTTTTATTTCAAGGACCAAGAACAATTGAATTTTACGTCATCGGTGAGTCCCGTGACAAAGACTTTGCTGTTTCCGTTATTAGAAACGCGAAAGTAATAATGAGACCGGGAGCCTCGAACTAGTTTTGAACGATTTGAAATACCATTGAAAAACATAATAGGCTTCCTGTGGTTAAGGATTAGCAGGTAATTATCATCCCCTTCAGATGAATAGAGGACAGATACCATATTATTTCTACGTCATTGGTTGTGTCTAGCAGACGAATGCATCAAACTGATAAAGACTTTGGAAAAAGTGTTATTACAGTAATAACAACACTGCCCGCCGCCCCTGGCTCGGCCATAGTCTATAGAAAAACCCTGGTCTGTAAGGCCGGCAAAGGTCAATGAAAATAAAGCACAAAACGTGTGCATGTTACGTGACAATAACCGTGCACACAAAATATCAAAACATGGAATAAGATGGCTTCTCGCAGTGAAAATCGCCGTTCTTCACGTCTTTTAAACAGATGTCCAGGCGTTGCAAATGCTTCGGACGAAGACTTGGATGCTTTTCTGGAAGCCCTAGAGTCGGAAGAAGAATTGCAGAACGTTTTGACAAAAAAGAAGCTGAGGCTGAGGTAATATCTTTTTCTTAGGGTTAGGCATGCATCGTGCATGTTGACTTCCTTTGAGTAAAAAATGGAGTGGTTTTCAATAGAATGTTTCTTTAGGACATGATGTTTGTTTCGCTCTGTGAATATGATGGTAAGATAAAAAACTGATGTAATTATACACAAAAGAATAAACTAAAGAAAATTAAGTTTTTTAGTGTTATAACATTTGCAAGTTAAGTTTTTCAATGGATGGGAGGTTAAAGGGTTGGCAGATTGGTGTATTTTGTTTATTACAAGAAGCTGGTTTTGAAAGCAGATTTTCATATATTGTTTCTTGATGGATCACATATCTTTCTTCAGCGCGGTAAGGCATATTTCAGTTTTTATCCGTCTTTCCATTGCGCAGGAAAATAACATCCTCATCAACAATATATATATTTTATGATATATATTTCTTGCTTTGATTTGATTGTTAGTAATGCAGAACTGGCGTGCATAAGCAAAACTATTGTTTTAAATCTTCTTAGAAGTATGATCAAACTTTACATTAGGGGGCGAGCCTTTTCGCATGCAAAAAATTTGATACAAAATTTTAAGGTTGATAAAAGCCAGATGAAAGCCAAAGCATTGCGAAAGGAAATCAGCAGATCAATGGAATCAAATACACAATAACAGAATTTACAATTGACACAACTTTTAGCTACATAAATTGTTTTATGCTTTAGTTAGTTTACGTTTTGGTGATTTTTCATTATCAACTTGATCCCATTTCTATTGTGATGCCCAGTAGCGGCGCCAAGGGGTGGTATGGGGGGGGGGGTAATTACCTCCCCACTTTTCTGAAAATATGGTCTATATATTTCTTCTAAAAATGGATTAAAAAGCGCTGGGTAGGGGTAGATCAAATTTCCCAAGGAAAGGAACGAATCACTGGAACGAGGCAAAAGGGGCGTGGTCATACTGGCCACGCCCATTACCCTCTCACTCTGTAATAGCTGGCGCCGCCACTGGTGATGCCTGGTGTTTGCCTCTGGAATTAACAGTAATTGAGACTGTTCTTTGGATTTGAAGGGCATTGTTATTGTATCCAAATGCATAAATATCTGGATTATCGTTTAGCCTACCTAGTTTTCGTTGACCACCAAAGTTAGCATATGTTCTCAGAAAAGAATTCTTACTTGCTTGTGTGCTGATTTTGTTTAATTCCAAGGCCTATTTTTCTATTTTCCCGCCAAATTTTGATTATACTTTTTCACCTATGTAGATGGCATAAGTAAGAATTAGGCCAATAATTTTAAACGACCGTTCGAATACTTTAAGGAGGGGAGTCTACTGTTTAAATATCTGGATATAAATCAACTGTCAATATGAAGTCATTATACTTGTTATTTTTTACTAAAAATGACAATTAATAGGGACGAAAAACCATCAAAATAGGGCCTAAAATCAATCAGATTGGGGGATGCAAGAAAAGGGTCATCGTGTTAGGGGCAATCTCCATGGCAAACAGGATAACGAGGTTAGAGCCTCGGTGCGCCTGGAAGAATTCTTTTTTATTTGTCTTATTCGTATTTGAATAATTGAAAATTTAACCTGATATGTATATGTTATCTAGTCTTCTAGTGATAGGTCTCTTGTAAACAACGCTTCTGCTTTAAAAGAATTCGGAATACGTGTGAGTCGGCAAGTCAACTTTTTTGAGCCCAAACGCAACATCAAGATACACAACACGTGTTTTTCATTTACGTTGTACAAAATGTTTATCAGAATGACTTCATTGTATCAGATGCAACTGTTGTATTGCAGGATGCCAATGTGATTCTAAGCCAGAATGAAATTTCCAGTCCTCTCTTTGCAAATTACGAGTTCTTCTTGCAGAATATGAGTGAGTATCAATGGATTGTCTTTTGATAGACAAACATACAATTGACAGTACTTACTTACTCAAAGATTTTTTTGTCATCAAAGAGATATAAGATCTCTTATTCCAAGAAATCAACGCTGCCTATGACAAGGAAGGAGAAAATTTCAAGACTGTAGAAGGACTTTTTGATGATAGTTTCGAATACGTCCCTAAACAAATAAGAGACCCAAAATACTACCATCCTAAAGCCTGATTTACACGAGACAAATTTTTCGCGCAAAGCGAATTTTTCGCCACGAATTTTTTAGCTGCGAATATTACAAAAGAATATAGCGACTGTCCGAAAAGTGCTTTTAACAGCAAGTTTAAAATTTTGAATTTATCAAAAAGCGATACTGGATGAGAAAAATTTATTCAGGACATCTTCAGAAGGGGGAATTCCATCTTTCGGTAAGAGAGGTTTACGTTTACATTTATAAGACCAGGATAACTTCTTCAAATACTTTCAAAGGTCGCTATCGAAGCTTGCACAAGCATGCGAGATCCTGTTAGTACATCTGCTTAAAACTGTTGCTCTTGAGCAGGCCATTTGAATAAATTCTTGCCTTTTTTCTTTCTGATATATTGGTAGAACGATGAAACTTTCAAGCCAGTTTTCGTAAATTTGAAATTCAAATGTTTGAATAATAATCTGATATGAATCCACTTTCATGGATTGTGTACAAGGAACAGGAAATGAATAATTACCAACCTATTTTATTGACGTTTTAAAGGCGAGAGCGTTTGAGAAAAGAATGCGGAAAGACGTGGGCCATCTGAAACCAAAACAGAAGTCAGGTGTCTTCCAATGCTGTTGTGATTGGTTTATTTTACAAGGCGAAAAATTTCGCAGCGAAAAAGTAGGAATGGTTTCAACTTTTTCGCAGCGAATTTTCTAATCTCTTCTTCTGCGCATATTTTTGGCGCATTCGCGGTGAAAAATTCGCTTCGCACGAAAAAATTCGTTTCGTGTAAATCAGGCTTAAGAAACGCAGCTCTGCTGTGGCTTATGATGCCACAAAAGGCAAAGAGCAATGTGCTGATGATAGTTTGGTGGAAACGCCAAAGGGGTCACATGCACCTGACCAAGTGACAAATGTAAAATATCAGGCTGTTTTGAATAGCATCGACGATGCTTGGGCAGAAATACCACTGCAGAGCAACTGCATTTCTTACATACCACAGCACTTTTGGAGAAAGTGAAGTTCTTATTGAATCTGAAAGGCCATTACCAACCAATAATGAAACCAGTCAATTTGTGTGCTCTGCAACTATTTTGAATGTAGCTACATGTGGCCAATTGACACCAGTTGATAAGAGTTACTCATTCAATGCAACTTTAAATAGGGGTTTAAAAAGAAAACGTGATGAGCCATTATGTGACGTAACAAACGGACTAAGCTCGTTCCCAGGCCACAGAAGCGACTTGAGTTCTCTAAAAACTGCTTCTTCACTTTGTTATGAAGGCAATGTAGATTGTCAAAATCAGACTTTGAAGAAAGTTAAACTGAGTAGGGAGGTAGAAAATGCTATCGCCTACCAAAATGCAGTCAAAAATGACTCTGTTGGGGAAAATAGGTTCAGAGTTTTAAAAAATGCTAGGTAGACGGTTGAAGGCAATGAAATCACGTTTAGTTAAAGACTTGAGAGGCGGTAAAAGAAGTAATAATGTGTTTCCAATTAGAAGCCAAACAAAAAATTCCGATAAACTCATCAAACTTAAAGAAAAGGGAAAAATTCTAATAATGTCGAAAAAGCTATAGAATTATATTATAACAATTAATTTTTATTTTTCATTGCTTTGTGGTATATTTTAAAGCTTAATTAATATCTGCAATAAAAGAGTTCATCTCTCCATAATTTTAGTTGTCCATATTGCGAGTGCTCTGCCAACCTGCCTCTCCCTAAATTTTAGAATCTTTCGTCTTATAATCGCTGTTAGTGCCTATTCTCTCCTCTCGATTCATCCGATTTTGTCAGAAGCGCAAGGATGCTCAGAACAATTTTCACATGATCAGAGAAACATAAAATATACGAAGTGAAATGTTCAAAACGGATTTATATATATATTAATCTGAAAAAATTACTGAATCAACAACAAAATCCTAAAAAGAAACTGTTGAAAAGAAGAGACCTTAAAAGGACACCAAACTCACACTTAATTTGCATTGCTCTTTATCGTCAGCTCTTTTGCTGAAGGAGAGTGTCTCCCAATTATACATCTACATGCACCTGCAGCCAATATTCAATCAGCTCGTCAACTCTTTCCTCGTATTCTAACAACATTCCAAGAACTTTCCAACCAGTTTGTGACGTTAATAACAAATATTCGTTACCAGGATCCAAAGAGTATTGATAATTGCCCATAGTAAGGGACTGTGCCAGTCTCCCAATAACACAGTAATATAACACTTTCAATTCAAGATCTGTTAAAGGCTCCTTTGACAAATACCCGGACAGTACGAGACCAGCATCCTTTAGGCAGTCATTTGGCCTAAGCAAGCTCATGTAGGCCATACATATTGCAATTTCAAATACACGAAACGAGTAAGTGACGTCACCAAAATCTATCAAACCAACAATCATTGCTTTTGAGTCAATATTTTCTGTTATTATATTGCCTTCGTTAATGTCCGAGTGAATCGTTTGTTTGGGTAAATTCTCTGCAACTGAGAGGACGTGCTCGTGAAACAGCTGAAAACACTTCATGACCATACAATGGTTTTCCTTGTTCTTTATGGCATCAAGGTACTGCGGTGAATTCAGCCAAAGAAAGTTCTTCAAATCCCATATATCTCTTTTTTCTTTAAGGCTTGGGCGGGTAAATCTCTAAAATATTAAAAAATGGTAGGGGTTTTTGGTTTGGCGTGGAGTTATTAGCAATATACAATATAAAATATACAATATACAATAAGTCAAGCTAAATAAAGCCATATTATTTGGTTGTTATCAGCTTACTTTAAGCAAGGTTTTCATGAATGTACGGTCGCTAAAACTGCTCATGAAATGCCGAAAGGAATTTGGTTGGTTCCGTGGATTAATTGGTTAGACCGAGCTAATAGAGTACAAAAGTGTGACGTAAGCAAAAATCTATTTTCAGAATTTCTTAGTTTTGACCACATAATCTGATGGAACACCATAGATACCTCTCAAGATGCAAAAGCAGATAAATATGTTCAAAATTGGGCGAGATATGGCCAATAAAAGATTTCAAGTTTGCTAACGGATTACTGTTATTCATAAAGTGATGACCCAAGACTGAATTACAATGGAAAGAGCCTGTGCTCATATGGCCATACATCAGCCAACTTGTAAAAACTTCAACTGATTTTGTATATTTTGAGGTATTTCATAATGCTTGTTAGTGTTATATTGTCAAAATTGAAAAAATTCTAAAAATAGATTTTTGTGTCGTCATCACGTTGGTACTCTATTGTGTCTTGATTGGTTTAGACCGAGCTACACCTTCTTGAAATGACACGTATGAAAGAATAGCACTTGAAGAGATGGGAAAGGCTTAATACAGAAATTATAACATTTAGCAGCGTCATCAGATTTTGCACAGATAATTTCTTGAAATGAACCGTTGTGTTGGCATCTTTGAAATGCTTACATACCCAGAAACCGCATTATCGTGTTTTCCCAGTGCCATGTACTTTGTGTATTTATAAATATACTCCCATTATTACCATACAAGCCCACAGTTCTATAACAGGCTCGCAAACACAGTTCGTAAACAACAAAACGTTAACATTATCTTACTAATCATATTGACAAAAAGAGACTAACCTCTAATGCTTTGCATACTGTTGCAGCCAAATCTCCAACCTGAATAAGCAGGTTGTCTTCGATTTCAAAATCCTTCAGAGTCTTCCCTTCCACGAAAGAAACTAGCCTAAATTGAAGTTTAAAAAAATTTAATGTTACCTATTGAAAGTATTGAAGCTTTGTGACCAAGGTTTCTCTATTCTTATAAAGGAGCAAATGTGACAGGGTTGTTTTCTTATATTCTAAGAAATTGATAGCAACAACAGCAACAATAAGATTGAACTTACAAGAATTGATTTGTAGGGTAGGAAAAAACTAAATAATGAGTTTACAAAATAAATTTAAGGTTAAAATAGCAGTTTATGATACTTGGATACTCCATGGAAAAATGGAGTACCTACATGGCCAAACATACATTCTAAGCAAAATTTTTTCTCTTATTAAAAAAAATATTTAATATGTCACTCAAAAAGAAGCAGAATTTTGAAAAAAAGAGAGAGAGAGAAAGAAAAAAATAGTAAAACACTATCCTGTGGTATCACTTTTTCGACATTTGCTGACATATAATGAAGTTAATATTTCTTGTCATAAATGTTCAGAAAACATTTCACTAAACCAGGTAGTAAGTCAGGTGTATCAAGATATGATTAACTCTCTCATCTGAAGAACTGCTCTTAACCAGTTAGTTCTAAAGCTTAGTGATATGAGACAGAAATTGGAAAGCTCATACCTGATATAGTGTTTTATCACAACTTTTATTTCAGAGTTTCTACCAACAACAGCCTTCCATACGCCATCTCCGTCAATTTGCTTCTTAGCAATCTTTTCAGCAAAAGATGCATCCCGTTCAGCAATGTATTCTAATGGAACCTCAAATTCTTTTAATTCTGCAAAATTTCCATTTCTACTTGAAATGTTGGTAGGAATGTTGTAAGGGCTGTTGCCTGCAAAAAAGGGGGAAATGTTACAGAAAAACATAAGAAGAAGCTCATAAGAAAATTCTCTTTTAGGATTAGTGCCTCATAGTGGTGGGTTTCCATGTCTTTAGCATAGTCCCAATGCCCTTTTTTTGCCAAAGTTATGGCAATTTCATCTGCACTCTACCCTGCCGCCTTAGCATTTTATTGAGAATGTGACATCTCTAAAATTACACAGAAATATTAGTCAATATTTTCTAAAATCCTGCTGACAAAGAAATTCAAGAATAATGAGTTTCCAACAGTACAGTGAATTTTATGTTTAACTGGTCTTTTGTTATTTAGTTTTTCTAAATGGGTAAATGCATTATTCCCAATGCAATTTTAAATTTTGGCTTTTCACAGGGTTTCATTATCAAAATTGTGGGCAACTGAACTATAGCCTTTTTGAAGGAAAATCAACTTGAATGGAGACATATTGATATAAAGAGGATGCTTTAAACAATGGCAGGTCACCAGGGCTGGATGGGCAACTGCCTCTTGTTTAGTACGACCTGAACTGGTTGGACTGTAAAGTGCCACCTTTTCCAATGAAACAATAGCAGTGGTAGCTTGTTGAAGGGCAAGTTGACTGCTGCCCTTCTAATGAAAAAATTTTTGGAAACTTTTTGAAAGAAATTATTTATATAATTTTGTTGTTTTTGCAAACCGTTAAACTGGCCTGCTTTTATCAATATCGATACCAGAACAAAAGGGGCAGAGGGAGCAGCTGCAACCAAGGTGCTCAGAAAGTTGATAAATTAGAAAAGTGCAAATCTGCAAAAAAATTATGAGTACCTCAAAAATTTCCTCTGAGAGTAAACAATATTCTGCTTCTGTCATTTTGTCACTTAAAAGATTTGTCTTCGACTAGACATTCTACATGAAGAATACTTTTAAAAGAAAAGAGTTGAAGCATAGAAAAGTGCTACAAAATTCCTGATAGTTTCAAAAGTTAAGTACAACAAATATAATTTGATGTTGCTTTAACTTAATTTGATGTAGGGTGTGGTAACAATAAATTCCTGGGGAGTACCTCAAAACCCACTCTTGTCTTGACTCACTTCCCTCTCCTACATCTTCATGCTGTCGATAAAAGCCTGCCCCCTTTGCCCCGTCATGCTTCCGGCATCCCTGTTTATCAATTGATACTTTTTTGTTGAGTACCACTCTGTGAAGGAACAGAAAATTAGCCAAAAACGTTATGTAACCAGGCTCAGCCGCCACCACCTATGACCAATGAAGAACCAGGCTCAGCCGCCACCACCTATGACCAAAATAAACTCTTAGTTATTGCGTTTAAGTTATTTCTTGCAAAACCCGTGGCCACATTTATAACAGCTGTAGCCTTTGGCCCAATATTTATGGTGGATCCATCAAAACATTGATGGAATGCAAATTTTGTTAACTTTGGAGGCATACTAACACAGATGAAATGACAGCATTTCAAAATTCATATCCTTCTCAACAATTTTTTAGGGGATCTAAGATTGAAAGATCTGACAGGGCTCCTTTGCACAGTGGGGCCATTGTAATCCCTTGGACCATTGTTTGACTACAAAATATCAGACTGACCCCTTTAAGTCAATGTGCCAAGTCTTCCCCCCCCCCCTAGGATGCCACCCTACAAAGCTAGGTGGGGGTGGTGCTGCAGGCAACTTCCATAAGCCACACCAAGGAAATCATTCAAACTATAGACCAAAACAAAAAGACTAGGTAGTTGCTCATTCATGAAAAATTTGAAGGATAACTAACAGTGGCCTTCACAGAATTCATTAAACCATGGTCGATGGCGGCTGAGCTATCCGAAATCTCTAAATTTTAACAAGGGGGCTAAGCCTCTGACACCCTCCACAGACCCCTGGTACCCTCCTCCTCAGGCGGAATGGCAGGATCTCGAGTGGGATCTCGAAACTCTTTTGACCTTCAGTCATAGCTTGAAAATATTTCCTCGGAATTTCCTTCAGTCAAAATCCCTTTCAGGTACTTTTTTGGCCATACCTTAGTCATCATATTGCTCAAATTTTTCTTTCCGCCAACCATGGTGGCCTTTCCTAAAACCCTTGATAACCTTGATTTTTAGCCCCTCCACTTTAAAATACGTTTCGCTGGCCCTGTGACATGAGGTATACGGTATAGACTGATACGATTCCTGGAGGTAAGATAAAGGATAGCAAGGTGAAAGGGAAAAGCAAACCCTTAAGTTTTAAAAACAGCAAACATTAATAACTTATTTACCAAGGGCTTGCTGTATATGCTCCACAACGTCTATAGAAGCATCCAGAAAGTCTTTCGAATATGTTGTTTTGGAGCTCATTACTTTAAAAACGTATTTTCCAGAATTTTGAGTTGACTGATTCGCCTTTTGGGAATCCTTGAAAAATTGTTCTTTTCCATCACACCTTGTCGCGCAAGAAGGCCCATTGTTGGCGATTCTCCCTCTCACAAAGTAGTTTCTATCATCGTAGCTATCTAGTTCTTTGATACACGATTCGTCTGTTACTACCAGTCCGAAAACTTCTTGAACATATTTAGAAACAGTCTTGAAATCAAGGTACGGTCGGAGTATAAACCGGCTATTTTCACAGTCGTTCATCTTCGAAAATCTGGCCTTTCGTTCCTAACCAGTCTGCCGAAACCACAATTGAATTTAGCCACATTATGATACCGGAGACTGCCGCCGGCATGTCGAACCGGGTAGGTGTTGAGCCGAGGAGATTAGGAAAAATGTAAAATAGGATGTCTGGTACCAGGTATTACGCGGAAAATAGACTACTCTAAGGTGCCTAATTGCCGCCCTCCCCCCCGCTAATTAATTTCTGAAAATTTTTCCGCCCCCCCACTCATATTAGGATCCCCCGCCAATTGATTAGTGCACTTTTGTCTTAATTACTGTAGTGAAAAAAAATCAAAACTTTTGTGATTTATACCGGAAAATAAAACGAATAATACAGCTGAAGTTTGAGGATGTGTGTAGGGAATTTCGTAAGGTCGTATTTAAGGCCCTGTTACCTTAATCAAAACTCCCAGTGACACTAAAGGAAAACTCACAATTTTCGGTTATAATGATTATTCTGTACGTATAATAGCCACATGTCCGACTCCCGATCTGTTCTGAATGCCCACAATTACCCGAGCCCACAATAACTCCTGTCTTCAAAAACCGTTTGTTCTATCAATTTTCTTAGCTTCTAAACTTTTTGCATAATCATTTATTCTTTTGATATGTTTTTTATAAAAAAAACTGATTTTAAGTTCATTTTGAGTATTCAGTATATGTAACTTCATAATTTAGACCCCCCGGTAATTGGAACCCCCCCCCCGCCAATTAATTTTGAACATGAAATCCGACCCCCAACCCCGTTAATTCCGACCCCACCCCAGCAATTAGGCACCTAAGAGTGTCAATTTTTTGGGAATATATAATCGTATTATTGAAATTTTCATATTGGTTTTAAAGAGCTTATTGGCATCAGAATACGATTTTTAACAACACAACATTAGGCCCCAGGCAATAGGAACTCAACAGTTGAAAATCTGATAACTCTATTCTCTAAAATGTTTTGACAAAGAAACAAAATCGACATAGACATGGCTGCAACTGGCTGCCTAATGTGCTCATATGAAGTTGAATGACAAGTAAATTTTTATTAGATGAATGATGTCACATGTCCATTCTATAACAACGTGCTGCCGCAGGCACCGCGGAGAAAGAGGGCTTTGGGGCTATAGCCCCCGCTTTTTGCCACAAATGCAAAAAGTTACCAATGACTCACTAGTCGAACCACTTTCTCATCACTAAAGCACATGATCTTGTGTTCAGTATTTTCAGCGGTTTTGATCTGTAACTGGCAACCGCTGATCCCCTCTAGGTCCTTCTGTGGCTGTGTTCCGTGTATTTTAGCACTAGCGCCAAGACAAAAATCAAAATCGTTGGTGAAAAAGGGGAGTCACAAAAAATTACAAATGTGCCATGCAAGCTTCCATTTAGAAGAAACCAATTTTTAATTTTTAATTTTTAGTTGACGAGAGCTGGCGACTTTCTTGAACATGGTTGCCAGATTAGGTTTACAAGAGAAGGCAAAATGGTACCCTGGGTGCCAGAGCCTCAGAGAGTCAAAGGATGAAGAACGGGGGAAATGAAATGCAAAGGAATATGGAAGAGGAATGGGGAGACTATTCCCTTTTACTATTCCATTCTCCTTCACAATTCCTTCCCCCGTTCTTCATCCTTTGACTCTCTGAGGCTCTGGCACCCAGGGTAGCAAAATGGGTGAACAACTCAGGCCTAGTGTTATGACACAGAGCTCCCTTACGGACAATGTCACGTCAAAATTGCAGCGTTGTGCTGTGATCAGGGGCGAAACTACTGGAGGGGTATCGGGGGTTGCTGCACCCACCCCCCCAAATCTTAAAAAAAACAGATTTTGTCGGGCAAATTTATGGCTGCCAGTGTATCTGTCGGGCAAATCTGGAAATATTTTTTAGGTCGCAATTTTATTGCTACTTTTTGCCTTAGCTTGATTTTTGAATTTATGGTCTTTTGTTAGAACACAGGGTTCCCATTCATTGCAGGACATCACATGACAATTGCATCATTGCGCTGCAATTGCATCAGCTTCTGTAAATTGTATATCAAATATGTATAAAGATAGAATATAATTCCTATTTTCATGTAGGGCTAGGCCCTCGTTTTGTATTTCCTAATGCTGATAAGACCGTATTCCTCTCGTGCTGTTACGCACGTCCGTTCTCTACCCTTCGTTTCGAACTCTCCCTAATCTAATCTAGCGCTGTCAGCAAAATAATAAATTTTAATAACGCGTCCATTTCGCAACATAACCGAGAGATTAAAATACTTTATTATACTAGAGTCCAAATTCCATAACAAATTGCATTATTCTTAGGGTATATAAGGGGTGGCTTTATAGTTAGGATCAGTCTTGCCGTAAGATTGTCGAACTCCGTGTACCTTGTCGCTAGCTTGCAGAATTGTGTTTGCCGTTACATTGTCGCCGTTAGCCGTGTAAGATATTTTTAGTCGTTTGCCGTGAACTGATGAATTAGAAGAAGTGTATAGAGAATTGGATAACAGTTTTTTCCGTATTTATCGTGTACGTTTCTGCGAACGACCTACGAACTCACATTTGTAAAACCCCCTTTTTAAGTGGTTTTACACTTTTGCCCCCATCTTTTTTTTCAATGTCCGTCCAGTTGAGAAAAACAAAATAGAAACGAGGCAAGGAACAGCAACATATATACATTTCTGCCTTTCGTCCACTGATCAGCACTTTCGTTTCGAACTCAACGCGCACATGTTTATCTTCGCCTCGAGATGAAGTCTGAAGTATTGATCGACAGCGAAAGTAAAGACGGAAAGTAAAGTGTGTTTGATGCGAGAAGGAAATGAACACTGTGCATACCCTTCCCCCCTACTACTGATTTCTAAATTTTCCCTTGGCAACCCCCCCCCCCCCCCCAACTTTCCATTCTGCCTCGGAGCCCATGGAACACTGACAGTTTAAGAAGCATCAAAGTATATACCATCTCGGAATATGTTGTTGAGAAAAATCAATCAATACTTTCTTTTCCAAATGTATGAAACTTTAATCATACATTCATAAGGAGTTATGCCCCAAAATTCTTCAAGCTTCGCTAGAAAATGGTCATACAGACGCCAAAGTTTTTTAACTAAAATAATTCGAACAACCGTAACAAGTAACAGAAAGTTTTAATCAGTTCAAGCGGGAATTAATATAAAATTTATCAAGAAATTGTAGTTGAGATATGAATTGCAAAAAACTTTAAAGTTTATTCTATTTCTGAACAATACCCATGATTACGAAAACATGAAGATTGAGCTTTGATGATAGGTCTACCTGTAAAATATTTCCAATAAAAAAGCTTTTTTTTGCTTGAGGGATTTTGTTATGGTGAATTCAGAGATACTTACTCTGTGCTTGGGTGTCTAAAAATGTTGAAATTCCTTCAGGAGCAACCGAAAGTCGAAAATCAAACTGAGAAAATGCAACTGAAGCTCTTTTTGTTGAAACATTGTAGTCTGCTTAGCTGTTTCTAAATTCCGAAATTTCCAAGCTGTCTTTTGGTGTTCCACTTTGATAAAATTGAGACCCTACTTCAGTCTCTTTTTTGAATTGCTCTCCTAATAGCTAGGTGATTTAGAAAGTGAAGTGTCTTTTACAGAAAAGACAGGCCTTACAAATGCTTTCTTTTCGTAAAGAAATGTTTATAGCCAACACCAGAAAAACTAAAGGCATATTTCTTGACTTTAAATAAACAGCCTGAGTCTAAAGACCCTCTCTCGGGCTTCCCGATGATTTCAGCCCTTGAGGCGATGTGCTCTAAAAATGAAGTTCATGTATGACAGGTCCTTTCATCAAGCATGCCACGCCCTTTCGTCGGGCATCTAAGCTTCATACCTCCCTAATGAAAATAGTTAAGTTTCGCCCCTGGCTGTGATTGTCTTACCCTGGGTACCAGACTCACTCTGGTACCCAGGGTATGATTGCCTCAGCATCTGTAAATATATTTTTTGCATTACGTAATTATTATTTCAAAGTTCTGCTAAGGGTATTTAAAGGGTTGTTCCATAAGTTAGGTTTAGTCCTGTCAAAACTTTTTCCGTACTGCTAGAAGCCCTGTCGCTAGTTTTGTCGTGCCTGTTGAACCCGTGCCGTTATTTATCGAACTTGCTGTTTTCAGTCGTTAGTTTAAATCATTGCCGGGAAAAGAAGAATTTTGATTTTATCCGCCGTTGCCTTATTTTTTGAGGATTTCTGCCTATCTATCCTCCGGGGAAACGTTTCAAGATCGGAAAAATTCCTCACGAAAACATGGAAATAAGTATGGTGTGACACTTATTTTTCTCTTGTTTTCATTGGCTTTCCTGCTCCGTCGTTGAATAACTTTTGAAGACTCCAAGACGGGGGAAGCCTCACTCGTCAAAGGTTTACCTTGTCTATCTCCCTAACAGCATTCTTATTATGTGGGTTTGCCCTACAAACCACAAGAACTATAAAATGAAGTTCTAGGAAGAATCATTGAATGATATCTAAATGAAAGTATTGTTTTTGAGCTTTCATTCGGAACATCTTCTTTAAGCATAAAAATAAACTGTTAATGAAAGTATATTGGAGTCTCTATTAGATCGAAGTTACGGACTACGGCAGTTAAACCAAGATATCGAGAAAAGGTCACAACTATCAATATTAACGAAGTTGGAAAATGACTTCGAAGAGACTTTGCATAGAAATGAGCGTAAAATTTGATTCAACGATAGAAATTGTTTGATGTGCGCACATGAAAATAACCAGAGCAAATCGTGTATAGCATCGGGACTGTATGATCCAATGTCATTTTATAACACAATCTTTAACCTTTTACGCCAATTTACACCAAAATCCTTAAACATTTATCAACCAAGCAAATTATTTCCATAATTACCTTTTCAGCCATTTCAATTGATATCCTAGAAACTCTCTATCAAATATCGTCCGTTTATACTCCATAACAGCTATTTTTGCGTCTGTAGTCTGTCTGGAATGCTTCTAATGTAACTTCATTTGAGATTCGATCCTTGGTATTCATTTCTTTTACTGGCTCATTTGCTGCGAATCCCCTGAGGGTGCTGGACCTTAGCAGACTTAAGGTCAATTTGGTGCTTGTTTCGTTTCTGTGACAGCAAAACTAAAACTCCTACCTTCGTGGCTCTTACCCTCTTATCTTATTCCCAACTGCATGATTCGACTGTCACCGCCAAACCAGAAGTTTTTTCCTGTCAAGTTCAATTTTCATTCCAAAACTTTAAATGCTCAGCAATGCAAATTTAGAAGGCATCGGTCCATGGACGACTCTAAAGTGACGTTTAAACGTCTTGCGGTTGAGATGGTCACTGGAAAGTCAAATAAACAATGATATCCAATGAAGCACAAGTATTGAGTATTGTTTGACTTGACAAAAATCTGAGTAGCTGCAACACCGCAGAGGGGACACCAAAACCACTCAGTATCCACAATACTGGTTATATAATCTATTTTCTTTTGCTGCAAGTATGCAAAATATTGCAATGGTTATATAATATATAATCTAGTTAAAAGACAACAGTTTGCTGCAAAAACTTCTTGGTTTAGTAGAAAGACACACAAACTAGCAATTTGCCAACAAATCCGAATATATTAAACTATAATGATTTTACTTAAGTAACAAGAATTCCACTTCAGTTCTTTCTGTACCATCAATTATGTTTTATCCCAATTAGCTTTCCCAACGATCGAAATTAGAAATACTTCTCCGGGATGTCATCTCATAAGAAAAGGTTATATTTAGGACAGTTTTCAGAAATTCGGAGGTAAGTCCAGGAACGGCGCCAAGAAGCTCGAGTTGATAGCATTACCTGACTGAGAACCCAACTCTTGAAAAACCATGTGAAAAACGCACTTAAATGCTTTACGGTCTACTGTACTCTCCTCCGCAGAGGCTATTGGGGAGGGAGATTGGGAGAGAAAAAGGATAGGACAAAAGGAACTGCGGAAGAAAGGAAAAAGTGGAGGAACTGCGATGAAGAAGGAGGAAGAGAATACTTTCTTCTTCTCCTCCGCCCCCTCCAATTCTCCGCAGCTTCACCATTTCTCCCTCCCGCAGCTTCACCATTTCTCCCTCCCCAATAGCCTGTGTGGAGGAGAGTAGGTACGTTGTGCCTATGATTTTTCTGCGGTATTGGTTATGCTAGTGATAAATTGGAAGGACAGGTGAGAGATTTTCTGAGGCCCTGACCACGCCCCCTGGGTATATTTTGCGATCATACCCTTTAGATTAGCTTAAAATACTTTTCAGAACATAACTTGCAGTCATTTTCCGGGAATCGTTTAAAAAAATTTTACTATTTAGGACATGCTTTTGTTATGCTTGATTAATTCTAGTCTGAAATTGAAATCATTACTTTATGAGATCTACTGTTTGCTCTTTACTGAGTGAGTATAAAGTAACGACAGTCGAATTAAAACGGCCAATTTGTACAAGAAGAACTACTCATGACTACTGTAATCAAACAGCTATAAAATTTGATAATTAGTTCATGGTGCATAGTGTATTTGTTTACATTTTCAGTCAAATGTATTAACACCGCCGTACAAATATACTGTATACATATGAATAATCAAAAGATAATAATATGATCTACACTTCCAGGACAAAAGTATTGCAACGCCCAAATCAAAATGTACATTCTTGATTAAATTCTTTCAATCTATCGATTTTTGCCTAAGTTGAAAAATTGACTAGTAAATGATAAAAAGACAGATTTTGAAGGGGATTTTGTACCTGGGCAACAATAAATATAATTCATTTTCAAACCATAATTATCAAATTATCAAAACAAGTATAAGTTTTCAGTTTAGGAAAATGACAAAAAGCTGCCATTTTGAAACATTATCCAAGTGCTATAGCAACATCCAAACAATCACGCTAGATGTGACGTCAAATTAATCAGAGGTATAAAAAGCATAAAAAACCGTTGGGATTTCTGTTGAGATCTTTTCAACTTGAAGACACGACGCAAATTTGCATCGCCGACTTGTGTACAAGTTCTCTCTATTTTGAATCGATAACTGCGAAAGCTAGTTTGATTTCTAAACTATCGAAAAAGTCGATCGGTCGAATTCAGTCGAATTTACGACGTTACGCTGAAATCGGAGTCGAAAAACAATGGTGAGTTGATTTGTCGAAGCCAGCAATCGAACATTTCTGAAAATAGTTGCGATAAACTTTTTGTTTATTGCAATAAAACTGCTAAGTTCTTATGAAAACCTTTTTCAATCTCATGGATTTGAGTAAAGACAGAAATATCGATAATATGAACAAAATTTTTGATAAAGGATAAGCGGGTCCTCATTGTCACTATAACAGTGTAATAAAAACCCTTGGTCAAGATTTAATGATTAAATGGTTCCAGGCTTTTGAGCTCAGATCTGCATTCAAATAATAGCTGGCCGATGAAATACATATGTTATTATGTTCACAGTTTTCTTACGATATCATAGATTTCTCAAGTTAGGGCCTAAAAACTAGAAGATTCGGGTATGCATGAAAATAGCTATTGTTGCTAGGGGCGACCTCCATGACAAAAATGATAAGGAGGTTCCAGCCTCGGTGTACTTGAAACAATATTTTTTATTTGTGTTAATTGTATGTGCAGATTCAACATGATATGAATCTCTAACGTTTTCTGGCAAAAGGACTTTTGCAAAATACTGGGCTTATGAAACATTGAATTCACCCAAATCGTTGAGTAAGAAAATTTTAGTGAGCCCTTCTTCTTACGCAACACGTGTTTTTCATTTAAGAAACACAATATGCTTATCAGAATGATTTTTTATAACCGATGTAATTATTTCATTGCAGGAAGCCAATGTGATACTAACCCAGAATGAAATTCCCAGTCCTCTAGTTGCAAACTACGAGTTCTTCTTGCAGAATATGAGTGAGTTTCTTTTGGTTTGCGCTTAGATTGACATATCAATAATATTTTCTCATTAAAACAGCTTTCTTTATCATCAATAAAATGTTGGTAGCTTGCTTGATTGAATACACTTTTGATATTTCTTTATAGATGCCTTCTTCTCGATCATAAAGCACATGACGGACATCGAAGCACCAAGAAAGAGGATTCTGCAGAAGCTTCATGATGTCGAGTACCGAACGTTCTCCTTCACACAGGTAAAACTGGCTACCACTTGATCACAAGTAACAACGATTTTTTCTGCTAACTGACAAAAAAGCTCCATATCCAATTGATGATATAAACATTGAATTTTTGAATATCTATTTGCAGATAAAAACCCAAGCAAAGGCCTGTCTAAGAGTCCTTCAGAATCTTCATTTGATGGTGAGTTTTCCACCCCTTTGTCAATTCACTATCGATGAAATGTAAATTGTCACAAAATAGAGAATAGTTTGTAAATTACAACCAAGTTTAGCATTTTGATGCTGTTTTGCAACATAAACAAAGATAATAACTTTTTTGATATTATTTCAGGCAAAGGACCAAAGTGTCTTGTTATCCACAAAGAGGTTCACTCGTCTTGTTCAGAACATCGTGAAATCCTGGGATACATTCTTCTACAGTATTGCTGTTGTCGACAAGGTAAGTTAAAGAATACTTTTAAGCTACATAACTTTTCACGTCATTTCTAAGAAATGTCTTAGCTCAATTTCAACACCATTGAAATGGTTGCTCCAGTTTTAATGTAATAGGATATGTTAAAATTTGTCAATATATTTGAAATACCTTTACATTTACATGACTTTATTTCTTTAAGAAATAAGTTGAACCTTTCGTGTATAAAAACGTTATTCATTATGCAGGGTCAAGGCAAAACTGACCTGACAAGCAACATCAGACTCTTCTACCTGCTGACGAAATTTGATATGGCAGAGTTCGCAAAAAACTTGGATAAGCAGAAGAAGAGAATGGAGTTAGCGCTTTCAAAATCTCAGATAAATCTGAATGTTGGTTCTTCAGAGGGAGACAGCTTTAAACTGAAAACCTTGAAATTTGAAGAACTCTTATTCAGTTCTAATTCTGCCTATGCTAATGAAGAAGAACATTTATTGACTGTAGAAGGACTTCTTGATGATAGTTTCGAATATGTCCCTAAACAAACAAGTGACCCTAAGTACTATCATCCTAAGAAACGCAGCTCTTATGTGACTGATAAAGCCATATTAGATAAAGAGCAATGTGATAATGATAGTTTTTTGAAAGAGCAAAATGAGCCACGTACAGTTGTTCAAGTAGATATTGGAGAGAATACAGCTGCTTTGAATGGCACTGATGGTGCTACAGTAGAAATGCCACTCCAGGGCAACTGTACTTCTAGCATGTCACTTGATAGTTCTTTTAAGGACATAGATGTTTTTAGTGACTCTGATAAGCCGTTGCTAACCAAGAATCCTTTTTTGAGCTCTGCAACTATTCTAGAAGGAGATTCAAATAGATTTGAGAATCCCTTTAAAAAAAGCTTCACAGTCAACGTAACTTCAAAGAGGGGAGTAAAAAGGAAACGGGACGAGCCGTTGTGTGACGTAACAAACGGACTAAGCTCGTTTCCATGCCACAGGAGCGACTTGAGTTTTCTAAAAACTGCTTCTACGCTTAGTCCTGACGACAATGTAGATTGTTATAACCAGAATTTGAAGAAGGTTAAACTGAGTAGAGAAACAGAAAATATTATCATCGACCCAAATGCAGTCAAAAATAACTCTGTTGAGGAAATTAGGTTTAAAGGTTTAAAAAAGCTAGGTAGACGATTGCAAACAATTAAATCACGGTTTGTTAAAGGATTAAGAGAGAGCAAACGAAGAAATACAGTATTCCCTATTGAAAGGCAACTGCGAAAAGATAGATGATAACAAAATTATATTAAAATGATATTAATGAAAATACGACTTAGTTGTGATTTTTAGAAGATTAAATTGTTAACATAGATGTGATATCTACAATACAAAATTTGAGGCATTGAATAATTCTGCTGTTATTTCTTGTTGAGTCTCTGATAGAATTTTTATGCACCTTAAGCTTGTTGGTGACAATAAGCAAGGATTTCAGAACTTTTTACAGAGGCAAAGCTAAAGAATATTTCTCAAGGGGGTGCAAATCACCAGATTTGAGGACAAAAACGTGTTCCTAAGGTGTGATTGTTGACATAGATACAACATGGCTAATGTGCTACAGGTGAAATCTTGAGCCATTTGAGAACACACAGACAATTTTTCAGGCACAAATGTAGTACAAAATGTGAAAGAACTTGTTTTTTGCCTTTAATATCTTCGAACTTATCTTCAAAGTTTTATACCTTGGAGCAGTAGATATTATCTTAAATCTATAAATTTGCTAATGCACAGAATGTTGCAGGTGCGGTACCCTCTGCACCCCCTTTGCTATATTTCTGGCTTCATATTGCAGCCTGTGAGTCTGTGTGTTCTCAAATGTGAGTCCATTAGAGCCTGTGAGTCTAAGAAGCCACTTATGTGTTCATATACATATTTTAAGACAACTTATGTTGACCTTCGGTATTGACTACTTGGGAAACTGACCTTTCGATTTTTAAACTGCCTAAGGTTGTGTGAAAAGCACTGGCATGCCATAGCAGAAGCATGTCTTAGCCCCCCTCTCTGTTTGAAGAAGCAGGTGCTATTTTTTTGCCTGTTGGTAAATGTGAAAATCTATTCTCTTTTGTACAGTTAAGTAAAAGGCTGAGGAAGTGCAACTCGGTTTTCCTTCAAAAATTCACTCCATGTGATGAAAAATATCAGAACTTAACCTGTCAGGCAACTAAATTCCCTCTTCATCTCAATTTAAAAGTCATTTGGCATGCCATTTCTCAAAAGATTAAGCATAAACCTTCCCACATCTAATATGTGATGTAGACACAAACAGCTAATCCCCACATGATATGCTAACCTCAAGGCTTGCCTCTTTTTTGCCTTTCCTCTTTTATTTTTAAATATTTAAATTGCCAGATATAAGCAAGCAAAGCTTGCAGCTCCTAGGTGGTAACTTTCACGAGATTCCAGGTTGGCAGTTTGGCTTTGGTGCCTTCCTGAATCAAAGATTTGTCTTCCTTTAGATTCTTAAAAGCAGGAGCCAAGAAAGTAGGGAAGGAGAGTGCTTGTATATATTGAAAACACTGCCAGGTCCTAAAACTTGGAGCAGCTCTTCCTAGAAGTCAGTGTGTACAACACCTGAGGAAAGCAATGGCATGGGGCACATAACAATCCACAACCGCAATCAAATAAACTGTAACAGGGGGCCAATTCCTCACTCCCCCAAAGTTGCAACATGGTTCAGAAAATCTATTACCAAAATCAAATATTTTATACAGGAAACAGAATAGAAAGGGCTGAACAAACAAAAGACACAGAAAATTAACTCTACTTATCCCTCTACCAAAAATCTTCAATTTCTGCAAAGGTTATTAAACAGAAGTAAAGGCACATTAGATTTGTTAGTTCTGAAAATTTGAGCAGCACGAAGCAATCCTGTTGCAAAATTTTCAACAAACCATAGATGTATATTTAAATAAATGCATATTTATTCTCTTATTCATGTTTGAATGACCTATCTTACAGATGCTTCTGATCCTAATACATTTCAATCTAAGAAATAGTTTTAATCATAATTTTAAAGCATTTGTGCAAAGGCAAAATATGAAATCTAAAAATAATGAGCCTGGATTACCTTATCTTTTGCTAGCTGCAAAGAGATACCTAATCAGATTACGCTGGTTGTTTACTTTGCTGGAAAGATTGGATTTTGATTTCTTTATACTGCCCTCCTATTTGATGATAGGTTCTATCCATATTTAGATTTTTTTGCTCATTGCAAATGCATGTTTTTATCCTTGCACAAACCCTTTAATTTTAAGAAGATTGTCCACTCTTTTTGCAAGAAAGCCTTGATTTAAAGAGAAGATGTAAGTATATTTTACGAAAATATTCTAAAATCTAGCATCTTCCAAGCAGAGGCGGACACTTGATCAAATATTGGGGGGGGCAAGCCTATTGTTTTAATAAGATGACATCACATTTCCCCTTGTTTTAGAACAAAAGACCATTGTCCTCCAAAGTATTGGGGGGGCAGTCGCCCCCCTCGCCCCCCCAAGTGTCCGCCACTGCTTCCAAGTTGATATAGAATCTACTCTCCTGGGTCCTTTATTGAAGCTTTAGGGTCACATGTAAATGATACTGTTATTGCAAACCGTGTCCCATTTGAAACTGGCTCTACAAAATGGGGGTTTTCAGACCCTGATGTAAAAAATGAAAGTCGCCCTCTTTTGGGTTCAACAGTTTTGTTTGATCTTTTTCCAATGAAGTTGAATCTTCCACCATTAAAGTCCTCTCCATATTCACTGAGGTACAGCAAAGATGTGTAATAAAAAGTTTTGTAAGTAATTTTATCAATATGTGGGTGCCAGTATTCATCATGTTTGGTTTTTGCTGGCCGTGAATCCATTCTTGAGAAAAAGGTAGGATTGGTTAAATACAGTTTTGACTTTTGAATATCAAATTCTTTCGTGATAGTTTCATGTATTTTGCTTTTCATTTCTTTGTACAACTTAAAGTCATCTTCAGTGAATATTTTTGTTTGCATGCCATAAATATTAATGAATTTTTCCCCCTTACTAAGAGCACCACTATGCAAGTCCAAGACACTTGCACCACCATTTGAACCACCATGTGCCATTCCCCTCTCTGCTAACTCCCTCAATTTGCTTATTTGCTCTTCTTCAAACAAATTATCCATCACACATCTTCCGCACCGTTTTGGAGCGCAACCCTTGAATTTTTTTCCATAATCATTTGAGCAAGGAACTTCTATGAACAATCGGGTGAACTCTTCATCGTGAGGGGCCATTGAATCGTCGTATAAGTCTCTGAAATAGTCCAAAACAAAGTAGCTGAAACCAAAAAATGCAAAAAATCCGATTAAGTTCCATAAATAAGACCTATCCATAATTTTTCTTGCTCTTTTCGAATAGCCAGCATGGTTCTCGTTCGATACCCCGACACCATTTTTCAAAGCTGAATTGCTTGTTACTTTATCTTGTTTCGTTAAAGTTTCTTCGTTATTTTTCTGGCCCTGGCCTCCAGCTACATTTCGTTTTCTTGTCACCATTTTGTGATGAAACAAATCAACGTTTGTATCACAGAACCCAAGGCGCTTTACAACTTTTTCAAACAAGAGAATAATGTCGTGTCGATGCCTTGCTGTTGTTGTCGTTCAATTTCATCGCAGATGTTGTTGCTGTTGTTTAGGGCTTGGTGCCCAGCCCACCGATTCCATCCCCAACCCAATTTGTAAACCCAATATTTATGTTGGTCATATAATTTTAAGAAATTACAGGCATCTTGCAAAGTTTGCAGCAAAACTTCCAAATTTTGTCCAAACTTAGTGCTCCAAGACAAAGCTACGATCCCGGGCAAAAATAGAGAATTTCCAAGCAACATTAATAGTTTTTCTTTCCTTTGAAAAATAGCTTCCCTTTCCCTTGATTCAATGTTGAATGCATGTTTTTGAAGCGGAACTGATTGAACTACAAATCAAACATTGATTCGGGGAACAAGGATGGATTCGAATTTACAGGGGCAAAGTAAAGTAGAAAATTGGAAATGTTGCCATTTGTCTCAACAATTTTGTTTGGGATTGTAGATCTTATGAAATTTGTCTGAAATGTAGATATTAGTGAAATGTAGAAATTGGAAATGTTGCCATTTGTCTCAACAATTTTGTTTGGGATTGTAGATCTTATGAAATTTGTCTGAAATGTAGATATTAGTGGGGTAACATCAGTTTCTTGACTTGGTTTTCCGAAACAAAAATATTCAGTAATCTACCCTGTTCCTCAAATGTAGCTACATTCTATATCTAACAATATATAGAAAGTACATTTGAATATGCCTTAGGAATATTCACTAAGACGACTCTCCCCTTTCCTCATCCATTCTCCTTCGCATTTCCTTCCCCCGTTCTTCATCCTTTGACTCTCTGAGGCTCTGGCACCCAGGGTATAGGAATAGGTCATCTCTATGGAATAGGTACAGTGCATCCTTATCCGGTTATCTGAACCTCAATTATCCGAGCCTTGTTTATCCGAACCTCGTTTACCCGAACCTCGTTTATCCGAACCTCGTTTATCCGAACCTCATTTTAGGTGTGATGCTTTATATCCGATTCGAATATATTTTTTATTTAATTAAGGCTCATCTCCAATTAAATTCAAGCCCTTAAATGAATCCAGGAAGTTACAAAATCATCTAAATGAGTTTCTTTCTAGTATCCAAATGAGTTTCTTCGTAGTACCTCTATTATGGAATCTACCTGTAATATGAATGAACGTCAGTTATTATCTGAGCAGCATAGACAAAATTATATGAGAGATAAGTTGCTACATAAAAGCTATTAGCTATGCTACGAGTATTGCTGAATGCTTGGGTTCTTCTTTTACTCTTTCTCTTTTCTTTTATGTGGGTTTTCCTGAGCAAAATCGTATACTCGATCACCCGAACTTTCAGCCTGTCCGAACGGCTTTTTTCACATTTCTTTCTAGGCTGTTTGGGTAAACGAGGAAGCACTGTGTATCAAATCTGTTGCTTACAATTCAAATTAGTGAAGGTATTTATGTACATTATAGTCAGACTGACAAAGATCATGATTTTGCACAGTAGAACAAATGATATGCTGGGTTTACCTTGTTCACATTACACTACAATCTATCTGTAATATGACAAAAAAGTGGTCAATGTTGTTAGAACAATGTACAAATATTTTTAGAATACAGTTATACAGAATCAAATTAAAAATCAAAGGATTTTTATGATATTTTATGATTGTCCTCCTATTACAACAGTAGCCACAGCCCTATGGGATGCTACTATAAAGTCTAAAACATTCGAAAAATCATATATGTAAGCTTTGTCTTTTCAGTACGGAACTGTGAAAGAAAATTTTATACTGAAAAGCGACTTACTGTTGCATATGGTATTGTTGTACGAGTTGAAGCAAGTCTGGCGCCCCTTTTTTGGAAATTGTGCGCCCCTTTTGAAGAATGAGAATCAGGTGAAAAAGTTACTGAGACCGATGGGTTAATTTGCTTCAAGGATTACCTCAAAGTTATGTTGTTTATTCTGAAAATGGATCTGAAATTATTGCATACAACGTACTCTCGTAACCAGTTTTTGAACATTTTTCAGCGCCCCCACTACCAATTGCCCCTCCTTCAAAATTGCTCTGGATCCGCCCCTGAATTGGTTCACTCTTCTTTAGTGTTTCTATTTAAATTTTTATAAGAAATTGTTCCATTTATCTAATACTGCTGATTAATTTGAAAATTTTCCTAACTTCCAGTTTTTACTGCGATTTAACCATGTGCCTGTGAATCGTGCAGGATAAACTGTGTATTTATTTTTTCTAATTGTCAGTTTTCACAAGGCTCTCAATTTTTTGTATCTCTAAGTATCTAATTTGGTTTCCTTAAGCACGCGAATAACTGAATTTATGCATACTTATAATTTATTAGTTTCTCCCAAAACATGTGCGAGCACGTCTCCAGCACAACAACCGTTTAATATGATTTGCTCAGATAAATGCGACCCTCGCACTGAATGTAGGTTTTATACAGTTACAGGTTTTATATAGTTAAATCGTTTGCTGGTAGAGGAAAGACTACTGCATGGCAGACGTGGAAGTCTTTCCCTTGTAGAAGTTAATTCTTTAAGCAGGCCATTAGTGCTAGCCGACAAAGACTTTGCATTCAGGAGCAGGTCGAGGTTTATTGGTGCCCCAAGCACTCACCAATTTGGTGCCCCAAGCACTCACCAATCTTGGTGCCCCAAGCACTTACCAATCTTGGTGCCCCTCCTTTTACAAATGACCCAAGGCTAAGAAAAGGGAAAAATGATATCAGATCTGTTGATTTTGGGTTTCAAAGAAGACAGGTCATAAGAATCTGGGACGGTGTATTCGTAAGTGTGATTTTTCAATAGCTCGTTGATATAACTCTTACTATAACAAAAACAAACATTTTTCCACCAATAATCTCGCCACATTCTCTATGGACAACGATATTGTGGCGTCTGATACAAGGTGTCTCATTTACACTATAAAGTTTACACTAATTAATTGGTGTCTCAAATGGGGCCCCTGAAACAAATGAGGCATCCCGACCCCCCCCCCTTGTTCAAAGCTTTCAACAGCCTTGTCCTCCATCCATTCTATACATTAAAACCCATTCCCAGATCAAGTACCCTCTTTCTTCCTCTACCCAACCCATTTGACACGCCCTTCCCATAGCCACACCCAACCCCGCCAACTCTTACTTTATGCTGTTATGCACAGGTGATACTTTTAACCCTTCCCACTTCTCCCAGCCCTTTATTCCCAGAGCCACGCCGTACCATGTTTATCCTCTTCACCCACTCAATTAAAATGCCTCCATACACTCTACAGTCAGTAAGCACTCTGTGTCGATTGCTACTTTTTGTTGATCGTTATAATGTTTATATTTTTTATTTGTATTTCCTGACCTTTGCAACCGTGATCCTGAACGCAGGATTGCGAGGGGCGTCTACGAGAAATGGACATACCGAATTAAAGCCCCGAAATGTCCCTCGTGGGTTTCTGGCTGATGAGTTGCTTTTTAATCATTTTCTGCCCACTTACAAGCTAGTTGCTCGAAACATACAAGGGCACCCACAACCACCCCCCATCTGAGTTTGAGGCTGTAACCAGGTGGTAGTGACTACTCCCTATCTCCTTTTTTCTCATTTTTCTATTTTGGATTTTATACTTTTATTCACACATTGGTTTTTTAGTTTTTACCTTCTATGCCTATAAAAAAATTTTGTAGAGAAGGCATAAAAAAGATTTAAAATTGCGAACCCAAGTATGAGAGCACCAAGAAATCATGGGATTAGACGCATCAGAAATAATGCTGCCAGTACGTTCCAAACCATACAAATGGTGTTTAGGATTACGAAGATTTCTGCCAGACAAGATCAAAAACCTTGGAGGTGTAGGGGATCACTCTGCAATTACCAACGGAGTCAATAACAGAACACGAAACGTGAGCAGAATGAGCTGGAAAAGCGCCGGTAGATCTTGCTGGCCAAACCCTCCACTAATTGATTACTCAACAAAAGACTAAAGCTCAGACCAGGTGTGCTGGAACTCCTATAACACCCTCTAGACCTGCCACTGAGTGAATACAAGCAGTTTCTCTAGATCAAAAAATTAAAAAATTTTGAAAGTTAGAGATAACTACTTGTACTTAGTGCTTATACTTATCTATTAGAATTTAGAGAAAGTATCAAGGAAGCTGCTTGGTATATTCTTACCGTACACATTACACCTAAGACACAGAGTTCAAAACCATATTGACAAACAGAGGCCAGAGTGCAATGCGCTAGCAGTCCTTATTTTGGCAACCTGATCAAGAAGCAGACAATTTACATGAGTCTGTAATAGTTCTGTCGGGAACGTAACCTGATCAAGAAGCATAATATTTTGATCAATTTACATCAGCTTTGCAAATTTTCCTTTCTTTTCTTGTCACCCATGCGAAGTTGCTGAGATCAGCGTGTTAGAGGTCTGGGAACGAGTACATGGTCTAAAAATAGCATTTGGTGGCATTTTGACGATGGGTGTGAATCTAAATCACATTACCGTGTTATGATTAGCATTTGTACCAATTTTAGTGTCATTAATTTCATTTTGAACAAAGTTATAGAGATAGTCAATTAAGGAATCTGGAACAATAAAGCATTCTAAAAATAGCATTGAGGGACATTTCTCAGACTGGGTCCCGACCACTGATCAGTGGTCCCGACCCCATCTTATTCAGCTTATCAAACTGTGTAGCTGTGCAGATTTACATGCTATTATCACAATTTCCGCAAGATCTTCGTTTCAGAGGCCTTGGCTACTACACTATTTGGCAATTTGAAATCTACACCCTCATTTCCAGGAACGCTGGAACTGCGCATGCGTTTTAAAAGGGAAGCAAGGATATACTTAGCCTGCTGGGAATGTAATGTAATCACTGAATACAATCCTGACAGATAAAGAATGATTTTGTCTTCTTCTTTTGTTTCATACGTCACAAGGCATGGACGCTCAAAGTCCAAATGTAGGAGAACAATGCGTACAGTGGCGAGTCCTGGACCTGATGAACAGGGGAAACTCATAACAGCAAAAAACATTTGATGTCCCGAAGAGCGAGGCCGGCCGGTTAAATACAACCATCGAAAAAGCGTTGAAGAGAAGTGGACAGGCAAATATGGAGGAGGAATATGACGGAAATGAATGCAAAAAAAGCCGATGTTATGCCTGGTTCATATGCGGTGTGAGTTTCACTGTACAGTTCATGGCGATGAGCTTTTTTGGATCTTTTGGTCCGCTGTATGTTGAGTTGCTACGGGTGTTTAAAGAGGGAGATGCCAAAACAGGTATGAATCAAATTGAATATAAATAAAAATCTTTTTATACAGGATAATGTTCTCGTGATTAGTTTTGGTTGTCAGTGCACTTAATTTTTTCATAAAAGAAATAAATTTATATTTCATTGTACCTTGCGGGTAAAAGGACTGGAAGAGAAAATATTACTAGCTGAAAGCAAGTAGAAGCTTTCGTTTTCAAGAAAATATAATTGAACTTAGATTTCGCAACTCTCGCTTTTCTTTGACAAATTCTGTCATCGGCTTACGGCCGGACCAGTGGATGGTCTAGCAAGGACGATCTAGACCTGTCGTTCACGAAGACATCACCAAAGAACCTCGTGACTTGAGGTCTGACTGCTATTGTTCACATAAAGACAGTTGTTTTGGCATTATAAGGAAACAGAAACTGATCTCTGAAAAGCCCGAAATTTGAAAATATACGTCATAAAGGAAGTTTGGCGTATCAAGATAACAGAAAGTTGCATTTTATGCAGCCGTTTTGTTACAGCTTGTTTATATAGGGAAATGTTTTTTAACTCTGACACAATCTCTCTACGAGTGAATACAAAGCAAGCAGGAGGCTTGAATTGAACCTCCAAAGTTTTCGAAGTGGAAATAACGAAATCCACGGAATGCCGACGTTATTCGGGAAGCCGAGATATATTGGCTGTGTAAAGCGGTGTATACTAAAATCTCAAGGGCACAAGCCCCTTCCTTGACTCAAAATGCTGCCACTTCTCCGGCACCGCGGAGCCTTGAGAAACGTGTGGGGGGGGTCTAAAACCGTATAAAAGAGGCTTTACTGGTAGTTTTTTACTTAATATTTGGCATATTTCGCAAAAAGTGCCTCCCCTGCTCCGTTTTGCCTGCTTCTGTTTGTTAGTTTATTTTACATCAGAAGATCCAGATGGGAACCTTCGTTGAAGAGCCTAACTTGCAAAAATCAGATTGTCTATTTTAACCATGTTGTTGACTGTAGCAAACGTTCAATTTAACTATAGAAACTAGGAAGGCCTATAAAAACTCAACAAAAGACCACAAACTATAGAAGACATTGAATGTAGCTTAGCAAAGCCTCTGGGTCAAAATTGACAATCTCTGCTAGTGCTACAGTTTTTTGCGTGAACTTGAATACACTCCTTTCTTTCGCGCACAGCTGTAGCCATTTGTAGTCATAAGTATGAGCCACATTTACCTTAGTTTGCCATTTATTTACCTTTGTCACACAGGGTCAATGTATCCACGGATGTTCGCGTGAAAAGGGCAGACAAAAGATTTACGCGGCAGTTTTGTGAACAGTTCTATAAATCTTAACAATGTATGACCCAGCTTAGGCCTGAGTAAAATGAAATGATATCCGTTTTTCAAAAGGCTTACAGGTTCCAAACAGCTTAATCCTAAGGTAAGAAAAAAACAGCACCAAGTATCTGTTGATTATGCTGAACGGGATAAAATTTTAATTTTTGGAGGAAAAAGAAAACATCATTCTGACTATCTGGAGTTTATTCGGGAGACGAAACCTTTTGTCCTTTATTTCGAAACAATACCGTCTTAAACCAATCAGAGTTGCAGGGTCAAAGCACATGCGCATTAATAACAGCATTCGCATAGCTGTTCTGCCTGTGACCACACAACTCTTGAACTTCCTGTAAAGTCGTCAAGTGATAATGCGCATGTGCAATGACCCTGAAACGGGGGGTAGTGTATGTCTGGAAGAAGGGCATGACTTGTTCCATTGTTAGAGAGACGAACAAGTGAAAATCTTTAAGTGTGTGAGGCAACCCTCCGTCCTGTCACCAAAGGGTATGCGCAATGATGATTTCGTACCATGCGCATCATCACGACTGAACGGAGGGTTGCTTCATTCATCAAAAGGCTTTCTCCTGTTCGTGTCTCCCAAACAAATACGTTTGATTATCAAAGTCATTGATGAATTGAATAACTTAAAGTTCTTCTAGTGAATACACCAACACCCATCGTTCCTGTTAACATGCGCATTGACCTTAAAATTTTTGCGCATTCATTTGTTTATTTCGAAATCATAATAATCGTCAATTATTTGTTATATTTTAGCTTGGGTAGCGTCAATTTCATTTTCAATATGTTTTCTGGTATCACCGATCACCTATCGGATAGATGAGCGAATTGGACAACGTAAGACAATGATGATTGGCTCTGTTCTGTTCGGACTTGGCTTATTCTTATCCTCGTTTGCAAATAGCCTCAGCCTCCTCTTCGTTACCATTGGTGTTCTGGTAGCAATTGGCCACAGCTTTTGCCAAGCTGCGTCAATGTTCGTTTTGCCGCATTTTTTTGGAAATAATTACGCGATGCCCTTGGGAATTGCGTTGAGTGGCGCAAGTACTGGCGCACTAGCTTTATCGAGCTTGAAGGAACTCATATTCAGGAAGTTTGCTTTCAAGATGGGTATGCAGATATTATCCGGGACCGCACTCATACTGCTCCTCTGCGGAATTACCTTCAAGCCTCCAAAGGCCAAGACGCTCAAATCAGAGAATAGCAGAAGACGGGATAGTATTGATGAAAGATATCCACCACTGCAGAAGAATAAGGCCTTCCAACTGCTGTTATTAGCATCTTTTGTATACCATTCGGTATATCTGGTCACATACGTCCACCTGGTATGTCATCTATTGCTCATAATCAAACTGATAACCTTACAAAGCAAATTGCTTAGTAGGAGGCATGACGTATCCAAATATCAAAGAAACAGCAGCAAAACCTACTCAAGTAGCCAGGGATGTAGGAGCGAAACGTTTCTTTGAGAACTGGTGCCCTGGGTGTGCTAAAAATGCTCTCACATTGTTATACACCTGTCTACTCCGAATGTGCGTACAAGCTTGTTAAAGGGTTGGGGCAATGTCCCAATAATGCAAAGGATATAGGGGGTGTCAAACTTCTCCCAAGTCTCGGAGGCTAGAGAGTTTGTCAAAAAGCTCTAGTTAGCCAGTTTGTTTAAAAATGACTATGGACGGCTGAAGTAAAAACTATGACAATAACTTTGAAACGAGGCTTGTTTTTTACGAGCAGGTGCCCCTGTGTTGTCAGTATTTTAGCCTAACTACCCAAAACACGAGGTCTAACTACTCAAAAAAATTGCTCCTGTTTATATAACATTTATGTGTCATTTTAGCTTATCGAAATTCAAACTTTACCTCTCTTGTAGACACGGCTTGCAGGAGACCTTGGTATATCTGATACCAAAGCAGCATTATTGCCCGGGTTTGTAGCAATCATGGAATCTGTTGGAAAGGTTTGCGCGGGAAAGTTTATCAGCCTCTTTGACTCTAAATGCTTAACGCTTTACCAATCTTCCTGGCTTGGTATGGCAATAAGCACGTTTTTGTGTCCACTGGCAACAGGCTTTACCGGTCTAGCGTTGTATGCTGTTGGGTGGGGTTTCTGCGTTGGTGCGGCGGCAGGGTCTTGTGTCCCTGTCATTCGGTATCTGGTCGGGAACAGAAATGTTATCAGAGCATATAGCATATTTCTAATGTGCTTCTCGCCAGCTGTATTAGCAGGACCACCTCTAGCGGGTAAGTGCCATTGTCTTCTTACTATCTGCAAGGTTTCTAAAATATCAAGATTTTACCACACCCAATCGCAACCGAAATCAAATAACTGTCAAACACACTGCAGATAAGTGACCTTTGAGAGATTCCGTTTCGCTGGGGGATAGAGGGTTGGTGGGGAGTGGATGGGGAAGAGGGGTTGCATACGACTTTGGTGATGCAGTGCATATTCATTCGAGGCTTTTCATGCAAGATTTCAATGGTTTCATTGCAAAATCTACTTTCATAAACTAGACTCAGCCCTTTGCCTTGGCAGGATATATATCGATATTGCACAGTCCATGAATGTGCCAGCGTTTGTGGACTGGGCGCAGGCTAATCATTTCAAAGCTTTCATTATTTTGTTTTTTAGTCTGATGAAGCCCTGTATGCCGGGGCGAAATATTAGTATATTTCTTAAATTTAATTTATTTTGAATATTTTATCTCGTGATATTGGATTCTCGTCGTCGTATTGCTTTGTGCCTGTATATCTTTCATTATTTGCTTAGGCCCTGACCTTACTAAACCTTCAAGGCCTACATACCCAAATAGCCTAACCTCCGGATACCAGAAGAATCTGCCTAATCCAGTACGTGAATCCTGAGGCATAGCCCTCCGGCAACAACTGAATTTGAGACTTTTACCCGTATAACTCTACATATATACACATAATAGAAATTAGTGTTAACATTTGTATTTGTTTATGTATATATAGAAGTCAGAAGACCAGGTCCAGTGTTCAGGGTAGCTTACTACAAATCCAAGGGTCTATGGTTCAAGTCCTTGACGTGACCACATTTTCAACCAGAGTGAGGAAAGTTGCCAGCTCTTTTTAATTCCAGGCGTAGGAATCACGATGTGTGCTAGACTAGGAAAGGACTAGGACATTGCTCGATACAGGGAATCTTGTAACATACTCGCAAAGCGAGCAGAAAATTTTTGGCGACCATGCCCTTTAGATAAGCTGTAAATGCATTTCAGAATGTTTTTTGCAGTCATTTTGTTGCAATTGTTTAAAGCGTTGTACCATTGTTTATTGATAATATTATTGATAGGGCGCTTTGCCCCCACCCCTCACCAAGCAGATCACAAGGATTTGGATCGTGGCCAGAAGGGTCACCCACTACTCTTTTTGCTCTTTTCGTATAGTGACTAAGCATTTAAAGGGCGCTTTTTTGTTATGCAGTTGGCAAAAAGGGCAAGCCGGTAAACTGCAAAGGGGCATTTTTCCTGGACTATTTACAGGTGGGGGGGGGGGGGGTGCACGTGTCCCCTGTGCTCTCTGTTCCTACGTCTATGTTTTTAAAAAAACCTATTTACTAGGTTCCTGATCTTAAATATTCCATGAAAAGGTTCCAATTTTGTTTATGAACAATATATAAGAATGCTTTAAAGAGACTTCATGTGAAGTCTTGAAGCCTAAATCTTCAATCCTAAAAAAATTCAGTGTGGAAACAGCGTGACCATAATGTCACAAACATTTTTATAAATGTAATAAATTGCAAACAACGCAAAAATTTCAATTCCACATCCAAAACTAAATTGTTAACTTCTTTTAGTTTATGTCCTTGGTAATAACACATCTTAACCAAATAGTTATCTTCAAAAAACAGCCCAGCTAGTCCTTGCAACATGCCAGGATTTTTAGCGTAAGTAGAAACAAATAACAATCATAAGCAATCGTTCATAAATCCGATACAATTCCTTGAGGTAAGCAAAGGCCTTTTTGAAAAATGCCCCAGCACTCAAAAATCCTTAAAAAATGCCCTTGCTCGATAAGCATACCTAATACTACCCTTGGGAGGTAAGTAGCAAAAAATACAATGCAATACAAATACAGGTCCCGATTGAATGAACTCAACTGTCAAAATCTTTATTTAGGATGGCTTCGTGAGAAGACACACTCTTATGATGTTGCACTGTATGTAACAGGAACAAACTTTGCAGTTGCAAGTGCCATGATATTTCTAGTGAAACTGTTTGACCGAATGCAAAGGAAGACCTACTTTGATCAACCCAACCCATTCAATGTTGGAGAAGATGATGCTGAGAGTTGTGAAGAGAAAGATCCAAGCGATGCAGATAAGAAATCGATTGTTAATACTGAGATAGATTTTAATCTTATTCACCAAGACACCAAGAAAGAAAAGAACGACAGACATGAAGATCTTATTGAAGAATTTCACTGCAATTTGGAGAGAAGCCAAGGTAAAAAGCTTTTACCAGCAAAGGAAACTGACTTGTAGGTTATTCGTAAAACTTGTTGATAAATAGGGCTTTGTATACTAGGAATTTTTATAAAAGATTGTTAATTTGTGTCTCAAAAGTAGCTATTGATACTTTGGCAAAAAATTTAAAAATGTGTTGGTAGAAAAATTCATTTGTATAGGTAACATATTTTCTTCTTTTTGTTGTTGTAAATTTTGTTTCGTATGTATATTTTGTAAATTAATTGTTTAGTCAGTGTGTGACTAGGACGCTTGTTAATTTTGAGGATGTCTCTAAAAAACAGATAGATTTAACAACAAACTATGAATATAAATAGAAAGCGAGATTGGTAGATTGAATAGATGGATTTCATAACGTTGTAGCTATGTTAAATCCAAAGTATATTTTGCTATAAAAATATACCACTCTCAGATTCTTGTGGTGTGGGACAGTTAAAGTTTGGACAAAGATGCTAACGGTTTAGAAGATTCTATTTCTCTCTAGAAGTGTGTGTGAACGGTGGAAATTGAAAAGATTGGTTTGCCATTTTAGCTCGAAGTACGCCCCCTCCCAACCTCCTTTGTTCCACGTCATGGGACCTTAGGACAGAATGAATTGCATAGTTTCTTCTAAAATCAAGCACATTTCTATACGCATAGAATAACTACAAATATTTTTCGTGCTTCTATACAAAGAATTCGGGGAAAGTCGTTTTCCTAAATTGTTTCCATTTTAGCATGCGTGTCTTTTACTAAATTAAATGTTTTACTATGCAACTCACGAGCCAGTATCTTATCGACTAGAAAAAAACAGAACATTTTGTTATAAAACAGTTCTAAACGCCGAAAAGGAGAGACAGAATACCACTTATCCGCAATTCCTATCCTGTTGTACAAAGGGTACCCCAATATGTACAATAACTTGAGATTCGCAATGTCCAGTGGCGATTGAAGGTGACTTTTACCATGTTTAAAGTGATTGTTGAATTCTCTTTAGAGAGAAGTAGCTTTTATTAACCTTCAAAGTTCTTTGTAAATTGTTTTATCCGTAAAAATGATAATTATTTCTTGTTTTAAGAACAATAAGGTAGAACGTTTTATCCACCACCACGATGTTGTGATGCCGAATTGCACGCTTAGAGAAGTTTTTGTACTATTTGCAGATTTCTAGCATTGATTTTTCAAGTTTATAAATCTTTAAGAATTTTTGTGATAAAAGTTCTTTTGAAACACTAACTAATGTTTTATCAATGCTAATGATACAGCATGTTTCTCGAATTGGGGTGACATTGAAATAGAGGTTATCGCAAATGGAGCTGAACGACTTGAACGATTATAACACGACACCATACATAAAGATACAAGCCTTAAGAAAGTATTTTTAGCGTTGGCTTTAACAAATACAACAAATTCCACGCAGTGTAAAGCGCTATAGAGTTTAAAGCAGATAAACAAACTCAGAAAGACAGACACGATTTCACATTACTTTTTATAGGTAGAAACTAAATAATTAGGTTGACGTCGCTGTTTAGATAATATGAAGAAGCTACACGTAATTTCAAAGTAACCAATTAACATTTCTGCTTTGTCTTAAGGTTGACAAGAAACGAAGAGTACTGTACTTTCTCATAATTTAAAGCAGTTGGAATGGGTGGGGTGGAATGTTGTGATGCGATTTACATATTCACTAGAAGATAAATACTTACTGACAGACCACTGCTGATTTAGACGAGAACACACAACTGTTCCTTGGACTTCAAAAGCGAATGAAAAACCTTATCCAAAATTTATACCAGATATCTTAATGTATTGGCAGGTTTGTCCTTAAGTGGAATAAAAATTTTAGGATTTTCAAGTTGTTAAGTTGAAACACAAAGAACGAGACTCAAAAAACTTGCAAATAAAAAATATCCAGACAATGCAAATATCTTTGTTAATGACCATTTTCTCCCAGACGATGCTAAGCGACCTGTAATGGTCTTCCAATTAAAGTTTAGTTGTAGTTTCGTTACACCAATCTGCCTATAAGTTATCACATTTTCACTCATGAAATAAACTCGCTCACCAGTCACAGAATAACAAAGATTCATTCGCGAGAATAACAAATCAAGTAAGTTGAAAATCAATAAATTGTCCTTGTTTCCTTCAATTGACGATTATTGCCAAAGAAAATAGTTCAGAAAATCTACATCTGGTTTATTCTGCTACTCATTAAACGTTACCCGTAGGAAGTCAGCAAAAATGATCAGTTACATACAATCGAACTTCATAAGATTGGTTATAAAGAAGCTATGCATTGCATTGCATTGGTCAAACGAGGCGATTAGTAAGTTAACTGTATTTGCGCACGATAAAGGGCTTGTAAGATGGCCTACTGAACGGACAAGAATATGGAAAAATACAACGAATTTAACGGCTACTAGCAAAATAAGCACGGAAAAATACGGGTATAGAAAGGACGACATTACAAGTTATTGATTCAATCTTTGTGGTTGCTGTTTAATCGTTTCTAGTACAGTGTCTTCTTCACAGCAGATGGTATTCTCATATTTCAAAATGTATGGTACAAAGTACAGAGATGGACTACTTCAGTCAATATTATACTAATGTATCATGTCCATGAAGTCATGTCTTGTGACATCTCTTTCGTGCAGCCCCAGCAGTCTCAATGACTTTCAGCCAAGTGACCAGTTCAAGCATGAATACCGCAAGGATTAGGGGGAGGATTATAACAAAGGCTAACATTTTGAGATAATCCTGCTGAAAAATGACTAGGGACGAGTTCAGGTTGCCAGAAAGCCTTTTTTAAATTGAAGAGAGGCTGTGCTAAAGGGAGGCTAGGGACCATGGTCCCGCATTTTATAGAAAGCTACACTCCTGATCAGAACAATTTTACAAGAGCATGAGCCCAAAGATTGGTCAAAACCAAGGCAAATTAGGAACAAGCAGCGGCTGAGGTACTAATGAATGGGCATTGTTATCAAGGATATATCTTTCAACACAGGGTGTTTTTTTGCTAATGTTATCAAGGAGAAATACTTGCAAAATACAAATCTACTGTTTCTCTGCAGTTTAATATTGCCCCATGTCTACATTTCTTCAGCTTACATCTTCTTAATATAAGAAAAAACGCAGGAGCACCCAAGCCTAAACTTTTTCAAAAATATTGAGAACAGCCAACCTGAACATCGACTAGTTGCTTTTTATGTAACAAGCTGTATTGTTAATAATTGATAACCAAACTTAGTTTCAGTTTGTCCCCACCCCCTCCTCCCCCCCCCATTGATGTTCAATGAGAAGGGCTTTGGTGCACATTTATATTGAAGCTCAAATAGAACCAATACTGACACGACTTAATCAATGATTTGAGTTCAAAAATATGCACAGTCTTTAGTTGCAAGAATGAGATTCCATACGGTTAAATTTTATTGATTTGTACAAAACTAATTACTTATAAAAACGTGAAAGCCAAACGACGGCCTTTAATTCGCAGTAAAAAACTGTATATAAGATTCTCCTTAGCTAGAAATGAGCTAGTTAATTTTGTTCCTGGTCTGATTTCACGTTTGCATATAGTCCTGTGTATACACGTTGTTTCTGAAAGAAAAAGTTGATATCATTTAGATCTGATATTTCTTAGAGCTACTGGTTAGAAATAAAAATAAGAGAATTTTCTTGAATGCTGTATTTGAAAACAGTTTGAAATAGAAAGATTTGGTAGAAGAACATGGAAAGCCACAGGAATACACACAGTTACAAAGTGAACATATAAAAAAGATCATAATAAATAAAATTGTTATAGAGAATTTTTCGTACTGAATGCATTTTACATTGATATTTTCATTTGCACGTTTTAACAGGAATCAGGGAAAATTTGTGAATATAAGACAATAAATTGCTGGTGCAATACGAAAACAAAAGTTTCCACTCACTAAACTACATTGACAAAAACACGAAAGTGTCGATGTTATCAGAAGAACCTGTTGTTTGTAAATCCATAGATTTTCAAGGACACATTGATAGGCTTGTTTATTCGTGTAGGAGTAGAGAAGGGGGGGGGGGGTGGTTCCTATGGAGCTGATAGATAATAAGAAATGCAAGATTGACAACAGGTGACTTGTGTATTAGTATCATATAATGTAACAGATACCTTGTAAATAATTTGGTAGGCTTCTCTCATCAGCGCGTACGGAAAACACAGATCAAGAACGTCATCACTTAGGTCTGAGGACTCTTGTACAATCTATGGAATAAGGAACAACTCGTATGTTAAATATTATAACTAACAGAACACATTGAAGTAAAATCTACAGAAAGACCACAGGATTACTGTAAGCAACCTGTGAAATACGGATAACATTTATGGAAGTTAAAAAACAACAGAATACAGCTAGGACATTTCATAACAATCCACAGAATAAAGTATAGATTAAGGTGGAATCTACGGAATACGGAAGAGGCAGTATTTGAGGTTGTGAGGTATCTTATAATGGAAACAGCAAACTTTGTTAAAACTCCAGCAATATTCTTTTTATTGATGTCGAAAAGGTAAACAAGTTGATTAGTGGCAAAAGTGAAACAAACGTTTATGTCATGATTGTCAAGCCTTTAGATGTCAAGAAGATAAGAAACCTTTATAAATTAAATTATGCAATTACCAGATCGAGAAGTATATAAGTCGATTCCCGTTGTTTTGGGATAAGCTCCTTCGAAGGGGGATCCATGCCCAGTCTTAATAAACTGCATGATGCAACCTAAAATCCAAAACAAATATCAAAGATTTCAAGCGACTTTCAAAAGCTAAACGCTTAAATTCATAATCGAGGTCTGGACGTTCATCGAGTTTGCCAGTGACACAAGGAGGTAAGATTTCCGCTCCGTAAGCTAGAGAATCGTATTCTGTTAAAATTTAACTGGCTTATCAAAGATACACGCAAAAAAGAGAATAAGAGAATTTTGAAAGAGAATAAAAAACTGACTGAATTTATTACCAACGATAAAGACGAATGACATTGAACGGGCACTTGTCAATGATAAAAAAAGCTCCAGATTTCACGCTTCGTGCGAGCATCCGACGACGAAATATTGTACTTCAGGCAAAATCCAAGGTTAAAATCAAAACAAAGAAGCAGAAACTCACAGCTAGAAAATCTTTCATTTTTTCTTTGGAATCCATTTCCGTTATAGTGAAAATCGCCTTGGAGACAGCATTCACAGCTTTAGCCATGCAGTGCGCGTTGTTAAAGTGGCCTACGACCGAGTTAGATATGTTTGGTCATTGAAGGCTTTGATCAAAGTAATAATATAAGAAAGTAATACTCATAGGAAACCGTATCACTATAAGCAACTATGAAAGAACAGGACAAGGGTGTATAGAATATACTATCATATTAGTCTGTATCAATAGAAACAATATTTGTTGTAATAGCATATTATAATGATTGCTAATTTTTGGGGTAGGATAGTTCTGCATAAGCTAATGCATGTTTGATTCTAGCATGAGATATTGTCGACAGGAGTTATATTGAAAAACAAAAGAAATAATGAAATAAGTCTTTATTTAATTATATGTGTTTAAGTTTAAAACTACCACATTATATGCTGTAACGAGTTACAACACATTGTGGTAGCCAGTTGAATACGTGAAATTCTAAACCTTTGAGTATAAAATGATCGATGGCTCAAAAAAAACCAAATCTGTTTGAGGGAACCACATAAAGGGCTTAGAAACAGTGGGTGTTATAGAAAGCGGGAAGGATCCAAGGATTTGGCGAAGACCTTGTGAGGGCAGGAGAGAAAGAACAGTCACTTATGAATTAAACAGGTTTTCACATATAGAATTCTAATGACAAAATTGTCACAATACTGAATTTACAGCACTGTATTTCGGTGGTAGGTAGGCATCCGATTAAACTCCCTTATAACCAGGCGGCAGGATGACTCATACATTGATGATAGACCTGTTGAATGTGGTGTGGAGCAGACTTAAAGACTGACCAGTCAAAAAAATGATCATATATAAAGAAGGTCACTGAAACAGGTTGAAATGGTACTCGAAGGATTGGTGCAATTACCTTCCAAAGCAGGTATGTACTCCGTGGTATCTTTGTAAGCCAACGTAGGGATTGTCGTGGCCCAGAATACCTAAAAATTAACAAATAACGATCCAATAATAATTTAATAACACAACAATAGTAAACAGGTGAACATCAAAACTTAATCATAAAGCAAGTTTAAAAGTAACATTTTAAAACCTCGAATAAATGTTCTCCTCAAGTGCTTCCTTGCTGTTGTAAAGTAACTTCGCAAATACAGCCTCTGCGAAGGTTTATTCTGCGCTCTCCCCAGGCTTTCTATATAGCACGTGCGATGAGGTGTGATTTTGTAGTTTTTGTTAGTTGGTAAGTTAGTTTTGTTGATGAAGCATGAGTGATGATGAAAATTTTCCTGATAATTATGTAGTAGTTTCTCTTCTAAACCCACACGGTTTATAGTTTACAATACTTGTAAAATTGCAAGCTTCATGCTGTGCAATCAATCAGCTTATCAAATTTTATAGGATATATCATTACCTACGTCATCGGATATTCAGTTCCTGTTCGACTAATCTTCCCCTTTAAATCTTCCGCAAGATTCTTTTAAGCCTCACTTACCTAAGTCTCACTTCTTATAACACTCTCAGTCTATGGTATAAGACTACCTTTTCTTTACTTTCTATCTCTGAATACCATAAACAGAAACCGAATCAAAACATACTTTAGTTTAAGTATTCCTGGAAATAAGTTTACTACCTTGAATGCCTGAATATCAAACAAAATAACATCAGGATACACAGGCAAATTACGTTACCCATTGAACCTTCATTTTGGAACTGAATCAACGAATAATCTCTGTATTGAAACAACTTACCAGCAACAAGTCCCATACACTGCTGTCTTCTTCGCTTTTGTCTACAGGCAACAACAATGCAAGGTCGGTTAAAGCAATGAAGGGAAAGAGGACTTAAAAATAGGAAACATATTGGCAGCTTTCAAAAACAATGATAAAAACATGTCGAAAACCGCTTACAAACTAAGTCAAATGTCACCTTTTTGTAGAAAACGTTGACCTTCTTCTAAAACATAGCAGCTTCTTATCTTTTCGGGTATATTAACCATGTGAAAATGTTATTTTTCACTTTTAGGGACACAAGTCATCTGTACAATTTCTAACGTCTAAACCGTACAATTTCTTGATGTCTCCCGAATGGCTGCCCTATGGCCTAAATTTCTACCTCAAAACCTTTTACCACACTTGGTTGGGATAAATATCCGAATAACTCCAAACAAACCAAAATAATCTTTGAAAATAGAATTTAAGCAGGGTGGGACAGAAAAAGGGTTGTTTCCTTAATATTTTACCTCTTGCACTCCTCAGAGCGTGGAATAAATCAGCATCAAAGTTACCATCGTGTCCTGCAGCTTGAATCATTTCGTGGGTAACCTAAAAAGACGAAGATTATGATAAGAAAACAATGGGATTTTTTTATTACTTCATCAGGGCAAACCATTTGTTAAGTGAATGTGAAGATGAAATGTTTGATAACGGTTTGTTCAAGGATCAGGTGTCATTCAGTAAACTATATGAAACACAGGAAGATAAATCCGAAAGCCGCCTCACGAATGACCGCAACAGCAAAGCATTATCAACAACTTTGGGTCAAATATTATCCCAATTCTACGCTTCAATGTAGATTTATATCGTGACTTGTCTATTTTCTGAATTCGAAGCTTGTGCTTGACAAATCGCAGAAGAGTTAGAAAAAACCTGCTTACAGTCATTTCATCTCGAGGGTTGTTTTCTTTGAAGTCTCGTAAAACTTTCATCAAAAATGAAGCTCGGTTATCAAGGACCTGCAAATAAACACAAAAAATTTACAGCTGATATGTGAAAATTCTGCAAATTCTAAGAAGATTTGAGTAGAGAAAAATGTAATTCTGATGGATGACCATTCTGATAAAATTCTTGTGGGTGTTTCGCGTATGGTTAGTAGCTTAATTAAGAAAACAAATATTAAGAATATCCTGCATTTTCAATTTACGGTTTTCTAGCATAAACTAATTTTGTCGAAACCTCATTTATGGGTGTGACGGGGTATGGCTTGCAAACACGTCCACGATTCAATCAACAACAAAAAAGGATCACCGTATAAATGAAAATCTTTAGGTTAAGTATTGAATGCACAAAATTATTTGTATACAAAAGGCAAGAAGATGGAAACAGGTCAAAGATTTAATGAATCTTTAATTAGCAAATAAAACGGTAAAACGGCAACTAAAATAATCCAAATGGAAATAAAATGTAAGAACTTACATCTTTTAGGCCAGTTGCAAGTAACGATCGGAAACACAATAAAACGCCTATAATAGTGGTTCTTGCCAAAACATCGTCGACATCTAAACAAAGAAAGCAAAGTTAGAATATTTATTTCTTCACGTCGCATATCAAAACTGAAGCATAATTGTAATTGCATTCTAGTCGAAAATACCATTAAAATTTATGTTTTTATGAAGCACAGTTACGTTTCATTGGCTAATTTGCGAAAGTTTGATGGGCTTTGGTCTCCCGTACTTGGCCATTGAAAGACCGTTCAAGGCAATTAAAGTGAGAGATTGGAACAAGAGCGAGGGCAACGTTTTTATAATTAAGTTCTTTCTCAGTGTCATAGACGTGGAAAGCAATTCAAAAGTAGGGGGATATAAGCAAAAAGGGGCATACCCGGGGGCTGCAGATAGGCACTTTACCTCATTTTCTGAAAAGCTGGGTGGCACACGCATCTCTGGGTCCCTTTGTCCCTACGTCTATGCTAAGAGTTTTAACGCTTCAAGGGGAAAAAGAGTTTCTAAGCTGATTAGAGCTCTTCTCTCGCAGCTTTAACAGTGATGTACCACGATATAAATATATTCAGGCATAAAAAATATCAAAAAATTGAGTAGCTAGCAATACATACTCCGCAGTCTTTTAATGTATTCGACACACAAGGCAGGCTTGTTGAAGTTATCCTTCAGCACAACCAAAGCGTCTTTGTTTATAAGAACTAAGTTCTAGAATCGTAAAATGGAGATAGTGAAAGAACACAGAATTCCATGCACTATGGTTTGTAGAGCACGAAACGAAAGTAATCAAATCACATTTAACCATTGTGGTCCTTAGCTGAAATAGAATGCTTCATATTGACAAATATGGCGACAATGTCCTTCATGAAAAACGCAGTAAGTTTTTAACGAAAATCTGCCTGCTTTGTATACAATCGCGCACCGGAATGTGATGTCATCAGAAATCTAATTTTAGAATTTCTTAATTTTGACCACATAATCTGACGGAACAGCATAGATACCTCTCAATATGCAAAATCAGTTAAATATGTTCAAAATTGGGCGTGATATGGCCAATGAAAGATTTCAAGTTTGCTAAGGAATTATTCTATTCTGGCCGGTTATGAACTCCATAAAGTTATGTACAAAGACAAAATTACAAAGGTGTGATGGGGAAAGAGCTTATGCTTATGTGGCCATATCTCAGCCAATTTCTAACACACCAAACTGATTTTCAACATTAAAGAAAGCATTTGCAGCCGCATTTGCATGAAATTCATACCTTCAGCTCGTCTACTTGGGCGACAACTTGCGACATCATCTTCCTGCAAAAATATCGCACACCGTACGGACCTAGAAGCTCTGCCAGAGATCTCATTTCTAAAAAGAAATAAGAACATTATTCCTATATGGTTTTCCTGGAAGGATGAAGCTAAAAACCGACTCGTCAAACCACAAAAAATCTGACAGGCCTAAGTAGAATCATTTAGTCATTCTACACGACAAAGAAGTTTACGTTCAAGATTAAAGAAAGGATAATTATGTAAATAATAATAGGTTTATAATTATGTCATGTATATACCTGTTACATCTGTATAATTTTCTGCTTTCAGGTTTGATCGACTTCGACTGACAAATGCCTGTCGGGCTGGTGAATAAATGATACCAGAGTCCCCTGTTACTCGTTTCAGGAATACGTCAATGTACCTAGAACGTTAAAAATGGTAACAGATTCTGTTGAATCAAAGAAGTAAGTAGATCAAAAGGAACGGCTTCAAAGGGTGTCAAAGGTTAAGGGTCAACAGGTCATGTCAGAGGACAAAAGAGCAGGGGCGGTCAACTATCTGAGGGACAAGCCTATTGCTCTAATAAGATGACGTCACATTTCCCCATTTTTAAAGAACAAAAGACCATTGTCCTTCAAAGTACTGGGGGATCGCCCCCTCGCCCGCCCAGGTGTCCGCGGCTATAAAAAAGTAAAATTGATTTTACAGGATAGATAACATGGGTTTGCGTTGAAGGGTAACAAAATAATCCATAAGCAAGGGCAACAATAGGCATTTGTTGTCTAAACCGTGTGAAACATAGTCACAAGAGTGAAATATGAAAAGTGAAATAAACAAAATTTCCGGACAAAAGGTAGAGGTAAGAATCTGAATATAAGGCACCTACCACGTGGTGTATGTACTTGTGAGCGTTGGACCCCCCGAGTTGTCCGTACTTTGTGTTTGCTGCAGCAGGGTTGCATTGAAGATCCGACCCATGTCAACGTTCACTGCAACAGATCAATATTTACATGACTAGTGATAGAATGCCATGCCAGCTACAACAACTGCAAAAGTCTTGCAACAATTATGTCAACTTACACAATATTACTCAAAAGTACAAAATTATAGGGTATCACGGTAGAAAATGCCTTTTTAGGAAGACTTGTGTGGTTTTTATTCATACTTTCAACACCTGTTGCGGGAACGAGAATGTTTCAAGTCATTTCGGCATTGCATATGAAGAGAAATTCAAAGGAACAACAAAACCAAATGTGAGACAGTAATGTAGCCAAACATAGGCTACAATTGCTATGATAATTGTCTTAGAGGAAGTTTTTGAGGCAGATTGCAGCAGGCGTTGTAGGCTCTGGATATTGAAAATGTCTTCTTCAAGAAAGTGATGGATTTTTTGACAAGTAGTGAGGTAGTGATGATAATTTCATGCTTTTTAAGAAACTCTAGCAACGTGCTGGCTTGTTAAGCATAGTGAAATCTCTTTTGGACATTCTGAGATCAAGATCCTTTATTACTAACAGTTGTGAACAAGCAAAGTCTAGCATAGATTACAACAAATTTAAAACAGATAACAAGCAATTTAAAATCAAGAATGATTGTATAAGAAAAACAAACCTGATTCCTCGACGCGATAGAAAGTTGACATGTAAACTTTAACATCTCTTAGCAGCAAGCTAGGCCGTGCGATTTCTTGAGTGGCTTCGCTATAATTCGCTAGCTTCGTAACGGTCCTAAAGGATCAAGTTAGAGGGAAAATGACAAAAGGACGGACCAGTTGATTCGGATGATAGAAGCTGACAGTGCCAAACAACAAGCAATTGCTCTGGCAGAAATTCTAGCATAAACTGTGACATATTTATATTACGTTTATGTGCTTCTCTCGGCGAGCTGCATTGTTTCTTATCTTTTTCTTAATGGCAAAATATCTCACTTACTTGGTGAAGAACTCTTCCAAATGACTGACAAGGTACTCTTTGGGAGTGAACGTGTGTTCCCAGACCATAATTTCCTTGGTATGACTCAAAGAGATCAGCAGGTCTTTTTGCCCTTGCAGTTTGTCCTCAATTCTAAAATGAAATTCATGATTAGCTTAGGATTTCAAGTGAAAATAAATCAATCAGTCACAGCCCTTTTTGCACGATCGTAAAAAACATGACTCAGTCCTTTGTTTCAATGACGTCATATTGTAGAATTCTTAACAGAGTTAGCAATCCGCTCAAGATTCATCTGTACAAACCAAAACAAACTATACAGTGTCTCTAATGAAATAACTGATATTTTAATGTGAGTTCATATAAAAAAGATTTCCAAATCAGTTTTCACCATGAATCAACCTTAAGTTCCCTATTTAACGGACCTAAGAATTCGAAACTTGAACTATCAACAGAAACCAGGAAAAAAAACCTTGACGACGATAAAAATCTAAAAAAATGTATGCAAGAGGCGCGTTAACCGAGAACAGCCAACTTCGGCTGAGTTTCGTCCCCGGGTTGAGTTTAACCCCCAACGTTAGTAAATCCTTTATCTTTGGTGCATGTGTACTCATGAAACACCTCAACCCGGGCTGACTTCTACTCGCTTGATTAAACAAAGAGATGTAAAAAGCTTTAGGATTGAAAATAAACAGAGGGGGAAATCTCCCGTAGAATATCTCATTTGAAGAAAGCCAAACGATGAGAAATAAACTTAACATGAAATGAAACTCATTCGGGTAGACTTTTCTACTGTCAATGAACCTTTAGTGATATTCAGTGCTACCAGGCATAAGAAAAGTACAAACGATTTAACTGATTTAAAAATTTTAATATACTTACGCTTTAACATCTTCCACGCTCTTTCTTCTGCTTTCCTCACCGGGTTTCCTCATTGGTGGACGTGGCTTGTCCTTCTTGGTTTTTACTGGCTCGTCAACGACGTATGAGGCGACTGAATTTCCAGCCCAAAGCTAAGACAGACAAAGGAACTTAACAAGTAAATATCAAATACAATTAAGATTGTACTGAATCTAATTAAAACGTTAAAAGTTCACGGGGGTTCTCATAACATGAGTAAGCTTGGGTGTCAACCCCCTGCGTTTTAAGTGACCTTATCCAGGACCCTTATATTCTAAAACTGTAGCATTGTACAAAAAATCACCTGTTTTGCGAGATGTAATTGGTCTTCACAGAGCTGCCCAATGAAATGCGTTGCCTTGAAAGTCATTGCGTTGAGGAAGGAGTTAACTGCAGAGAGGCTACGATCTCCAATTGGATGGCGCTGCGAGGGAAGAGAAATGAAAATCTACAAACAAGCACATGGTTATGATTATGATTGTCGTTATGATTTCAACAATCAACAAAGTATCAATGTAGGGCGGAAGCAGGAGTGAAAGAAGCGGCGATAACAGAGGCAAAGGGGGAGGCGATAATAGAGGCAATAGTAGAGACAATAAAAGAGGCGATAAAAGAGACAATAATTGAGGCAACAGCGAGAAGATCGCAGAGGCAGTGGTAGATAAAATGTTAGAGGCGATAGCAGAAAAATAGCAACGAAGTGTTAGTGCTGAATTTTAAAGGAACTATTTTCAATTCTTTGCTGTTTTATATTTACAATTCCGTAGGCCGCATAGAATTGTTTTACAAAATAAATGTGAATATTTCGAATGCCAAGAAAATAGCCAAACCTCTTCAGGGCAGAGTGGATCGCAGCAGTTCAGGAATTGAGTGCATATCATTGGGTAAGCGATAGCGAACCTAGGGGAAATGGTTGTGAAACATCAAGATGAACAAACATTAATGAAACCATAAAAAATTGTCAAAATTGGACATTCGAGACTTTTTGCTTCTTTATAGCTGTTTGTAAAGTGCCAAACAACAATTTATGTCCCCTTTTGTGAAAAATAGCCTTGGAAGGTTTCTTCTCAACTGGCATTTTCCTCACGTACAAATCCTGTACGAGACAAGCCTTTACCTTCGAATTATTTCCTTTTCTATCCCATTTAATATAAGTTTCCTTGTTTCTGACATTACAGCGCTCTTGCAATGAACCCCGAGTTGAAAAGGTCGCATTACACGTAAAAAAACTAGCAGTTACAGCTAACGATTGTGTTATTCTATGACTCCGCAGCTGTCTTTTTGACATTAAGACTTGTAAACCTGGAACCTGGGGTGTTTATCAACAAGTTTGTAATAAAAAATGACCAAAATGAGCAACCTTTAACGAATATATTGAGAATGATAACAGCAATGCCCTTTTCTACTTCAAAAATTCCATTGGTCCCATAAACGAATGAATTATAAAGTACAAAATTCGTTAATTTCATGTAAGAAAGAGTTCTTTACACGTGATAGGCTTACCTCCTTTGTCGAGGGTTCTCCAGACACGAAACAAATGTATTTTCAAAAAAACTTGGGTAGAAACTGAAAAAAGCGAAAAAAATTTGAAACATAAAAATAAAACTTTGTCTTATTGTTAACATTAAATAAAAAATATGTTTTATTAAGAAGAGCTTTGGCTCAGTGACATCAAAGATAAAATTTACCCTTGCTTGAAAAAGAAGGATCTCTTAAGGTGAACCAAGAAATTTTTGTTGTTGTGGTTACTTAAAACTGATTCGGCTGGCCTTATGGGCTGTCGTTTGTCGATGGAAGGGCGTTGGGCACAAATGTCTATCTTGATTTCATTTAATGAAAATTTCAGCTTTTTGATTCTGTTAATGGTTATAATAGCAATGGGCTTGAAAAATCCCCTGAAGCCCTGTCTCTAAGCCATTCGTTATTTGGACCGTTTTACTAAAGCAGTCATTACGGCTGCAGTCTCTTTCTTCATTATGACTTTCGATTAGAGGTTTATTTCGTTTCTAGGTAGATTCAGCCTAAATAGAATTCAATAAAATAAACACAAATTATTTCATAAATGATGAAGTCTCCAACCCACCAAAATAACGAAAGGTCTGAGACTTCATTCAAAATTTCAGCTTGGGAATCAACAAGGTTCGTATGCAATACAATGGTGTTCATCAACGTGGCCAAATCACGCATGTCTTTAAGCTCAGGGACCACGCCTCTTACACTCGTATATGCCTAGAAAGATAATGCACAGCATGAGCAATCTTAAAAATCGCAGATGGTAGAGTTGAAACACTGTAAATATTAGCAAACAACTTTGATCAAAGGCAACTATTACACTTAATTTCTTGAAGTTCGCACAGTTAAAAAAGGAATAATCATCGTTTAGAAAAGAACTGAAGGAGATAATCGTGAAGAGGTACGGACGTGGGGTATTGGCGATATCCTCTTCACATTTGGAAGGAGAAAACAATACAATCGACTGTCTAGGAGCACAAGAGCTTTTGTCCTAAGGAGAGGACCTCTTGCTTAGTAAAATCCAGGCTACAAGCATATGATAGGACTTTTCTTACACATCAATTATGTGGTAAGAGTATATTGCTGTAAACACAGTTTTCCTGCCTTAAAAGCAATTAATGTCTCAGCGTTGAAGTATGGTAGACCGCGCTTAAGTGGAAAGTATTGGCTGCTAGTGAGTAAAGATATGCATCCTGTGTCTTTGAATAAGCATCAAACGATTTGGCATTAACAAAAAATACAAATTGATAATTTCTGCATACTTCCACCCAGGGTCGCCGAGAGGGGAGCAAGTGGGTCAAATAGCCCCAGGGCCTCGAGCTCTGGGGGGGGGGGCTCCTTAAGTAATGAATTCCTTTTTAAAATTGAATTTGTTAAAAGTATCGCAACAATATGGTGCCTAAAAATAGTTAAGCGTTTTAAAGGATTGCAAGAAAATGCCTTGATGTGCCGCCACATGCCTCCAAAACCTCTCGGTGGCCCTGCTTTCACCAACAATAACCCAGCATCATTAACAGTCCTGTGTTTGCAGAGAAAAACCGCAAAGGTCAGCGAGCTACAATATCATAGAGACTAGATAATGATTTCCGAAGTATGAAGAAAACTATACGCATTTTTAGTACATTAATAGACGATGAATAATTGTACCTGTAGTCTCATCCAGTCTAATCTAACTCCCCTCAGATCCACCGACTCATCAGTAGTTGCTGAAAAACAAAATGTATGATATGGTTGTCCCAACAGTCTTTTTTAATAGACGAGAGTCTAGTCATACATGAAGTACCACTTGAAATATGGCGCTAAAAACATAAACCTTAACAACATTTGAAAAAGTATTCAAAATCCACCTAAAAACCACAATTCAATTTATCTACACCTGATGACTACCAAATTCATATTTTTTTGTCTGTAATAAAACAGTGGTATACGTATTTTGAGCATAATAGTAAATTTAGGAGTCTTGTTAAGGAATATTTAAACTACATTGCCATACCTTGATCAACATCAATCGAAGACAAGATTTCAACAAATGAGGTCATTATCAACGATTCGTCTTCAGAGCATACTGATAATTTCTAAAAAAGAAAGACAAGAATGATTCTATTTGAATTCAGCAAGAGAGAATCTTGCACACATTCACAAATACTCAGAGAAAATTCTGATGACTATGAGGTGTCCATGCCAACCCGAAACACTTAGTAACAAACATACAGATTAAAAGCTATGGAAATAGACCAAACTATAACGCACCTGCCCAGAGGTGACAAAGACCCGACATTAGCACGAGAAATTAGATACCATACGATCACGATTACGCCCGATACGAGTCCTATAAACTCAGGTACGACAAAGAAACGACAAAACCCGAAACGGACATGACAACTCAAATACAGCATGGATATGATAAAGTCCGATATGGAGCACGATAAAATCTGACACTGACACGATAAATTCAGATAGGACACCGACACGGTAAAGTCAAATGGAGATGACCAAGGGAAAGTTTGCCTCGTGATGAATGAAAAAGATTTGAAATAAAATACCTGTATAACTTCTTTCAGTACAGCAACATCAAATCCCGATAAATATTGGGCGAAATATCGTTGTATAACTTGACTATATCGAAAGAACAAATCTACAAAACAAAACAAAATCGGGTATGACTATCCATAAAAGTTATGACTACACCACAGAAATATGGGTACAAAACCAATTGGAAGGGCTTCTTTCAAGGCTGACTCGTTTTTTAGCTAGGCCATGCCTTCAGCCACTAAGTCAGGTAGAGATTGTGTCTTTACGAAGCACCATTTAGAGGGTAGTTTTTGCCATTTCCTTGATAGGGGAAGTTTACATTGTACAAAATTGTAAAATAGGATTGCTTTCATTAAAGTTTGTATTAGCTTGAACTAGCATGTTTAACATTAACTGCCGGCCTAATTGCATACGAATCTTTAGGATTCAACGCGTTGTAGTTTATAAATTACCCTTCATAGTCTTAAGAATGCCAAAAAAAAATTTGTGGTAGAATGACATCGCTATTGCATGCAGTCGTCAAATTACTCTATTACTATAAGCTCTTTAATTATTACGTATAACTTTCTGCGATCAAACTGATCATCGCAAGTTGCTAATAACAAAAATTAGTCCTCTTGTTAGATAACATAAACATCAATTGTTTCAATTCTCAGTTTCGGTTTTGAAACGTACCTCTTAATCCAACGATACCATGGAGAAGTCGAGGTAACTGACTAGAAAAAACCAAACGATTGATGTTAGATGGGAAAGATATTCAAATATTTATAAAATAACATCAAGACGGATACTACAATAAATGTTCCGTTTGTGTACAGTTTAAGTTAGCAATAGATTCTGTCGGTTTAGAATGGAAAACTGGTCAGTAGAAATCTCACTTAATTTCATTTCATTTATCGATATTGATAGAGAATATACATAACAGCAAAAACTACAAATGTAAACAAAGACAATCATCATTGACCGGGTTACATAAAGTAATAGAATCATCTGTATAGGAAAAACATAGCTCATCTTCAAAGGGTTCGATTTCGAGGTTTGCATGTTTCTAGGTGTGCCGAGAGTAAATAAGTAAAAGAATTTTTATACTTGGAGATTGAAAAATTTAGATATCTACCTGTCACTATACTCATCTAAGTTGACTTTTCTTCCCCTTGGCGGAGGATTACAATGATGCCTTAACAGCCAATGAATTTCGTCTTTTCCTAGAGACAAGGCTAGCAATGCAAGCAATGCTTTTGGACCAAGCAGCCCGGGTTGATCACCAAGGATTTCGTTCAGTTCTTCAATGGCCATTCGTAGATACTGGCGTCTGTCACGATGAAACGCAGCACTAGAAAAAAAACAAGATATCCAACAAATAACAGACGGTTAATCATTCTGGCCCTCATTTCCTAAGGCACTTCGGATATCTAAGGTCTTGTGTGAATTTACTGTCTGCTTCATCTTAGACTGACCTCCACTTTAAACAATCGAGTGTACCATGTGTATTTGGAGATCGCTTTTTTCTTGCCTTGGTAGTGCGCCGGGATCCTATTACCAAGGTGACGTAGCGCAAAAAGGCTGCGATGAGCTGATCAGATCAGGAGATTCATAGCGCGCACACGAGAGCGAACCAAAAGACTGTAGCAGAAGTTGGTAATCAGCTCTTACCCGAAATGCACGCTGATATAGAATACTCACTTGCAATGTTTGCGTTCTAACTTCAATCCTTATACCTCAGCCTAATAAACTAGGCAATCAATTACTGAAAACTTAGAAATGCGTAGAAAAAGTTATCATTCATATGATAAAAGCAAAATAATCATTCAAAAAAACATTAGAAAAACAGAAACATAAAACTTCTGAAATACTATTTGATCTTCAAAGGCACACTAACCTATTCGTCATGGCATAATTCAGGGATTCTTCTATATCCCTTTTCCTTTTGGAGTTCTCTTTCCCCTTCATGCCATCAAAGACCGTAGTAAATTCCTTATGTACCATCATGACTTCGTCACGAAATAGCATCACACAATACCCATCCTGCAGTGCAAGTTTCCAAATGTCCAATGCACCTGGCTGGGCAGTAAGCTGGCTTGGGCACAACATGTAGCCAACTGCGATAGAAGTAAAAACAGAAATTGATATTACAAATCTTTAAAAAAAGCGGTTAAGCACCGTAGTTAAGCCTTGCAGTTACGCTTTGCAGTAACGTCTTTCATTTACGTCTTATAGTTACGCCTTGAAGTTACGCCTTGGAGTTATGCCTCGGAGTTATGCCCTTGAGTTACGCACTCTGAAAATTCCATACAATATCTTAAAAGGCATTCGCTGAGATATTAACCACAAATACACGATTGTTGTAATCAACTATCTGTCTATAACAAGCACCTAATTTCTAACAATATAAACATCAATTTTTATGCAAACATCTTGGTTTCTTAAAATAAAAATATCTAGAAAAAGTAAAAAAAAACAACCCGCCCTGTACTTAAGATAAGCAGAGACAAGACATGGTTAAGCCTTGGCCAAACGATTCGATTTTTCGCTCGATCTTTCTCTCGACATTTGATCTCAAAATCGAGCGAAGTCGAGCATGAGTGGCCAAAGGATTCGATCTTTCGCTCAATTTTTCACTCGACTTTTCACTCACACCAACAAAATGAAGGCAAAGAAGCGCAAATCGGCTGCCGTGTTTATCTTACGTGCAAATATCCTTTTACAATCTCTTGACGAACTCTAGCGACATAAGACCCTGTTCGTTCGTTTCATGCAGGAACCGCCATTAAATACTTATTTCATTTAAGCAAATTACTCTTTTCAGGCATAATTTTGTTTCTTTTGATTAATTCCATTCCTAAAATGGAATTCATCACTTAAAAAGGTCCCCTGGACTTCGAGGCCACAGGGTAATATGCTTCCCTGCCCAGCATAAGAGATGATAACTGCGCACGCGCTCACTCGACTCACTCGACAAGGTGGCCAAACGATTCGATTTTCTTTCGACAACACCTTGTTCACTCGACTTTTTTGATAGAGATCAAACTTCACTCAACTTCACTTGACATCATTCGACGCCATTCGACTTGCTCAACAAGGTGGCCAAACGACTCGATTTTTCACTCGATTTCTTGTTGAGTAAAAAATCGTAGAAAAATCGAGTCGTCTGACCGGGGCTTTAAATGATAAGTACGAAATCAGGCAAATGAAATAGCAACTCACAAAGTATCCATTTCGCCATTTCTTCGATCGAAAGATATTCACACTGCACCTAGAAATCAAGAAAACGATGAAGATTTTTTATTTGAAATTTGCTACATAATATTTTATGGGGGTTTAAAAAGCATCAAAACACAGTTATAGGGTCAAAGTTGTCCTGTTTATTAAGTGCCTACTTGAGTCGATAAGGTGATATTCAAAGACAATTTGGTTCCTGGAATTTTCAGGTCATTTAAAGCAAACTTCATGAACCGAACATTTACTGATATTGTTTTAAAGAGCGATGTAATTTTGATAAGGATCTTCAATGCTAATGTTTTTAAATATAAAAACTTTAACCTGCTTTGCAGAAATGACACTTCAGCTCTGCACTGATGAATTACGTACCATTTCACTTTGCGATGGATTCAACATGTTCTGTGGCATACTTGTCAAGCTTAGATGTTGCCCTTGTCGCATCTGTAAATAAGAACATTAAAATGTCATTATTTTGATATCATTATTGCCCGAATTCAAAGAATGACAAAACAACCTTAGGTAATGCATAAGGAAGGCCTTTAATAGCGAGCCTCAGAAAAACTAAAAAGCAAACAGTGAAAAATGGCTGGTTTCAGGACTTTTAACTAAATCTGTCACTGTCCTCATACACAGCAAAAGAATTGATGAGGTGAACCATCCAACAACTCACAAACCATACTTCTCGTTGCAGTTGTCCCAATAAATACTTTTGCGAAACTTACATCAGCATCAACATGCATTGAAGTACCAGTCCCATGCTAGAATGAAAGAGCTTGCAGCTGGAAATAAGAGCCCGAAAATTAAATGAAACAGGAACATACCTGGTCTCCTGGGAGATTCCTTCGTCTGTAAAGTTCATGCACAGACTGCAATGCTATGCCAACTCGCTGAGAAAAAATAGCAATTTTAAATCATTATATGATGCTAAGACTAAAAATTTCTAAAAAATGGAAACAGGGGCTAACATTGTATGTTTTTTTAGCCTGTCATATAAAAAAAAGCATTGTCTTTTTGACTCTGAAAAAATTCTAGTGTTTTAATCTAAATATCTGTTTTAACTCACTTATCAATAATGATTATTTCAATTGACAAAAAAAACATAAAATTCGTAAAATTGCAAAAATGTACAAAAGTAAAATGTTTTTGAAGGATTGGATTAAGTAAAGGGTGTGTGGCTAGCTTGGATAAGCTCCAGTCGCCTTACTATTAAATTGTACATGTGCTGAGCTCTCTTTGTATAAATTATTATCATTGTTATTATGGATATTCATACTTGGGCATGTGGAGTGAATTCCTCCATTAGCTTCTTGAATGGAACTTCATAGTCCAAAATCATTTGGCCAAGGCGTGGAAAACCACTCTCACTAGAAGGCAAATAATCGGGATAAGTAGGTTGAAAATTATAAATGATCAGGTTTTGAAAGATAGAATTTTTAAGTTAAAGGCAGTTTAAGACATTGAGGAAGTATCTAGCTTGTTATCTGGAGTAATTGACTTCCTTGTCATCAATTGTAGATAAATCTTCACAAAAATGCTATGAAAAGCAAATATTTATAGATAAATATTTGTGGAATTCTATGGAAGTTAAAATACTGTGGGTAGCTAGAGACGGTGATTACAGAAAGATCCACCTAGTCTCAAAAACTGATACGTCACTTACAATGTAACAGGTTATGAAAGAGAATCCAGCTTTTCGGTAAAGTAAATTGACCTTTTCTGTTACTAAGTTTGGTTTCCATAATAGTGAAATTGAATATGATTTACTTAAGCCCAGAACATAATTCCTTGTATAAATGGAGCCTTGACATTATTCAAAAGCAATTGATAATGCGAGGAACAGCTCTGCAAAGGCAGGGCAGAGGAACGAGTACCCCCAGTATCAACCTGTGAGAATTCTTGTGCTTTCTTCAGATAAGCAACACATATTTTACTTACAAAAGATTAGGGAACATATTTCTATTCTGATCTATCATACAAACAGATTTTGCCAGCTGAATACTCTTTTACAGGCCGATATTGCCATTTAACAACGTAAACAAGCCACAGCCAAGTAGAAACCCACCCTATTGTCAGAATTCTAGTTAGGTCTATTCCTTTAACAAAACTTAGCCATTAATGTCCTTGCAGCTGTGTGTGGCTATATTCACAAAAATGCCAACAAAGTCCTGACAGAAGGGACCTTGTTTTAATAGAACATTACTGGTGGAGCTTTTGCATGACACTCATTCAATCCTTCTTCATTTCAATAGAAATATGGACAAATTATATCTATATATGAATCAACATTTAATGTTCATAACCACAAATTTGAAACATGATATAAGCAAGCACACATACCCATGGCCCTTTTGTATATCATATGCATGATTGAAAAGACTGAGCACGGTTTTCCTGTCTTCAACTCGGCTGACCATGATGAACAGTGTTGCATATGTGACAATCAGATCCAGATAGGCTTTTGTAAGGTGAAAATTTAATGTCTAGAGTAAAAGTAAATTGCTTAGAATTATAAAACAATCACTCATTTGTTGAGCTTTGGTGTACAAAACAGGACGGTTTTGAGTTGTAACTATGAGTCTCACATTTAATGCAGTCATCAGGAAATTACAACTCTGCCAATATGGCATCAACCACTTAACCACCGACTGGGGATCATAATAAAATAATTGATTGAAAAGGTACTTACAATATCAAAATTTACAAAACTTGCATCAATGGATGTAAGCAGCTCGCCAACATGATCCTTGAAGAGAAAAAGGTTTATGGGTAAATTCAACTTCTATTCCTAAATCTGAATCTAATGTTTCTATAACATAGTTATAATGTTGAGTATGATTCTATAACATCTTAACAAAATATAATGTTGAGTATGATTCAGCAAAGATGACAATTCCAACACAAAGTAGCATTAATTATTTGTAAGAAATAGGAAATAATGTTTGAACAGAGAAACAAATAATGGTTTAAAGTGGAAAAATTGTTAACTTAGGGTTTATGTGACTTGTGTGTTATCAGAGATGCTGATAAAAATGGAATCTAGGGCTAATTTTGTCTTGGTAAGTCTCAAAATCTGGTTAAGGAGACTTTTAAAAACATTCACCTTGAAGTCCATGACATCTATAAATGTGTAATAATAGTTTGTGAGCCCTCTCACAATATCAGCATGCATCTGGAACACTGGCTGCATATTCGCACCCTACAGGATGAAAAACTGAATTCATATTTTGTATGAAAAAATAATGAAATTGCTACAAAATTTGATGTGAATAGTAGGATTGCTAATAGATAAGCTAGGCAATGAGTTTAAGTCATTGGCTTATTGCAGATTTGCTCTTTTTTGTAAAAATAGACTTCAAGACCATTACGGGCAGCTGTCCCCTTGCTATGCTAGTGCTTTTTCCTATATATATTGAAGACATATTTATTTATGTTCCTGATCTATTCGACTTGTGCTAAGTTCCCTCTTAATTAAAGCTTCTTGTGATCATGCAAAATGATTTCAAAATAATTTCAAAAAATGATAAATATTCTGCCAGAAGATTTTGATACATTAATGCTTGAGAGTCTAAAGACTGTGCTCATGCGAAAACAGAATCTCAAATTACATATTTTCAAATATAACTGAGTAGGATAACTTGCCTGGACATGTATGTTTAGCAAAGCTAATATTATATGCTTATCATATGCTTGGCTGTTTTCATCTAGAACCAATAGTTTGAGTACCAGGACATTTCTATGCTACTTTTTTAATATCAACCGGGCTTTTCCTTTTCAAGTGGACAACCTTGTAATGCTTGATGTAACAGTTTTCTGCCTTAGATTGCAGAGAATCATCTCCTGTCTCAATAAAGAGACACTTAAAAGGATCAATCTATTCATGCAAAGGAATAAAACCAATTGCACCACCATGGTCCTTATCTCATTGTACATAGCAATCCTAATATTTTGGGTGATGATCATTTTCATGAGACATTTCATTGAATTCCTAGTAAATATGTGAATTATAAAAAGTTAGCACTAGTGAGAAAAATGTTAATTGTCAAGTTACAGTTTATTCAATGTTTTTACAATTTGTATTAAAGTTTGGTTTTATAAATAATTATTACCTGTCATATCAATATCACAAGGTCAAATTAATATATCAAAAATCGATCATTCCAAAACATACCCTAGTGTTCTCCAAGTTTGGGAACTTTTTCAGAATAATTTTGATTGCTCCCTCCAAAGATTTTTCACCCAAGAAGGCTGGTCTTGACTTTGCATCGGAGCATGCCTGTAATAAAAATCAGTTGACATGCTGTCAGTAGCTTCAAATCAGTCATTTTAAAATGTCAGTCTACAGAGAATGGCAGTTCTCAACCAGACCTTGCACATGCACAGTTATTTCAGTCTTTAGTACTAAAACCAAATTTAACGATTATATGGCATGGAAGTAGAATTTTTTCTACAATACTACAGTTTTAAATTTGTGTGCAAGTTCAAATTTAGGCCTGTTCCATAAACTGAAGATGTGTAGGCATTTGCTATACTTTGCAGAGTGCAAGAAATGTTTCACCTAGATGTCAATATACCTGAAACACAGCTTCTATATATGCGGTACATACAAAGGAGTTATCTTGTCATATTTGAAATAAAGATTCAATAATTAGCAAATTTACTTAGCTAACAGTCCATAGAAGAATAAACCACTGATAAACAGAATGCAAACTGACTAAAAGAGACAATCATCAGTCTCACCTTGGTAAAATACTACGTTTTACAGAACAAGGAAACCAGTTTAAAATTCATGCAGCATTGAAAAATGCCAGTAGGGTGAAGATCAAGAGAGCAAGCAAAATTGATTATAGCTAGTTGAAAAAAAATTCTAAAAGCAAAGTAAAAAGAAAATAAAGATTATACTAGCATTATTTGTTGACCAATGGGAGTAAATAAGCTTTTACCAAATGGTGATGAATACAATGAATCATTGTTGCTGACCTTTATCGTAGTTTGATCTTAAAAGTCAAATCTAGAAATTTTTTCAAAAAGTTTCATTGGCAGCTTTAGCCTTCAATTACAATACAATTTTTCCAAAGAAGATCTCTCTTTTTTCAGCATTTTTCATACTCATTTCTCAGCAACGCAGAGGAAATTCTGCAGGGGGTACCGACCTTCACTGAAGCCATTGCATTACTCGTTCTGAATCATAAACAATACATTACTCGTTTAATTAATACCTTCTTAATATTGAAAATTCGTGTAAGCATGCCCCTTCCTCTTCGATTTAATATAACCAATTTTTCGGCTAATTTTTGTTCTGCAACTGTAACAGATCGATCCATGATTGCGTGCTTCGTTTATCAGTCTCTAAGCAAGGAGGTTACAGCAGGGAGTGCCAGCAGAGCAGAGTGGGCCTAGACAAGACAAGAGCATGTAACACGACAAGGTCTTGCGCCAGTAAAATACATAACTCCTGCTGATAAATCCAAATTATTCGATACAATTTATAAGTGCAACAGTGATATAATCCTATTAGTTGTCCATTTTGCAAGAAATCACATATCAAGACACTTTTGCCGGCCACTCCAACATTCCATGAAGCTTGGAAGGCGGAAACCCGAGCCTGCTTTGTAGTTACCAGTCTTTTCTATATATCCAGGGCGATGCTCCTGCACAGAGTCAGAGAATCCCACCCTTCTTTTAATTCTAGTCTCACCCCTTGAAAAATTCACAATTTGTTTTCCTTGTAATTCCTATTCATGCGACACGAGTGTGAACATCCTTGTGGAATAGTGAACGACCGTTGAGAGCAAAGAAGGTAGGAAACTGAGCTGGCACAGGTAAGAAGGAAACACAAAATGATAATTTTTCAAGGAGTTAGAATTGAATAAGTCGTAAATTTTTTTACTAAAATTGCATGTGTTTTATAGCAAAAATCAGTGGCCAGAAATTCAGGCCTTCATTTGGGGGGGGGGCAGGCCTACGATTTTCCGGCAGGATAACATCTTGAGTCACATTTAATTTTAAGGAAACAGCACAGTTTGATGAAAATAGGTGAATTTTGGGCGGGATCCTTTAGAAATCTTTGCTGACCACGCCATAACTGAGTAGCAAGAAGAACAATCTATTTATGATTTTTGATATCAAAATCGATATCTCAGCTAAGGCAATTGATGATACAAGAGGTCGACCGATTACACTTTTGAGAAGGCGTTCATGATAACAACATGATTGTAATTGTAACGTTCATTTTCTGCATTTCATCTTGTTTTCTTCAGTGGGAAATACGTTTGAAAATAACTTTTGTTTGAAAGAATCCGATGGAAAATTTAGTTAATATTTACGGAATTGAAATTAGATATACAATTCGCAAGCAGTTTTAATTTTTGTCATTTATTGTTTGTTTGATTATTAAGTACTGGCTAATATCTTATCAGCTATATTCAAATTTTGCAAAAAAGGGCACAGAGAGGTTATAGAGGCCCCTGGGATAAAAAGGGAAAACGCGGATCACTTACGAGCGATGCGAGCAGAAAATTTGGCAAACACGCCCCTTAGATCAGTTTAAAATACACTTCAAAGCGATTTCTAGCAGTAATTTCGTCACGTTAAACGTTTTTCAACTTCCGACGAAAGACAACATTTTTCGAAGAGAGCGCTGACTGGGGGGGGCGAGCACCCCATGCCCCCATAATTTCCGCCACTGGTAAAAATGGTCTTCAAAAGAAGCCATATAACAGGAATCGAATAACTTCAAAATCTCTGTACTTTTTCTAAAGTGAATGCCCCACCCCATGTCACCCCAATTGTAAACGATATTTTTCATTTTCTCCAACGAGTTCCAGGCTGTTGAAAAGTAAATTTGTTTTCAATTACCAAATAAAACTGTTTGACTTGAGGATCAAGTCAAATGTAATCTTAACAAGAGATTTCCAACTTAGTCTGCTACTACCCTGGGTACAAAATCAAATTAATGAATTCGAGTATCAAGTATTGCAGACGGCTGCGGTGGCAAAGAATGAGCATTCTCGCTCAAAAATATATTTATGTGACTAATTTCGATGGTTTCTTTGTGAGACTAAATAATGGAGACTCGGGGCACCCAGGGTAGCCTGCTTCAAACTCACCTCTTAGAATGTTCATCCAAGATCTCCTTAACACCGACAATGGGCTGGCAAAAGTTAAAATGGAGCAAACAAGAAACACCGCAAATTAGTTGTTCATTCTCGTCGCATTGCGGTGTTTCTTATTTGCGACATTTTCATCGATTTTTCGCCGCAAGAACTCCTTGGGATCCGTCGAGCAGCCTGCTACCGTGACCTTTTCTTTATTTACACAAAATATTAAAATCATGGACAGTGGACAGATTTATTTCAAGGTCTATGTGCTCCTTTCACACGAATTAAAAATTACCATGTATTTGATATGTATTTCAAAATTTAAAAGGGGTCTCATTTAATAAAATACATTACTCCATGACTACATAATTTATGTAACAAGATAAAGCCCCTTCTGGAGAATAGCATATGCTTTTAGGTATTCCAAGTTTATCGAGTCTTGACTACAGAGATATTATAATTTGGCTTACTTGGTTCAAACCTTCTGGTTGAATAAAAACAGCCAAAAATGGATGCCTTTTTAATGTTAAACTTTTCGATTAAATTTTCACGACTCTCTCGAAGTTTCACAGGAAAATAAATTATATAAAATACCAATTTTGATAGATACATATATAAGAAGAGAAGACAGAGAGAAACAAGCCTGGATCCTTTTTGACGCTTTGGAATGAATCTATCAACACTAAATATATTACATTTGAAACCTGATAAAAATCAATACATACATGAAACTCTGCAATTAACAGCTAATTATCATCCATGACGTCATAAATAAAATCACATCAGAAACAACTTCTGAAAGAAACTGCGATAATCGTCGTAAAGTATAACAAACCAACGAACTTAATGTCAACTTAAGAAATGGGTTGATCACGTGATCTTTGTCTTAATCATAAGCAGGTCTAGGCACAGGCTGCGGACATTTTGTTAAATGAAAATCATGTTCCTCTTATCAAGTTAAAATAAATACAGCAATAAATGGCGAAGCAATCATTCCAAAACAATCTTCACCGTAAGAGATTTAAAATAACCATCGTACAAATTTTCGCCGCATCCTGTCATATTATCGGTCGAATGGGGACACTTTACTAGAAACACGAAAGGTGACAATCTCATTCCTCTGTTTAGCTGGTATAGTCGAAGGTGATCTTGCAGTGGATATGCTGTTGCCTTAATTAGAAAAGTTATATCACTTCGGCAGGTTCGGCGGGGAAATTTTGAGACACCACCTATTGTCATATCAAGGTTGTGAATAACTTATTAGGCAATTTCGTATCAAATTCAACAGTGAACAAAAATATGATCACATTTTTTGTCAACACTTTCTATTTTGTCTTATCTGTATATGGATCCGTACATGGTAGTTGGTAGTTTTGAATTGAGATATCTGCCGCCTCCTGCGTAGCCACATTCAAAGTATGCAGCCTCGGAAAACAGTCACATGCAACTTGTCTTAAATATTAAGGTTTTTAAATGTCACATAATATGATTCTCAGTGCTGTTTGCAATAAACATGCATAAAGATCAATTCGCTTAAGTATTTGAAGCCTAAACGCAAAGATTATCATGACTAAGTCGATACTCCATATACGGATTTGTAAACAACAAGACACGGCAAAGAATCGAAAATAATTTCAAACGGTAATTAGTTGAAAAGGATCAAATTGAAGCGTGATTCTTGCTAAATGATGTGAAAGTAACAGCTGGCAAACGGTTAGACAAATTAACCAGAAATTGCTAGAAAAAACAACAACAAACATTTTAGTGTATGGGCTACGCTGTTGACTTCTCAGGGTTTGTCGGAATGGCCTAAAAACATGTTCTTTTACTGTCAGCCACAAACAATCAAAAATGAAACAAAAGGCTCGTCTATCTGAGAACAGCTTTGGCTAAGAAAATAAAAAATAACTTCCTTTTATCAAAATATATATACCAGAAAAATAATGAAAGGTTATTAGGAGTGATTGAACGATGCAAGATGGCAAAGATTTATAGAAAAGAACAAGTCTGTTCCGTGTCTTTCTTTCAGGTGAACAAAGAGCGTTTTCATCTCGAAAATAACCAAACGGCTTTTCCTTCTTAAAATAACCGCCTAGAAATTATGTCATGTTCTGTTCATTGAACAAAATATATACCGCCCTCACTTTTCCACCTCTCTTCAGTGCTTCATAGGTGTCATGACAACGACCTCTTTTCCATGCTTTTAAACAAGCGCAACATATTCTGCATTATGTTCAGCAACCAGACGGCTGATAAACATCTGGTGGTAACCAATGATATCCCAATACCTTTACTGGCATTAAACGACACCTTCAAGAAAACTCGTGTCTAAGTTTTTCATTAGAGTTCGCAAAAATGTCATTTCTTTGCGAGTATTCTCGTATATCTGCATAGGATCGTCAGAGGGACAACGAAGACAGTTCGGCGCCCAAACCATCGCCAGGTTGTTTTCGTCCATTTTTGATACCGCTGCTACATCAGGAGTCATGAATGCCTGTGAATAAAACATGGAATGAATGTTTACAAAATACAGAATGTCTACAAAGAAAAAAAAGAATACCTAACAATAAAATATGAAATGCCTGTTAAAAATATAGAGCAGATGAGTACAAAACATGGAATACGAAATGAAATGCCTATTGACAAAATACAGAATACCGTTAATGAAAGGATGATTAATACAATGCGTAAGGTGTGACAAATCGTCCACCGTGAAAATAATCTTGCAATATTTGATGGGCTTAATCCTATTTCGCCTGATTCCTATATCTAGAACAGCAGAAATTGGATTGGCAAAAATTTAAATACTCGCAAGCAGCTTAAAACATTTAGGTACAAAATGAAAAAAATATACAGACAGCCTAATTTAAACTCACTGGGAATCTACAGAGCTTATTTAGAATGTTTGACTATATCGTGCATATTCTAGGGTAGATCGTATAATGTTTTGAGTGTTGAGTGCGATAAGATATGATCAGAGCGGTTTTTACAACTAGATTTCTGTCATCTATGATGTAAAATGCAACAAGCTGAATGCATGAGGTACAAATGATACACTCGAAGTCACAATCACCAAAAACATCATCAACAACAGCAACAACGATCAATCTATTCTTTAACACCGTATGCTAACTGTGTAGAATTACCATACCTGTAAGAATCGAATAAGATAACAGAAAACCAAACTATTCAGCTCAGGTATAGAGTAAACAATGCTAAGTGCAACAGTTGGGTCGTCGCAGTTACGAATGCACTTTTCAGTGAGATTTGAGTTAAGGTAAATCATCAACATAAGGTGTGAATATTACAATCTGCATCAACACAATCTACATAATATGATGATCATTGTTTAGATGTAAGCTAGTTCAAATGTTTATAATGCAATTTTACTTTAACTACAATGAAGGAAATTGAAATTATTTGAAGGATGTACAAAACTAGTAAAGTCCGGGCAGGATTTTTAAGAAGACTAGCTATCAATATAGATAGAAGAACAGGTTAGAAGAAAAATAGATCCTAAACCAGTTGATGAAATTCTGCATAATTTAATGAAATCCTTGTCTTGATGAAATCCTCGTTTCTGCATAATTTAAAAGCACACCTAAAGCGAGGAATGTTCAATGAAAGCCACACATATCTTTAGCTTTGAGCACAAAAAGTGAGGTTTCTTTAAAAACCTTTAAAACAATGCTCATTTTAGCAGCAAATCTTGATGTTAAGATTCCCCGATATTACCAAACACCATAAAGTTATAAACAAAATATCAGTTGGAAATACACACAAAAACAATTATAATTCAAAACAATAGAAAGATTTGAAATTTGAAAAGGATATTAGAAAACGTTTGGAATCAATGGTTCGTAAAGGTCTCTGAACCAGAGTTTCAACAAAGATCCTGGGATGTGGGGGTCTTTAACTAACGTGGGTGCTTGCCATTTGTCGATTTGAACTTTCAGGGAGTTGACTTCATCGATGTCACCAGGAACCCTGTAAAGCAAACAATGACCTTCTTCAACAAACTTGGTGATAACTAATACATGCTCCCTCGAACACACTACATGCCACTACATGTCACTACATCTAAACGGCAATGCTTGCGAAGTTTTTGAAACACAAAATAGCCTTGAGTGATACAAATACCAGGAATCGCTTTACCTGTAGGCAAATTACTTAGAAAATTCACATTCACCTCAAATTCAAAATATTTGTTTACCTGAAGATTCCTTCGGTGCTCAGCCCATGATTGGCCAAGACAAGTTCCGCTAGAGTCGTCATGATCCAAGGTAACCTCCTGCTTTTGTAGTGCTCCTCTTGCATTTCCATTATGTCTTCTAGTGTATTGCCAAACATGGACGGGTGAAACACCGATTCCTGAGAAATCAAAACGAGATTATAAACAGGTACAAACAGTCAGATAAAAATGACAAAACTGTATCGGTCATACGAAGAGAGAATACTTGTCAGGTGACCCACCGAGGGATAAGACAGCGATGCAACAAGGATGGTTTCATTAAACTTATCGGTGTTTATTACTGGGTTGGGTCCTAAATAGAACTAACCTTTATCTATTCTACCAAAACTCCGATTACAGGAAGCCAGATCGAATTCCGATCTTTTACAAGACCAAAAGAATAATTTACAGATACAGTAAATACTTTGTTTAATACCTTGCTCTTTTTTAACGCCCCCATTTTAAACGGTTTTCTGTTAGTCAAAAAATGGAGTTTAGTGGAGGCTTTGATCAAAAAGTGTTATGAAATTTTACTTGACAAGAGGATAGAAAACATATAAAATCAAGAAATGCTTTTTGCCTTATGACATGAAACACAAAAATTTCTGATAAATCAGCAATTAACGCCTCCTCTTTTTAACGCATCCCTCCCTTTACACCACCTTCAATCTAAATCGGGTTGAGCCAAAAACCAAAAATATGTTATATTTCTTGCGGTTTTAGATTACGTTACTGTGTTAGGTCATCCTAAAAATTTCTGATAAATCAGCAATTCACGCCTCCTCTTTTTAACGCATCCCTCCCTTTACACAATCTTTAATCTAATTCGGATTGAGCCAAAAACCAAAAATATGTTAAATTTCATGCGGTTTTAGATTACGTTACTGTGTTAGGTCATCCTAAAAAATACCTTAGCTTGCTCGATCTCCTCCACAGTGGGCCTTTTAAGCCCTCGTTTGGCGCCAGATTGGCAAATCCTCTCCAGCTGTTTGTAGCAGTGCTTTGCATATGTTGAAATTGGAACCTGCACATAAAGCTGGGTGGTTAGTTCGGAAAATGCCTAATAGAAGCGCAAACTGATAGAAAGTAAATATTGTGTTATCGCTTTGCACAACTATGATTTGGCAAGAAAACAAATTTCCAATTAGCAACACAATCCGTCAAAGAAGTAAAATGCTTAGTGGTGAAAATGGAAAAAATGATTTATTTTGATTCATAACATAAAAAGCATTGATTCAGAAAAACTAAATCTAGAGTTTTTAGTAAAAAGGCAAAATATGGTAAAATATCAGTCTGATGTGGATGTGGCAATGGGCCGCCATGATAGGGACGTGAGGTGGGCAAAGGGGTTGGTCTTTAGAGGGCATTGCATCACTCCTGGAACAAGAATCTGTTGGAAAATCACAGTATTCGTCAGCTGGTCAAAGCAAATCTGCTTCATCGAGAATCTATTTCTACGGCAAAACCTTCAGAAATAATGCTACAACCATTGTGCCAGTAAATTTCTTATCTTACGCCAACCCTTGAGCTGCGATGGCCTTGGGTATTTGGCAAAACAAACTGCTCAAAGCATACTCACGCCAAGCTCGTCCATTTCAGGCTCCAAATGCCTGTATATATACCCCTCTAAATATGAATGAAATTTATTTGACGGTGGGAATATCGATAAACACATGGTTATCAATTCCCAGCCTTTCTTTAGACTCGTCCTAGAATCAAATGAAAACATTATTCAAGATCTCCCGTGGCATTTTTACGATCGCTCAGGATCTCTTTAAAATCCCACAGAATTTCAAATTAAGGTGCTAAAAGAAAGATTCACTGAAGAATGCCCGTGGATCCGATTCTCAGAATTTCCGAATGAAAAAAATATTCATAAAGCTGCAAACCAGATCCTGAGCAAGGACAATCCAACACAATGAGACAGCTGTTTGCGAAAAAACATACAGATAAGACTAAATTAACGAAACTTCAACTCATGGGTGCGTCGTGGCCGTGGACCTCGAAGAAGGGATACCAAAGTTTCGATAGGCTGCTTAAAATACTGCCATTCATCAGTAATTAAACAAATACTATACAAAGCCATACATTAATCTATACCTAAAGAAGAATAAATACATACGATTTTTCGTTGCAAGTTGTTTGTTTACAAAGCTGGATGTAGATTTCGTCTCTTAGCCCCGGGGTGCTCCAGCCTTTTGAAACGACTTCAAGGGCTATGGCAGAGGATGACTTTCGCGACCCTTTGTCACCCATGTACTGCAATGTTACTGAAGTAAAGTTAAGGTATAAAACACTTTCAATTTGAGCTTGCAAGTCTCGTTTACTAAATTTAAGGACAAGCAGAAGACCAGTCGTAATATGAATCTGCGAAGACTCTATTAGTGGGGAAATACATCAGGGGGAACTTTTAAGTGGGGGTCCAGTGACTTAGGGGTATGATGACTTGGACACTGTAAGCGGGTTTCTGTAAATTAGTGTTTACGTTAGCGAGGCCCTGTTAATGGGATTGATGAGTGGGGGTTCTGCAAACAGGGATTCTGTAACTAGGGTGTTCCATGAATAAGGGGATCGGTAAGTGGGGTACGAACTTCGAACTGACTGGATCCTTTAAGGTACTGGAATCCATACAGAAGCTTCGTCCTTAACAGACAGAATAAAATTTTATTGCGATGGGATACTCTCTTCGGCAGTTTGATTAATAGTTTAGGACAAAGAACTTGGTATATTGAAAGGATACATTTAAATACGTCGATTGCCTCCTTCCTGAGTTGCTTGTTTCTCGTCATCACCATTGGTTTCTTTATTGGATTCTGAAACAATTGAATATGGGATATAGAAGAATAAGTGATGACGTCATATTATGTGAACTGTACTTTGTGAAATAGTTCCACATGTCCTGAAGCAGTCTGATCTAACAAAAGCATTGCTGTGATAATGCCAAATGCATGCAGTTTCTTTATCCAGTCACCGTAAAAACGAAGTTGATGTAGAATATGCAATGTAATATATAAACGCAAAATGTTCTTCGGGTCAGTTTTCTAAAGGAAGGGGGCTGACCTACTACCACTCGTCCGAAGGCAAAGTTTTCCATGCCCCACCTTCCATTATTGACTAAAATATGACATTTATCAATTCTGATATAACTTATGTTTTGATGTTTCACCTTGCAAGCTTGCTTCTTAAATGTCATACGCTTAAAGTTTGTCTACCTTAGACCAGGATAACATGCTTGCGATTGACATCCTTCTTCGTAAGAATCCTTTGCGATGTTTGCTTAGCGGGACCTCTCGCGTTAAATCTGCGGCTTCAGGTGCACTGGCGTTAAACGGAGTTCGACTAGCAGCTTCGGGAGCATCACGTGACTTTCCATGCTGAGAAAAAGCAGGTATGATATTACAGACACACAGTGAAACAAGTGTGACAATATTATTAATTATTAATCAAGATAAAATAAAATTCATTTCTTTTTAAATTGATAGAAAATGGGGTGATCGATAAAACGGCAGTAGCTGATCACAAACCAATTCATTTGCAGTAGATTACTACATGTTCGAAATAGTTTCTTCCAAAACACGTCATAAACAAACGAATAAAGCCAAGGCTGTCTATGATTAGTTAGCACCCCCGCAACTAATCTAAAATCGGACATTATAAATTAACTAACAATGAATTTGGCAAATTGAGATCTTTAGGAAATATCTTCAGAACTGAAATCGAAAATGCACATTTTCTTCAAAGCAAGAAAGCTGGCAGTATTCTGAGGAAAATGGTAGAAATGAGAACCTTTGATGCAGGAAGAATTTTCGTCCAATGTCATGTGTGTTTGCTAAGTAAATTGATACACGAATATGTTCTTGCAGTAAATTCGATTAAATTGTATGATGATAATTTCTTGATGCCTTTTTTGCTAGACCAAGCTCAAATAATCTCTAGGAAGACCATTCTTTCTCATTCTTGTCAATTTCTGCTTAAACCCACATTTATTAGGAAGACTGCTCTGGGGCGGGGGGGGGGGGGTAATAGTAGTGCAGTTACATCGACCACACCCAAGACCACGCCCTGTAAGAGCACTGCTTCCAAAATACTACTTTGATTTTTGTAAAACATTTTTGCAAACGTAGAATAATAGATACTTTGTGCTGGGAAGCGACTTTCAAAAGAAAATTTGACTGTAAAACATGAACTACTAAAGACAAAATCAGCTTAACTAGTAACTTGGTCTTTGAATGGGGGCCGACCCCGAACAAATTCTTTTGCGAACCAGATAGAAATAGCTATATTCATTTTAAATAAGATCCTCCAGCTTGTTCAGCTACAGGGCCCTTTTACACAATCCAGCTGTCTTGATACAAAATCAATGAGGTCTGTGATCTTATACAAATTCTGCCAGGTGATCTGTTCTTCTAAAGTGTAAATATTTTTCAAACATCAAAAGTTTAATTCTATTTTCAATTATACATATAAACTATCAAAGCAAAAATCAAACACTTTAGAAAATCAAGCACAAACCCTGAAGACGGTGAGTCAGGCATATACCTGATCAAAACACAGATCCCCGAACAGATTTAACCGGAAAATAACGGGGGGAAGTGTAGATTTTACGCACTTTCTAGTTGCAGCCACGTAGCTACAAGGGGGCACGGGGAGGCTGTGCCTCCTAAATGAAAATTTTAACAACAGCTTGCCCCCTCTAGCTACAATTTTTTTCAAATTATATTTTGAAAAACTGGCATAATTATAATTCCGTAAGCTTGATTTAGTCCAAATATTTATGTTTGTTATATATCTGCTTTCTTGTTTTAAATCCTGCCCTCTTAGGTATGGTTCTTGCTCGAGTTTACCCACCCTAGCCGACATCTACAGCTACGCGGTGTCCCAGTAAGGAACGACAGAAACCAAATCGTCAAACCAATTTTTCTACCTATATTGATATATATTTAAATAGAACTTTATTTATTCTAAGCATATTTTTTTACATCTTTTTATATTTTTACATTTTACATTGTACACGGTTTACATTTCAATACAAAGTTCGCCATAACAGCAGCTACCTAAACTCACATTTATCAATAACCCTTGCTAACTATTTACTTTAAACACAGTGAATACATGAGATAAAATATATCAAGTAACGGGGTCCCAGAAATAAATGCAATTATATTTCGATAATGCGAACTCTAAAAGGAACGAGGTAAATTTTTCAAGTTAACAAATGTCTGGGAGTTTCAAGGAAGATAGCAAAATCAGGGCAATGCTGCACAGAAAAACTAATGTTAATTTCAAAGTGTCCTCTTTGTTTTCAGCAGATTGCCTAGGAAACATCTTGGGGGCTAACATTGGTTGCAATGGAAGAGCTTCGGGATGTCTTGGAGTTGATTGCATCTGGTTCAATCCTGTTGTGGAATCCGAGAGCTTTCATAATGTGGAAACGGATTTCTTTATCACAGAAGAAAAACAGCACCGGATTGAGTGTGGCATTCACAAGCATGAACATCCAAAGCCAATGCAGAGTTTCTTTAGTTACTTTTACTGCGGACTTACCGAAGACAAATAGAGAAACCCCGATTAGATACGGCAAATAGCAAGAAAGTAGACATGACAAAAGCAATGCAATGAGCACAGCGTTCCTCTGGTGTTGACGCCATTTGCGCAGTTTCTTGCGTCCTGCGGTACGATTTTCTGCCATGTCTGATCCAATCTCTCCCGGAACCATGAGCCGAGGCCGATTTCCAGCCATTTCTCCTTCTATGTTGCCAACCTTAAGCCTCTCTATATCTTTCTTCACGCGCTGGGTCAGCAACAGAATTCTTCCAAATGCAAAGACCATTAAAATCCCGCCAAGCGTAAGCAAAGCCAACACGGAGATGCCTGAAGCAAAACTGAAGTTGGACAATCTAAACATGATGGTAAACGAAACAGACAGCACATAAACAACACCGATACAAATAAAGGAAATTTTCGAGTTGCTGTACTGCACGTGCCGGAAAGGATAGAAAATTGCCACGTAACGCTCGATTGTTGCAAGAACAAGCATTAGAAATGAAACAAGGCAGAGAAACAAGCCGAAGACGCCAATAGTGAAGATTAGGTTGCAAATAATGATGTCATATTGCTGCAAAATGAGGTGAATAGTGTAAAGCAGTTCGGCAGTGAAGTTGTAGATAAGATCTGTGACAACCAAATTGATCAACACAGAGACGCTTCGGTGAGTATTCGATCTCCACAGGCGGATAAGACCAACGAAAACACATATATTCAGCAATGAAGAAATGAATTCCAGAATGCAGGTAAAACCAATTAGAATGCCAAATGACCAGGAAGGCGGTGAGTTTTGCGTATCTAGAACAAGCCAAGAATTTTTGCATCCAATTGCTTTTACTTTAACGGTGCTGTTTAAAGACATGTTTTGATTCTAAGCCAGCACTTCTGCCCAGCTATACTGTTGCACATAAGTCAAAGCAGTCGACTACGGTCTAAAACCTTGTTGCAACAAAAACAGATCTGCGTAACTGCCTCTGCACAAAGCTTCCTCTATTTGATATCACGGCAAATAATGACATGCAGTTTAATAGATAAGAAATCTTGCTTTTGCTCTGCCTGGAACTCGTTATGAGGATGCGTCCTACAACGGCTCCACTGATGCCGTTTACTCGCTCGGCAATAAGAATTTCAGCTACGAGCGCGCAAAAATCAGATACGGAGTGATTTTATTAAATCAGAGATCGAACAACCACACTGAGACTTTGAAACATATCTTGTATGGCATTCTGGGTATAATCACGTCAGCAGAACTAAATTCAGTTTAATGTTACAAATTGACGCAGCGGCAACATCTGCCAATCCTCAACGAAAATCAGCTCTTTATCACAGCTTGTGTAAACTAAATTAATAGCGAGATAGCGAGAAGATCATAAATTATGTAAAGTGTTGCATAATCGCAATTAGCTTGATGACACTATCGGCTTTGAGCTATTTATACATATTTCATCCAAGCTAAGGTTTTTATCATAAATTGTACTTTGCTAACTATACTCATCTTATGGCAATTTGTATGTATTTTTTTAAATAGTTGGTCTTAATTAGCTTTTAAGCTATATACTTTTAACTGCCAACTTTAAATCAAAGAATTAATAATAATAAAAATGATAATGATAATAGATGTCAAATAAAAATACAAAAGCAAGATTACTGATGGAAGCGCGCCTATTTTTATGACCGCTTTTTTAGCCAATATCACCAAAAGGGTGACTCAGAGGAAAGTTTCAAGGATCTGAAAAGCCATTGTAATTATTGGCATGCCTAACTGGCACAAATGGGCTTCGTTTCCAGCAACAACTAAACGGGGGCAAATTAGAGGCCGAACAAAAGGGGCCGTTCGACACGAATTCTTGAATATGTTCAATTGAAGCGATGAAGAGCAAACATGTAGTTCCTACATTTGTCATAGTCTCGAAAATTTCAAATGAATCGTGAACTCAACGCGATATCGTGACTATTGTATGTCATCTTTTTGATGTTTTTAACTTTACGAATAGATATATCAAGCAGATTCCAAAAAGGTTCACAGAATTGGTCGAATAGCTAAAATGGGGGTTCAGAGAGGTGTCCATATATCTAAGAGCCACCCATAAGACTAAGAGCCATCCTAAAAACAGTGGAAACATAGCGTGGTTTAAGTGCAGTTCTTGAGCTGATTGAGTTATAATTTGTTTCTCACGATCGTATGACCGTAGTTTTCCTGGGTATTGCCGGCTCAAACTTTGGATTCCAATTGAACACGCTTTTCAAAGAGATCGCTCCACAAAGTAATTGGGTTTCAGGGTATTGTCTAACGGCGAGTGTTATCGCAGCTAGTGACGAATATTGCAAATCAGACCCACACATATCAAAGGCCAAGTATTGAGATGTGAAGAGAACAGAAAATCAAAGCAAATATCCTGACAAAGCTACCCAACACATGTTGAAAACAAAACGACCTACCCCTGAATTGAAGTTACAAAAACAAGCGAAATGCAAAAGATGAAGTAAAAACTTATGCTTAGGGTAATACAAGAAACATAGACCGATAAGCAAGTGGCTTGAATGACAATAGCGCGTAGTCCTCTAAACAGCAAACTGTGAGGGCTATTACAAGGAGGGTGGGTTCTACAGCCTAAGCTTGTAGCAAAACTTTACAAATTCTTCTTGCTGAACTGCATGATAAGCTAAAATTCCGAAAATTCACAGCGATTTTTGAAATTTTAGAAATAAAGAGTTATGGGCTTTATCTTTGCCAATCATCCTCGGTAAAATGAGAAAAAGAGGATCAAAAAGTGAATGGGTCTCAAGAAAAATACGTTCCTATATCAGTTTATCGGCATCTTGTTTCCACGGTTAGCAACAAATCGTATGCAACGCATATTTTTCTTGTAACCACCATAAACAAAGCATTTTGTCATACAATAGTTTTTGACGTCAACAGAGTTTAATTACGATGCCACACAGCTAGATGCAACGAAAGAGAACGTCGCTTCCTTATCAGTGTTTAATCATCTCCTCTGTGCTCTTTAGTTTTTCGTGTTAAGTTTTTTGCTAGCTGTTATCTTGACTGATTAATTTAAAAAAAGATGACACGAAACTTATTTCTTAATTAGTTTTGACCACTGTTTCTCAGGTTTCAAAGCAGGTGGCCAAAACATCTGGACATCTGAGTGCATTGTAGGTGTCAATGCAAATGAAGAAGTGATTTTACTTGAGAACGAAAATAAATCCCTACAAAGAAGAAACCATGTTCTTTAGGATCTTTCTTGGGTCTTGATTTTAAGGGTACAAAGGCAAATTGTATGCTTTAAACTTCCTACATTTGGTCGTTACGTAAAATGTGTATTTTCACGGTGATCTTTGAGGTAGTGCACTTTAAAATAAAAACCTGATGATTTTCCAGGCTAAAACAGGTTCCACAAAACAGTAAGCTGAACCCAATTTTTTAGAGATTCTTTGTGAAGACTTAGTGTGTATCTATTTCAATTTAACTCAAACAAAAAAATTACGTTTGATTTTAAATGGGAAATTCTCGCATTTTTGAACGGTTGAACAGAAAAAGAGCCCCTGGCTGGACCGTTGCATAAAAGTTAGTTTTCAAATTTCATTTAATTGGTTTCATCGTCACATTTTATCGACAGATCACGAAATATATCTGAATATCTCGTTAGTAGAACCACTGTCACATAAAAAATCATGCTATCTTAAAGATACCATTGATAAAATTGGAAATTAAAGGTGAAAATTGCACATTTTGCTTTGGCATTTTCAACGTGTTGTTGACACGCCTTGTGATAAGAAACATGGACAGTTTTTATTGCTGTAATCTGTCGATTCGTCTAAATGTGAAAAAAGATGTTTGTCTTTGAGTTCGTAAAAGAAATGGAACAGAAGAAAGTATTGTCTAAAAGTTACTAAGAGTTTAACAAACAATTGCCCTCGTTTTCGATATTCAATTCTTCGATTTCTAACCGACAAGAAGACGAGGGTGCTGTGGTCCTTCGAGGCAACAAAGAATCAAAGCGTTTAATGTGCATCTTCAGTTTAGAAGAATCTTTAGATATCCCAGAACCGGTCTTATACGAATGATATTACCAAATAAGCATCATGCACTGCAAATTTCAAATTAGCAAATTATATTCTCTCTTTTCATTAAATAATAGTGCCATTTAACAAGGGTACGTATTTCAGCGACAATTTATGCCAGTAAACTCCCATCCAACTTAACCTGTCTAATTTGATCCGAAAATATAGGCAAAGGGCACTGACAGGAGCCTTGAGGAGCACCAAAACTGATATTACTTATCCATAACAGTTAAGATCAAAGAAAAATTGGCAAAAGTCCATATTCTTAATATTCTGCATTTGTATCAATTAAAAGCAAACAAGTTTTTTAGAATCGATTCATTTCCTTGAATTTCTTATTAAAAATTCATTCGAAGTCATTTAGATTTGTTCAGCTTAACAACATTTTTAACAACTTTCTATGCATGCATCGCTTCTTTTGTCACTTTGAGCTTGATTGCCCCAAAATAATTCAGACAAAAAGTATTTATCTAATGTAGGTCCTTTGTGCAGGTTAAATTGACTTTTCCACCTAAGAAACCTTGAGAATGTTTTTGAAAATACAGTCTTTCATGTGGCTAAAGAACATTCTCACCAATTAGGAAGTTCATATCATAGCTAAGCCCTTATTCCAGATTAATTTAGGTGTTCATGAATAAAGAATAATTTTCAGCCACCAAAACAGAAACTGATTTGGTAGTGGTAGTAAAATTTCTTAAATCTTTCTTTATAAATGTAGCTTTCCCTTTCAGTTACAAAAAACTAGTGACACATCAATACGGCTATTGAAACCAGACCCTTTCTTACAGGATATTTATGCATGATTTTCCTCCGGGCGCAGGGAGAAGGAAATTTTTTCATGCCCTGGATAAAGAATTAATGCTTCTTCCGGTTTCATTTGCCTTTCTGACGGTTGCTTTCCGAGCCTGCCTAGCTAGGAGCAGAACTCAAGACTAACTGTGCTCCTTTGGATGTACATAAATGACCTTTCCTAAACCAACTTTTGCAAAGCTAACCAGGAAACGTAAGGCCAGTCAAGCAGCCCTAGTTTCTCAGTTTTACCCACCTTCAAACAATATATCATACAAAGAGGGAAAATAATCTCACCGAGGGCATCAAAGACATCGGCCTGTTTGTGATTACTGCCTTCTCCCCATTGGCTGGGCTCGGTGGCTTGCGAACAACGACAGTCGTGTCTGAGTGAATTCGAGTGAGCCTTGGTTCAACCAATGGGGTGCCTGGGGCAGAGGAAGGGTCACAGGCATCCACCAGTACCGCTGTCTCTGAAGGCATGCCCATTGTCGTGAGGCGTTCTGCAAAACTCTCGTTTGAACCAGGAGAGCGGTCTGTGGATAAAAAATTAATTCCCTAACTATCGAGGAAGCGATGAATGCTACAAGAAACAATTAAAATCCTTGCAAAAATTTATTGGAGAACCTTCGAACCTATACAAAATCTCCAAAGTCTTAAAAAGTCCCCCCATTACAATGTTAATAAGTTTCAATACTGCATGACTTTCAGTGAAAATCCAACTAGGACGGGAAGCATAAACGCTTCTAAAGAAGAAATCAGCACTTTACGAGGGGAGATGATATAGCAACAGCACTGATGGCTTGAAGAGATGGTTAAATCCGGGGGTTGACAACTTTTGGCCGTGAACATTTTGGGGTTCCGACTATTTCTCGGAGGGATTGTAGCTAGTTTCAACTTGGCAACTTAGAGAGAAATGTGACCAAATAACACCGAACAATGGACAAATATATTTGTCTCAAAATATCTTTCCTCCTTTCAATGTTTTGCAAAAGTAACCTTCAACCTTACCTTCGATATTTACTATTCAGGAGTTTTATTATGATAGCAAACAGTGGCGGCGCCAGGGGGTGGTATGGGGGGGGGTAATAACCCCCCCCCACTTTTTCGAAACATGGTATACATATTTCGTTTAAAAACGGGTTAAAAAGCACTAGGTAGGGGTAGATCATATTTCCTAAGGAAATTTGACCTGGTACAATGCACTGAAACGAGGCGATTAGGGCGTGGTCTCACTGGCCACGCCCATTACCCTCCCACTCGGCAGTAGCTGGCGCCGCCAATGATAGCAAATATGATCTTTGATGCAAAGACATTTTGACTAGCCATCTTTTGATGCTTACTGCCTCTTAAAATTTCAAGAAACAAAAAATTTGTAAAGACAGAAAGCAAAAAATAAATATAGTCAAAAACTCGTGAAAGTGTTTCCTGAACAATGAGCCAGCGTTCTCGATCCAACTTGCAGTAGAAATAATAAGCTTACCATTAACCGACCCATCATTGTGGTATGTTTGTGACCTTTCTAGTGCATTCCCTAACGGTGTGAATTTCTCTGGGTTTTTCGTTGGCAGCAGAGTGCCACTGGGAGATGACGTTTCGTCTAGAGATGTCGATGGCCTAAAGAAAAGTGTAGAAAATTCATTAGGCTGTGTAGAAAAAACAAACTTTGTTTATTGAACACCCTTGATTGGACAGTATATTGTTTATATCCTTAATTTCAACATTATCACAACAATTTGCGATGCTTTAACGGGTAGTTTTGATTACATTATTTAGGGATAAAAAGGTAGTTTTGATTAAATTTTATTGCTTAAATACTTAAAACAGATTCATTGGAACAAAATAATTCTTTCAAGTTGTTTGTGTCTGAGGTTTGATAAATTTTAGGGAAGGATCTGCGTGTGCAAACAATTGCAACAGAAACATAACCAGACCAGGATTTTCTAGAAGCTGGGCATTTTAGAGGCCTCATCAGCTATAAATAATATGTATGATTAATATGCATGAATAGCCCTATATTCACCAGGACAGTTTATCAAATTTGTTTACGATGGCCAGATGGTGATTTTCAAGTTTGTGTTTGCATTACTTGATAATGGATATCCAAGTAAATCACTTTATACGAAAACTTCAAACTTTTAACTAAATGAGCAACTGTATGATGGTCACTGATGCATTATTATGTATTATTCAAAATCTGTATCACATCTGTTCTGTATCACCTCAGTTTTGTATCACCCCAATTCTGTATCATATAGCTCTTGCCGTCCACTTATAGTGTAAAACCGATACCAGGTCTGCGAAAATGCTACTTGGAGAAGAAACTTAGTCTATGACATTCTCAGTTGACCAAAGTTGACCACCGGACATTGATCTCATTTGAACAATGCGAGCATCATACATTGTTGCTCATGGTTGAAATTTACAAAACAAGGAATAACTTGAATCCCTCGTTTATGATGGAAATTTTTGAGGAAAAGGCAATGCCGTATCAACTAAGAAGCTCGAGCAATTCAGGGGCGGATCCAGAGCAAATTTGAAGAAGGGGCAGCTGGTAGTAGGGGTGCTGAAAAGTTGTCAAAAATTGGTTACGAGAGTACGCTGTATACAACAATTTCAGATACCTTTATAGAATAAACAACATAAATTTGTGGTAATCCTTGAAACATATTAGTCTATCATCTCAGTAACTTTTTCACCTGATTCTCATTCTTCAAAAGGGGTGCACAATTTCCAACTCGTTGAGGGCGGGGCAACTGCCCCTAGTTGCCCCCCTTAAATCCGCCACTGGAGCAATTTAAACCCACCAAAAGTGAGAACCACATGCTATGGTACAGATACCGTAAGGTTCATGGGTCAAAGAATATGGGCAAGATTACCTATAGAAGTGAAAACTTCAGTCTCTTTGACTGTTTTTTAAAAACATCTAAAGACAAAAAAATGCAAACATTGCAACTGTAGGATTTGCAAAACTTTTATATATGGTTTAGGTTTTTTGAAATTATTTTGTATTTCTTTTGTATACACCTTTTGTAAATAATTAGCCTTCGTTAGTATTTACTTCTAGCTATTTCGAACAGCCAACTTTAAATCAAAGTATTAATAATAATGAATAATAATAATAATAATAATGGAAACTTTTCATTTTGAATTCCAGTTAAAACTACAATTACAAATCTCACTATTACAAGGTAATTTGTAACTGGCTAGTCTGTTTTTACAAAATAAGACTATTACAATCGTAGTGAAGAGAAAAGAAAAAAAAACGTTAAAAGGAGAGTAGCTCTGGGTTAGTCCATGTTTTGTTCCTACAGCAGAAAATGTAATCGGTGGTACGAATGGATATCGTAGAAAGCTTAGAAATGAGATATCGTTTGTGCTGATCAACGATGGAAATAGAGTCACACATTTCAAGGAATGAGCTGCATGAGTCGCCGAAGATGCCAAGAGAGCTGATGGAGAGATTTACAAATATGACAGATTTGAACCTTGGTCTTAGATCTGAGACAAGGCGAGCATATTTTAAACGTTTCCTTTCTGTATTGCAGTTAAGGTTAGTTTCAAATCCTATCGTTAGTTCCAAAACATAAAGAATGTTTTCCTTTGTACGCAGAAGTAGATCTGGGCGCAGATTGTCTCCAGTTATGATGGATGGTGAGGAGAAGCCAGGTATATCGGCAAAAAGAGAGGATCCCTCTATTGCTTTCAAGGAGGTTGCAAGAAAATTTAGAGCAGAATTATGACGCCAGGTATAACGACCTTGTTCGAGATAAACTTTGCAGCCTGCAACGACATGGAGTAAAGTTTCGGGAAGAAGGCAGAATTCGCAATCAGATGATTGGCTTAGGTTCCAAAGGCTTAGATTTTTGCGCGTAGGGAGATTATTGTTCAGGTACATGATGGTGAAGTTGAAGATGTTCGTGGGTAGGTTGCTCTGCACAACAGACCAAAGACCATCGAGCTTTTTAAGAGAGTGGTCCAACAGAAATGAAATAATAGCACCCTGGGATATAGTAACATAGTAATAATAATAAATAATAATAATAATAATTATAGAAATCATATATTCCGACATAAAAATCAATGGGCAGAGGCCAGAGCCCTGTGGCACACCTGTGAGCCCTGTGTTTACATAAATACCATTGGTATCAACTACCCTGCACCACTGTAACAAACTGCCGCTTGATAAACGCTAATAGAGATGAATACACCTTTAGAAAATTCTAAATACTTACTCTTTTTAATAAATAAACCCAGGGGGAAACTTTCACATACACTGATACGGCATGTGTAAGTTTCTGATATACCTTCATCAAGTAAAAAACAAATTTTGAGGTATAGATTTTAGTAAAATCAAACATGGTCATAAATTTTGGGAATGATTTTTAGCATGACCTTAAAGTTTGGGTTATCATTTTTCAAAGAAAGGTAATATAATCTAATTTACTTGAGTTGTTTGGTCTTTGCGAATTTGAATTAAAAAAGGGTTTGTATTCCATATTATACCTAAATTTTGGGGTAGGGTTTTTTTAAAATTATGAATTTTAGGGTGTGACTTCATATTTCTAAATGGAACATCCCGTCCTCTGCCTGTAGATAAGAAATAAGAAAAACGATGGAAAACGTCGCTATGGTTGCTATAGTTTAGGCTTCTGAAAGACCTGTAGTATGCAAACATGGGCTTTTTAAAAGGAGCAATGTCTGATACATATTTGATTTGCAAATCCATCAAACACCATCACCCTAATAAGCTACTTAATAACAAACACATTTACTGTCCACGAAAGATCGGTGTGATGAAACGACAAACATACAAAAATAATGACAAAACGAAATAATTGCCGTACCTTATGACGCACGTCAGAGAAAAATAAACACCACCGAACCTCTCTAATTCGCAGCACGCCATTTTTCGAGGCAAACTTACAAATTTTCAAGCTATCACTGCCTTATGTTTTACGATCCTCGCTCAGCTACATGTGCAAGACACTCACAGTGGCCTAGACCAACCACTGGCCTAAGTTGATAAAGTAACGTGTGGCTATGAGTAACTGAGATTGAAACGTCATAGAACAAGAGTAAGGCTGACAGGAATTTTTTATCCAGGAAATGGCATGACAACACTTATAAGGGAGGTGTTAAGGGGGCAACAGAATCATCATTTGCACACCATTCAAATTGATCCAATATCAAACCATGGTAACGAATACGCAATAGGAATTTCTAAGAATTTCAAACACGTGAGCAAATCTAGAAATATTTTAAACATTTTTTGGATCTGGTGAAATTCATCCAGTTTGTATCTGCATAGAGTGGCAAAGAACTTTATACAGAAAACTATTTCGTGAAATTTCTAAATAACTTCAGTTACCAGGGCAATAATAAGGCTGCTTCGTTATTACATCGCGTTATTATGTCAAAATAAATGAATCAGATAAAATCTATTAACTTTTCCAGCTAATCTGGAAAGCCCGCCGGCTACAAACCTACGTACTGAGACAAAAAACCATTCTATTTACACATCTATGATTTGCAAGACTGGTCGTAACCTGGTTATGCTTCCACATAGATTGAAATATAAGCCAACTGCAACCAAATTGCCCACGTAAACTAACGTGGCCTTGATCACAGCCACGTACACCAAAACCACGATTACTTCTTTTAGATTCTTTGAGTAATGGCTGTCCCAAACTTACTTAAAAAATGAGGGTATTTTGTAAATATTACATGCTTTTTTGACAGACTCTAATGTTTAAACAAAAATTCAAATAAATATGAAATCTGTGGGAGAATGAAGTTCAGAAGTGTAGCAAAATTAAAGAACATTTTCCGAAGTTCCAAAAAATAAATGCTAGGGTATTATCAACAAACTTGAAAAACATAGAGAACTGCCGATTTTGTTCGTTCAGATTCATAAATTGTCTTCACCCACGCTGCAAGTCTGCAAACAATGCATAACTCTAAAAAAAGCTGTTTCATTTTGGAAAATTTTGAAAAACATTGTGATTTAGAAATACAACTGTAACATGTTTTCTATACAAGATATAAATAAAATACATTGTGAGGCATTGAAAAAAGGGCCTAATTTTCAAATGAAACAGTAAAGAATTTGATTTAACATACGTCCAAGTGACAACTCCAGGAGACTTGCAACTGAGGACGATACGACAGAAGCAAAGAAAACACTCAGAGGAACACATTTCAGCCATGAATCAAGCCAAATTCTGGCAAAAGTAGGATACGGCTTCTCCAAAGCTTTCCCTTAATACGACACGCTTGCAATAATCCCAAGATACTCGAGGCAGAGTAGGGAGATAAACATTAAGCTCGAATGACTTAAGCGACTTCATCGTTTTCATCAATCAATCTAATTTGTGACAGGCAAACACTTTGGGAACAATAAGATGCCATAGGTTCTTTGAATCTTAACAGACATAAAGGCTTGCTTAGCCAAAATTCTTTTAATTGTGTCGTTTCAATCAGTTTAATGTAAAAGCTAGTCAACTGTGACTAGCTTTCCAAGCCTAGAGGGATTCTCTTGGAAATTGATCAGTTGTAACACGTGGATTTATAAAAATTCATAGCTAACAACGCATTCAACAAAAAGAGAGACAATGACGTCATCTATCTCCACAAAGCAGATTAATTTTGCGAAAAATTGAGGTGGATTATTCTGAGGGGCAAACCACTCCATAAAAGTTTCCTTAGCCTTTGGCAAAAGTCCTTTTGCTTCAGGCTAAAATTCACAAAAAAGTTCTAAAAATCTAATTGTTCAGAAAAATATTGTACACTGTTTGAAAAGAGTGATACACCCTTAGGATTATTCTCGGAAAATGTACAATAAAAAAGATGCAAAGGCCAAGGAAAGACTAGTGTCAATAGAGGAGGACATTCCATACGCTGATGCAACCACACCCAAACAGCACCTTGCCAGTTGGCAAATTTAGAAGTTGTTCCCCTTATTTTTTATGGTTTCGCCCCTGTTCGTACACAAATACCGCTCTCCTGACTCAAATAAGAGTTGTACAGAGCGCTTCAAGAATATGGAGCAATAGCAAGTCAAGGTGGAAAATAATGATAAGGTGGAAAATAATGATAAGGTGGAAAAGCAAGATTTCCAAAAGACCACATATTTTTGAATTGATGTTACGTACACACAACCTATATTTACAAATATAATAAATACTTTTATCCTCTTCCTTTTTAAATATTCAAATCCATCTAATCTTCATAGAAACCAAAAAGGTCCAACATCTACTTTTGAACTTGACAAATACCAACATCATAAAAACAAACAAAACAAAAAAAGTAAAAGTGAGCACACGACGAGAACAGAATGTCGAAATTTGAAGAATGAGAAGAATTTGTTTTTCCATGAAGTTTTTGCAAAAATTTTCAAAAGTTCTCTTGAAGAAAAAAACATACAAAATAATTAACCATGGAATTATACGGAAAACGCAAAGCAAGAAGGAACCTCAAAGCATACCTGATATATAAGCATTGACAGATGTTTCTTTTATGCTGCTTGAATTTAAAAAAACAAAATGGACACATTGCCCTTAAGTCAAGCATCAAAATAAAGCAACGATCAAGTTAAGATGACACCGTAGCACACACGTCTCCTTCAGACACCAAGCAGTTGCCACATCATTTTTCCACTTTTCGCCAGTTGGCAGGTGCTTTCTTTAAGCTTTTATTTAATTTTTCAACGAGTGAGTCTGCTGCTTGTCTGGCCTGAAAATTATTCTTAGGCTACTCTGCTGCAACCAAGCGAAACATTATTTTCCATAGGCTTGCTCCTTTCAGAAAACGAATTTCGTATTCTTTGATTGCATTCTTGCTGCTACAGTGTTCCCTCATTGCACTTCCTACTTACAAAGATCTTGAAGAAAGACCAAAATCTCCAGGTAAACTTATACAGAATCTACACGGCTGGTGGCCAACCTTGCTAAAAAGTTTCTGTCCAATAACTGTGTTTAAAGTATCAACATCGAATTGATTGGCTCACTCTGAGGATAGTAACAAAGACAATTGTTTGTTTACGTCTTTTCAAAACACCTGCCTGATCCTAATCAAAGTCGCGTCTAGCCAAAATTGAAGGTCACAGTATAAGTCAAAGACCAGAAATGTCTATTAATTATTAAAGATTCATTGGTAACCGTACTCATCAATCGATTATAGGATTTCTACATTATAATATATTAACAGTGTTGTTGGATGTTTATTTCGAAATTTTCCTACTGTCATGGAGGTTAAGAAAAACCAATGGACCAGGTTGATTGAGAAAACTTCAAGTTGGCATGGCATACGCTCACAAAAGCAACTTATGACTTTGTTGTCCTATCACATGTGTCACTATACTTAGAGAGCAAACGCCGTTTAACATATGACCAAAAAGAATGAAAATCTAACTATACTGAAAAGAGCCCACGTTGTAACCAAAAAAGATGGGAGGGGGGCTCTCTATTTGCAAAAAATTATACATTATTCTCAAATATGGTTTTACCTTTTACGGTTTTGGAAAAAAGGCACAGAGTTTTCTTGGGGGAAGAGTAAAACATGAAGGTTAAAGATCGACTGGGACATATCACACAAGATGCGCTTTGGCTACATTCACAATTCCGGTTGCTTAAGAACCCGAAGACCTGGGAAAATTCTTCTCTTTTCCTCGCGTGTTGTCCCTTGGGAAAAATTACCCTCTTTTTATCTGAAAAGTCCTGATTGTGAGATATTACGACACAGCAACCTTGAGGTGTCTTACGTAACTTGTTGTTGTAGCAAGATTAAATGAGTTGAAAAGTAGTAACTTACTCGACTCCTTTTGACTTTTTAGGCACTGGGTGCCCATCAGGTGAAATGGGCAGCTGTCCACTGTATTCTTCCATTTCTTGAATCATTCTACTGAATGGAGATTTGATTGTATCGATCTCCTCTGGCTGTCCCTCATTTTCTTTGTCACTGCCCGCATTCTCCTTACCAAGGTCGATCTTTGGAAGTTGTCTTCTGCCATCTTTTTTGGCTTTCACAATTGGCAATGGTGGTGGTATTGGGACGTGGTTCGGCGGCTTTGTGGCGTTGGGGCTGAGTGGCTTTGGCGGCGCAACAGGAGGCGGTCGGTTAGGCTTTAATGACTTGCTCTGGTTTGAAAAAAAAATAAGTTTGCTACAATGAAATACAAAATAGACAACAGGAACGAATATTTGTTAACGCTTGTTTATGAGGCACAGAGTTGTATAAATAACTATATCAGCCTATTAAACAGTACAAAATAGCGCGAAAAATGCATGGCACATTACACTCGAGCATGTTTCATTCGGTTCTTCTTAAAGTATGAAGGGGTCGATAATGACAACAATGGTAACAGAGATTCAAATCCGGGTGCGGATCATAGAAACACGAGAGAAAAAATGGCATGTTTGGCCAGTTTCTTTTGACTACGTGAAAGGTTAGTGGTTTGCTTGAGAACCAATTACAAAAAGCAAGAAAGCAAGAAATGAGACCCAAAATAAATAAAAAAAATTGCCAAGCCGTACCCTTCCTGCAGGTTTCATTGCACTTAACATCGCACCATCTGTCGAATCTCTCCCATAACTTTGATCATAATCTGGTTTCTGCCTTACATCCAAGTCCTTACTGCCATCAACAACTGCTGTGCCGGATTCTTGAGACTTTTCACAACCCGGTTCTGAATCACTATTCCAGCTATTTTCTCCTTCATAATTCGGTTTCACGTTTATTTCTGAATTATTCTTGCCTTCATAACCGGGGAGAAGCGCTGACGATCGTTGAGATACTCCATGTAATTCAGAATCCGATCCTAGATGAGACTCACTTGAAGCCGGCATGCCAATACGCGGGGGTTTGGGTGGGGGTTTTCGTCCTATTTTTGGAGACACCCCTTGAACCTTGACAGTTTGAGATCTTAGCTTGTCGATACCTTTATTGCCAGCTTTGAAGTTGTCTGTTTCACTATCATCCACCGATGAGCTCCGGGGAACGCCTGGCCTAGTCTTAAATGATTCCTCCTCCTGGAACTTGTTCGAATCGCTTGTGAAGCTTGCAGTTCGAAACGCTAAATCAAGCTCTCGTCTGAGTCTATCTTTGGTACTCGCATCGCTTTTAATACTTTCTATGTCCGAAGCCTCGCTTTGGTTATCATTATCACGTGAGTAGCTAATAAGATTGCCGTTATTTGTTTTATGTTCTCGGTCATTGTCCTCTTTATGAAAGCTGTCGTTTTTCGAAATACCATCTTTCTGTTTGGTTATACTGTCCACAGAACTCTTCTTGCCAGTTTCTTTCGCTTTCAGTTGCTGAAAGAAGAAAAACATCACCCTTCAGTAGAAAAGACGTCACTTTCAGTAGATACCAAGTAATTTCCATCCACTGTAACTAAGATTTGTTGCAATAAGACAAACATAAATGAAAGAAACAGAAAGCGTTAGAACGCAATTATTTTCTATGCCAATGGAAGCTTTTTAAGTTCGAAGGGTAATACTCTCTCCTTCTCTAACGAAGTTTTAAACGAAGTATTTAAACAGTTAAACAGTTTCAGAGCTCAATTGCGAAGCTATGAGACCCTACATCAGTGGATCATCATATTGTCGCCATACTTTTTTCGATTCAGCTGCAGACACATCAAATTATACGATTTGATCTTCAGTCTGAGCGCCGAAACAAAATTCCTATTTTGAAAGAAGAATTGAGAAAAAATACAAGCATCTATAGACTTAGCCCCCCTCCCTAGCCCCTTCAAACCCCCTCTCCCTAGCCCCTCCTAGCTCATGTCCGTCAAAGTCCCTCCTTGTCCCTGTTAACTCCTCTTAACTCCTTCTGACTATTCTAAAACCAAAGATCAAGCCCGGTGCTTAGGATTGCCTCAAAACTACCATATCCTGAGCATTTTGAAAAGCTTATACAATTTCAAATTAACAGAATCGTGGACATTCATGGCACCTTTGAAGGCCATAAAATCCACATTGCGGGTAAGGCATGAGACAGGAAACATTATTTCTCAGACGTATAATAAAAAGTCTAGCTGTACTGATGAGCTGTGATATGGAGCGAAACCAGTCTACAGCCGACTGTTTGCGGTGTCAGTGGTTTTCTTTACTTCACAGTATAGCAAAAACACAATATTACCCTGAAATTCATAAACTTCGGGCGACGAGAAATTTTCAAATTGTCTTTCTTTAATTTGTCTTGTTCTAGAATTTTCAGGTTTGTAAACTGTAACTGCAGGTTAGGCTGTATTATGAAAATGAAACATTGAATTTGTCATTGCTGGCACTTAATATGACGTCACACCGGTAGACGTCACACCAGCGTTTCGTTCTCTGCAGCTTGACCACGTAAGATTGCCGGAAAATAAAATCAAACTTAAGTTACGAAACAAGATGTGAAGATAACATTAACCTGGCACCCTGTATTACATAAATACGCGTGCACAATGACTTAAAGCGCTTCGGTAAAAAGAAATATAAGTTTTACTCCACACTATCTTATTTTATTCTTTTTTAACAAAAATAAGCAAATTTGACCTACGTTGATACTTGAATTCCAACGAGCAACAATAAGGCCTTTCCAAAATCATTTTGATAACATGAAATACAAAATCTAAATATATAAGCTTCCGTCAGAATTTGACAAAGGAGCGTTATGCAAATTTGTCATATTTCTCGAGACACAGTTTCATACCTGAAGCTTGGCAAGGGGAATAATATCACCGTCTTTAGGTTTTCTCCACACTGTCTTCTGAGACGAGGCATTATAATAGTAATACCTGCGTGTCGTGGCATCATAGAGTTCCCACCATTGGTTATCATGGGTTTTCTTCCTGTAAGGAAAAACAGCCAAATTTATAAATAAAGTTAAGTTCAAATCATTTCGAGATTGCTGGAAAAGATGAAAAAATTTAGAAACACAGAATTAATTCTGGCACTCGCGCAAAGTAAAAAGACTCAAAATGTGTAAAAAAGGAGAACCCGCAGGATACCTGTCCGCCGGATTCTGTGAATCTTGTAATGAGTAATAATACGAAAGATATTCAGGAACAAAGCAATACGATGACGAGAATCCAATGTAACGAGATAAAATTTTCAAAATAAATTAAAGTTAAGGAATACTAGCGCGTATACGAGGGTTGGGCGCTTATTCGAGAGGGGTGCTTATTCAATAACTTCACCTCAAGGGTTGGCGCTTATTCGAGGGGGGCTCTTATCTGAGGGGGGCGCTTGTTCGAGGCATTACGGTACTTTCAACTCTTAATTTTTAAATCATGTTTCTTCCAACATTTGTTAATGAATTTTTTTCGAATTCAATGAAAAGGTAAATTTTATTAGTATTTGGGATTATATCGGGGACCTACTATAGACTTCATAAATGTTTTTGCGGTCATCTAAGGAATGAAAAAATTGGCGAGGAGATGGTACAGAGATTTGAATTTGCTAAAATTCAGGGCATGTTATGACGTAATTTAGATGTGGTTTTCTACACAAGAATCGTTTCTACTTCCTTTCTAGTTTTACAAACATGATTATAAAACCCCGATTGAAATCCTAAAGAAAGATTTGTTAAGTAGTTTGTCTTTATTCGATGCTGCGGTTTCCAAATTGATAGCAAAAAACAACTTCAAAATGCAGCTTAAAGCTCTCTTCAGTTAGTAACATGGTAACACTTCAGTTGGAATCTTAGGTTAGAAACGGTTTCATCTTGTTTATCTCAGCAAAACAGCTTTGTGGTCAGGCTGCAATGGCCAGTGTAACAAAATGCATTTTATTCTCCCAGCACCATTAATCGCTGGATTGTATCAATGCTAAAATTGGCTTCTTAAGACAAAATAAGTCTAAATAAAATAAGAAAATAAGTTTAGGGCACCTTAGTTCGATAACTAACGGCCTCTTATCATTAGGGGCCACCGATTCATTTTAAAGCCATTCTTCAAGACTTTGCTCACGTTCAGCTTACTTTAAAAAAGTTCTTCAACTCAAGCAAAACAGGGCTTCCCCTGGTTAACGAGTAAAATTATAATTTTTACATCTAGCTACTGTTGTTTACAGGGCTCTTCTCTTGGATGGGAATTTCTTCCTTAGTGCCCCAGATGCTTCCGTTACGCCTAGTAGCCTTGTTTATTATAGAGATTGGGTTTCGAATAGCCCGCTTGGAGACTCTACAAAGGATAGGGTTTAGAAAGCCTTAGAGCATGCGCACCCTCGTACTGGTGAATTAGTGTTTACATCCCACCCTTGATTGGACTCCTTTCCATGTGCAACGTGATATTCAAAAGAATGAGGCAAAGAGTGAATAACATAAAGATCTGTAGTGCTCGTTGAAGAGGAGACCCTAGTGACATGATCCTTAAAACTTGTAAATTCTTACTCACACTTTAGCCCCCTGCGGTGCTTCCCATAGACACTGTCCAGTTCGCAGATTTGCAAACATATGATCCCCACTTTTGGGCTCGACAATCTCTACCCACTCCACCCTACAAACGAAAGAATGAATATCAAATGAAGAAAATTGTTAAGATCTAAAATTGATAGGGAAAAGGAACCTTCTGCACGCAAACAGGAGACTTTCAACAAAAAGCAAACGTTCGAGCTAAGAGGCTGGGAAAGCATTCTTCTGCTTCTCTGTACATGATATTCTAGACGGGGCTTCTCTTGACGCATCATAATAATTAATTTTGTTTGTGGATAGATAGTTCAACCCTGCCTTCGTTACATAATACTCAAGCAGCCAAGCCTTCAAATACCCCCCCCCCTCCCTGATACCACTGGAGGCCCTTAAAGATAACAACAGCTGCACCCGTCCACTCAAGCTGACCCTGCGGTATTCAGAACTCTGCAAGTAAGAGCAGAAGAAAGCAAGTTGTCATCGCTAGCTATTTTGCTCAAGGGGAAGCCAGGTCCAATTTGCAATCCTTTTGCCAAAGTGGGAGAACCATCCTTTTACCGACGAAGCACCCCTATATGGCAAAAATCTCCTCGCTTTTACAACGGAAAGGAAGCTGTCACCATCCCCCTCACCACCCCCTCCCCTTGATGCCCGATCGTAGCGACAGCCCTGCAAGTGTCCATAGCTAAGGCGAGAGAAATCAAAGCAAACGCGAAGATTTCTAGATAGCAATTGTTTCAATATAGAAAAAACATAATCTCAGTTTTAAGATAAGGCCAAGAAAAATGCATTAACTAAACACGAATTTCGAATGAAAACTGTTACAATTTAAGAGACTTAGAGGTGAGTTTAGACAGATTAAAAAGTAATCTAACCACTGATTGGTACTGACTGCAGATTGAAAAGTAATATAGACACTGCCAAGAATACAGAGCGAAGAATACTGGTCACTTCTAACAGAATTTTTGTTTTACACTGCAAGGCAAATAGCAAAACAATTACAGGGATTTTTTCTCATTTCAGCTCGCTAGCTTCCTTATCTTTTTTTCTTCTGTAAACGAAAGTGGAGACAAATCTATGCAAGCGGTGTCGAGTTTTTATTTACACGTATTCTGATGTACGAAACAAAGCAAAAGCTTAGCTGGTATTTAACTGGGACAGCGTAGATTGACCAATCAACTTTGAAATCTTAGAACTTTATGTTGTGACAATCAATTTGACATCCTAGCACTGTTCTAAACCTTAAAACTACAAGAAAATCTGAAACAAAAAAAATCATTTTGAGGATTGTTTAAATGTTTCAAAGAAGGTTTGTTTCGATTCAATTAACAAGGTATAAACTAATTTTATCTTCGATTTAATTAAAACTTGATGATGATATACATGACAAATACATTAAGTCATCTCTGTACTTCTAATTTTTTGTACCAGATGGTCTGTCCAGTGTCCCCCTTTTGGTAAAGCATCGTGAATTAATTAGAGACTGTATGATATGCAATGAACTCAACAAAGTTGGTTACAAGGAGATCCAAAGTTTCTTAACTACACGCACTTTTTAAGAAACCGTTGATTAGAAACCGACTCCTAAGATGACAAAAAGATTAAGTAACCAAAATACTAATCACTCTTGAGCCCTCAACCTTACGAAACTACTCGAAACTCCTTTAGCAGGCGGGGGTGGAAATTATTCTTTTCAACGACTGTGTTATTGAAATGTATGAAGAGAAAAAATAAATCCTTACGACGGATTAAATTTTCTATTTCATGTTATCTTATGTTACCTTTTTGTGTTTCTAAAAATTAGCTTTTTATCAATTGGTTTTTAACAAAGCTATAAGACAATTTTGAATTTTAGCAATAAAATCAACAAAAAATTAAGTAACTGATCAGTTAGTCTCGGATTAGTTTCTTATAAAAATGCGAGTATTTGCAACCTGAATTGTTTGGATTCTCATACAACTTTGGCTTCTCAGAAAAAATTACGCATATTATACCTGGTTTTTTTCTAAAATTAACCTTGTTTGGACAAGCAGGATATACTTTTAAAGAAACTTGATTCAAAGGGCTTTGAGTCCAATAATTCGAATGACGCTAAGATAATATTGGCAAAACCATAACGCTCTAAAAAAATTCAAGGTAAGGTAGAACTTAAATAAAACCTAAAACATGATGTACCTGCTTGAAACGCGAATGTTTTAAACGTTACTGGACATACTTTATGCTCTTGCATTTGACACGGATATTGATCATATATTAATAGACTGTGTTGATATGATCTTTAAGCAGCGAACCAAAAATCAGACTTACCTTTTCACAATAAATATCACATTGCATTTATATTTCAACATCACAGATAATCGATACCTTTTTATTTAGCAATTATAGTCAAAAGTTTTGGCTGGATTCATTGTTGTATATAACGACCAATTTCACAACAAGGAAATGTGACAGAGGTGGACTAATACTATGAAAACACAAGGATCATGGGAAATTTCCTCATGTGTTATAACAATATATATGACACATACCAGAACCTCAAATAGTAACTTCAACATGCAACCACAAATAACTTGAATATCGGATGACGTCACCAAGATTTTTGGTTATCTCGGAAATAGCTAGATAACTACATAATCAACAACCTGTCCATCCACGTGATCCACTCAAGAGTCAGTATCACGGTTACCTGGATTAGGACTCTCTTGATCAAGGACGTAAAATAAACTTGAAATATTATCAAAAATTCCAATAAACCGTACTCTCTTTAAAAAAGTATCATCATTCACAAATATCATAATACATAATATATAATTGGCTCTGATGAAGCCCCGTATGCCGGGGCGAAATATTAGCCTTCACTGATTTACGTGTATTTATTGTTGTTTATTCTCGGCGTATTGCCGTGTTTCTTATTTGCTACAATTTTATTGACTTTTCGCCGCAAGAACTCCTTGGAGCCTGTCAAGCAGCCTGCTACAGTGACCTTTTCTTCATTCACACATCATGCACAAAGTTTATCTATACTTTATTTTGCAGCCCTCGATAAGAAAGAGCAGTTCTTACGCGACTACGTGAATAGAAGAATAATTAAGCGACTCAAACTTTCGAAACTAACTCACCTGATCAACGACGGAATCCAGACATAAATTTTTTATCTCTTTAACTCAAATAGACACTATTATTAGAAAAAACACCCCCTCTCCCTAGTAAAAAATAAAAAAACTTCCATCCTTAGATATCCTTAACTGGTTGATAGTGATCTAAGGAAAGGCTGTGCGATTGTACACAGTCCCATGGGTTGAAGATGACACTATGCCCTAACTTTCTGGGGCAAGAGCCTTGGTGACCATCAGAAGAGTCAAGCAAATTCAAAAGAGCAACAAACGTAAAGTTTTATAGTTTTAACATACCATGCTGCTCATTTTCAAAGATAAACCTCATTTTTGGTGTAAAAGACACATGTGTATAATTCAACTATTAAAACAATTTCATTTCAAAGGAAGGAGAATTAAATGTTGACCTTTCCATTCTAAAAAACATTGCAGACTTACAAAGACTGGATTTGGAGTAAAGTATTGACAAAACAAAAATAAAATTGGCTGAATCAAACAAAAAAGGATGAGTTACTTGAGATAAGACCGAAGGCTTTCCACAAAATCAACCATGTAATCTTAAAACTACATTTCATATCTTTATTTCAAATTTAATCCTGGAACTATAAAAAACCATTAAACCACATTAATCCCAGACATTTTTATTTCTTGAATTGTTTGGATTAGGTAGACAGGGGTCATAATTGAAGCAAAGCCATAACACTAATAGGTAAAAAGGTGATAAAGCAGTTCTCTGGCCCATTATCTTTAGATTACGAAGCTATGTCCCAAGTTGTCAAGGAAATACCTCTAATAACAAACAGAAAATGTGTCAAGTAATGATAAATCAATGGAAGCACAGCATCAATAAGCCATACAAAAGGGTTTCATCAGACCTATAAACCTTAAATTTTCAAAACCTGGAGATTTTAGATTTTTACTAAAGAAAAAACAGGGAGATTTGGTCAAAAACAGGGAGATCACAGTAATTTGTTAAGGTAATAAATATACCTGATAAAATGTTGTGCCCTGCAACCAGTTTATGACAAAAGTGATCATGAGAAGTATCTTCATAATAACTTTAAGTGCTTTTTTGTTAATCAGTAAGCACTAACAAAAAATTGTTGTCATGTGGAATTCAATGTGACCATTTTATCTCAATTATACCTCTGTAAAAAGAAAACATACATAATGGACCTGTCTTTGAAGCATAAGATGCACAGTTCAATCAAACATTCAGTGAAGAATCTTCCTAGACATTCTGCTAGACATCTTTGAAACTGGGAGACCAGGAGAAAACAGTCAAAACCGGAGTCTCCTGGCTGAACCAGGAGGGTTGACAGGTCTGGTTTCATACCAAATCATTGCAAAACTATGGTCCCTAACCTGGAGACATGCTCAATTCCCGCCAATCAAATTTATGCTTAGCAAGGGAGGCTTTTGGGGTACAAGAACCTTGCAATTGAAATTGGCCAAACCCAGCACCTTTGAGATTCCTAAGACCCCCTCCTGAGCTCTTTGCAACTGATTTATACTGCTACAATCAACAGAAACAGATATGTGACAAGATAAGTCAAATAAGGAAGACAAATGTGTTCTCTCGTCCTCAATTCTTTCTCAATCATAAATGCACTGCAAAGCCATAGTTCCTTCAAGATTCTCCCAGCAAACAATTTTGGTGAATACAGAAGCTTGTTCTTTGCAAATAAACTGTTTCTGTTTGTTTTTCTTGTTGCTCATTGAAAACATTATTTACATATCATCCCTTTCTATCTTGTTCTAATAATTTAACTTCCAGTTTCGTTCATAAATGTTCCACATTTCAAATATTTCTCAAAATAAATCATTTTTTATTTCTGGAACTGTACATCAACAATACAGTACCACAGAGAGTACCAGATGCAAATCCTTGATTTTTAGGTGCACTAAACAAATGTGCAAAATAGTTATCTTAATAAATTGCAGACTAAGATTGAAACAAATGTATTTCCCGAAAAAGCTTTGAGTCCTGGAGAAAATCTTTGCGACTTGACAGCATGCTAACTAAGAATTCAATTTCGGTCAGTCATATCCAGTGAAGTTAATCAGCTTTCAATTAACAGTTTTGTCACCATCACTAGGCAGAAGTTAAAATTGATCTCTAGATAAAGCATGAAATTAATCTTACTTAAACTTACTGTATGATGATGATAGGTGAGCAGAAGGTAGGAGGATAAAGATGAAAGCTCAGAAATTGAAAGATTTGTTCAAGCAAGCAAAATTTGTATTATAAGTATCAAGATGAACTTTCAAGAGTTGCATAAGTTTACATTTTGCCATAGATTAAGCATTTGTGTGCAAGTATGAGCTTACAAAAGTAATTTCTATTGAAAGAGCATTATGTTTAGTTTGATTGCCTACTTCTGGAAAATATTTTAAACAGAGTATATGATAGATAATTTTTTATAATAGATAATATTGTTGCACAAAGTTTTGGTGCAAAGTGTTGCATAGTGCTTTTTGTCTTTGTTGCAGCATTTTGGCTCAGTCACAGCCTCTTCTAGTCAGGAAAGGCTAATTAACCATTCAATATCTTATCATTGTTATGCAGTCAATGTCTGTATTGTTTGACTGGATGGATTAAGGCATGTTTTCAAAAAAACTATACATTCTTTTTTTACAGGAACCAGAAAATTGAAGTTCAGAATGGCTGTTCTTAATTTTTTAAAACTTGATCTTTATAAAATTATTCTTATAAAAATAGAGTGTAATATGAATTGGTTTTGGAAAAAATAGGCCAAGGGACACCATGTACTTTAGGAAAAGTTCTTTGGTGCACAGTGTCAGTTGAGTTCACCCTAGTTCATTACTAAACCCTTTAAATGGTTTAACAAGAGCCAGTGCGGTATCAAAGAGGCTGTTTGTTGGAAAATCTTAATGCTTGTCAAAAAATTTCAGGAATCTCCACAATCACAAGTCACATCCCAATGTCTGGCTGATGATATTCTTCTTAGCTTTCCATATCTTATTATTAGCAATTCTACTTTCAGTCCATTATTTTATGTTGCATTGACTGAAAATAGCCAAAGTTGGTCCTTGCGGAATAATTTAATGGTCTTTGTCTTGACTAGTCACTTCACCAAGAAAACAACTATACCTTGAAGAAATCTATCTGCATCTAAAATATAGCAAATTGGGTTGGGCTACTACCTATACCTAGCAAATGGGAAATGACAAGTGAGATGCATGTGCAGTATTAAACTTGCAATTGAAGTAGATATGTGGTTGGAAATATTATGATCTCCACCCCCATATATATCACTGCAGGTGTCGGCCCTGGGCATAACCATGAAAATCTTCATGAGGGCAAGTCCACAAGCCCAGGCCGAGTCCTCTTTTTTATTGATTCTTTCTCTTTCTAATTCCCAGTACGTAGAGCATATTGATGGAGCATCCAAGATGCAGACATGGTATCATTGAGGGCACACCTAATAACTAGCTTTAATCAAATTTAAATCCAGAAAATCTTATAGTTCTGACAAACCCAAGATCTTGTCAAAAATGACCGACTGGCTATTAAGAAAACCCTGGCTAAGATTTTGAATGATCTTTTAAAATTTGAATCCCTGTTCTTAACAATCTGTTCTTATATCCTTGCGATATGATACTAGCCATAAAACCATTTTAAGACATAGCTGTGTAGCAACCATGGAAACAACTGAGTCGGCCCAGATTATTTGACAATAGGGTATTCTTTTCACAACCATGTGATTCCCCAAAAAACAAATACGCTATGTAAAACATGAAATTAGAAACCACTATCTGGTTTAAAATATGACCAAAGAGACAGAAGACTCAGGGAATTTTGTTTTTATCTGAGTTAACATCAAGTATGAAACCGTAACAGGTAACAGGGTATGAAATGCTATGTGTAATCTAAAAAACGGTGAAAATGCATCAAATGCGCTGGAATGTTTCCGTAACTCAGTCTACGACCAGGTACTCCGGTTATTATTACGCTCACTACAAAATACCTGTCGTATTTGAGGAGCAGTTTAAGTGGAACTGTACGTTAGCTTTCATTCGCCTAACTTGACTAACCAGTTCGCAATCTCCGAACTCGTTTGCAACAAAAGAAGTACACAGGTGATGAAGGACACTTCGTTTGTTGACAGTTACCCTTAACAGTGTTTGTTATATCTGAGATTCTTGAGTTCTATAAAATCGCTTGCAGATTATGCGATGTTTGAATTTTCTGCTTGAAATGTTATTTCTGTGTAATAAACTTATTTCCATATGACTTAATTAAAATTATTCAGAACGGGTTGGGCATGTTCTTCTGCAAAGCAAAGGCCAATGTAAAGACCAGGCCTTTATTGATTTCCTTGTGCTGACGCAAATCCTTTCACGTTTAACAAAAGGGCCTCCCAGTAAGTCTAAAAATTGTAAATACTTACTTATCTTCCATAACTCTCTGATTTCACGGCTACGGCAGCATACTTTGCGCTATTTTACTTGATTGAACTGTGCAACTCCATTTTAACCTAAACAAACTTTAGTTCATGAAAACTTCACCAAATGTCATTGTCTTCGAGAAGTAGCGATGCCCAGATAGCGCGCTCCTCCGCAGAGTGATAACACGAGAGTGTGTTTGTATTTCCTATTCTCATTAAAAAATTAAAAATCTGATTAAACGGTACCTCAAGATATTCCCTGGGAATAAGAATGATATTAAGAGTGCAAATTGACATTCAAGCACGGAAATTACAAATGCAATAATCTAAACACGAACCAATACTCAATTATATAACCCGTGAGAAGTAGTAATAATAAAGGGACATGAACCGGTAGAATGTAATCTGGAATTCTGAAATGCCTGAGGTCGTTTGCGATAACGTAAAACTTGTCTACCATGACTATAAATTTTTATCACTGCACATTTAACTGTTTATCACTGCATAAAACTGTTTTTACATTTAACAAAATGGTTATCACTGCACCTTAAAATTAGATATCATTAGAATTGTTTGTCAAAAGGGACGTAGGCGTAAGAGATAGGAGATGCATGTAGGGATTTTAAAAAGTTCTCAAGGCTTCAGAGAACAGGGAAAAGGCTTAAAAAATAGATACGCGTGCAACTCTTACTTTTTGCTTCTACTGCGTCTAGGAAGCGTCTAGGTCGCGGACTGTTTTTATGTTTGGTTGACAAATATTGCGAGTGCTAAAGTCTCTAAGGACTCGGCAGTAGGTGGCTGTAAAAAAGAGGAGAGGAAAGGTCGTGTATCTCCTCGCTTCCTCATTAGATTTCCTCTTTCTATCTGTTAGATTAAACTCCAAGAGGCCTAAAACATCTCCAAAAGCAGTTTAGATACAAAAAAGAAGCAAAAGTAGCTGGACCATCGCAATGGGAGCGTTAGGGTGTGACACCCCCCTGAAAAATCTGTTGCAGTAACGTGGAGTTTTTGGCCATCTAGCGGTGCCTAGTCGGCAAACCAATCGGAAAACAATTATTAGCTCTTAAATATCATTATTTTAATATAATATGTTTTTTTTGAAAAAGGAGGTAAATGGTTATAAACAGACATTTTCTACTGTATATGTGAATATATTAGTTTTGAATGGAGTCAAGCATGTGAAGGGAACTTTTGATGTTCTAATGTTCAAAGTTGTGAAAATACATAGTTGGTCAAACCATTCGTGGCCTTCAGAAACAGTGAGCTACTGTACTGGCATATACTAGATTTCGTTTAAAAATCGTTCAGCGTTGCTCTTTGTCTAATAATAAACTTTGAACCAAGCACTGCCATGTAGAATGGGCCATTGGGAACATGGGAGGCATTTTCTTCCATCATCTATCGGGCTATGAAGCGCCATGTGATTTCGGACATGGCTAATTTTAAACAATGATCTAACAGGCATTTAAAGTTGGTCCTTTCATTTAATTCTGTACGTTTGGATTGTATTGCATGTATGGCTATTATAGGTGACTTGATAACGCTATTTACCTCTAATTCGTCATGTTGAAACTTCATTTGTACTTTTTTGTTTTAATTTTAATTATTTTGACATTGAAGAGATTTCCAAAAAGAAACTTAGTCATCTAAAGAACGATAATTTTTCATATCTTATAGTGTATGATATTTCCTTCAAGGTTCACGTCAGCTACATGCTACCTGTACCCTAACCTGCGCCAGTATATCAATCTTGCTTGCTTCATTGTGCTCGCTTGAAGTCTTGCAAGAAAGAAATATAGATAGTAACAGATAAAATGAAGATACTGATGAATGCATATACGCAAAGACCGAAAGATAAGCAAATAAGAACCGTAGAAACTAGTAATCTGACGTTTTCTAATCTGAAGAGCGTCGAAGCTTGAGGCAAGTTTTTAAATGTATGCGTTTTTCAAAGCCATAATAAAATTCTGAGCCGCCAAAAAATTGTTTGCAATCTCTATATTAGCAGGTACTTTATCGCTGTATTGATAAGTACAGCTCCACAGTTTCGGGCTTCTCTATAGAATCAAAATCTTTCATCAAGACAAAATTTTTGATCTAATGTCAACTACCTCTAGAAAAAGTTGCTAAAAAATCAAAGTTTTCCGAAGTCAATTTGATGTTGCCCTCGACAGCTAATGTTTTGCTTATCTATCAGGGATACCCCTATCCTAAACCAAAAGTTGCATCTCGGCCTATGAATTGGGTAGCCACTGGAATATTTCATGATTAATTTTCGAAACTGGAGCTCTAGAACTCACGCCTCCCCTGATATAAGTTAGAAGAGAAAGAGCAGAATCTTCAATGCACTGAAAGCAAAGATAAAAGCCAAAAAATTTCACATGCTTTTTTTTAAGATTATGAATTTTAAACAAGCATTCAATGTTTTTAACCGATTTAAAATGTATTGTAGTTGCACTTTCAATACTAACAATTAAATACATTTATCACAGTCACAAAGCTTTGCTGCAACTCGTACATCCTTCAAGTACGTCCTATTTCTTAGAGATTTTATTATCTTTACTTCATCACTATTTGTCTTTTAACAGTTTATATCTTGAACGAAAATCCAAGAGGAGCCCTTGATACTGTTTGTACCACATAAGGGATCAGCCTGATATTTTCGGAAATTATGCCTAATAACGTTAGTGAAAGACTCAGGACAAATATTAACCCTGAATTTTGACCAAAGAAAACGGAGTTTTCAAAAGCAAAGAAAATACAGAAGCATGCTACCTTTTGCTGTTTAATCGACCAAGTTAAAGCGTTTTTTCTCAGTAACAAAAAATAGGGAAGGGTGTTACACCCCGGCGCCCACCACCAGAGGCATCTTTGGGAGAATCTTTCATGTATGAGTGCAAAATTTGGAAGTTCTCAATCCTCATTAATCTCCTTGAAAGATCGAAGCAGAAGAGGTTTGAAAGTTCTTTAAGGCGATGACTTCTACGCCCTATGACTTCTATGCGCTATATTAAGGCTTGCAAACCTGCCAATTGAGTCCATGAATTTTTGTTGCTTTCTATCCGTCAATCGTATTTCTTCAGTGGTATGTTACTTTGTGAATCATATTGGAAAATCTTGTTAGTAGCTGAATGCAAGCTCTGAATTACCTGTTAATTAATGTTAATTTATGTCATTGACTTGTCGGTCTCAAACTCCATAGACCGTAAAAAAAGTCACTCTAGGGAGATATCTAGAAACCAGAAACTATTCCTAAATGGAGGTGTCTCATAGACAACATAAACGTGTGCGCGCACTGATGGAAGATGATAAACAACTATTCTGTGGTTAAATTCAGATATAAGCAAAAATGGTTCAGCGATGAAATAGAAAGATACTTTTTTCGTTAATAAAGACGAAGGTCTTGTTACTTTTAGGCGTCTATGTTTGTAAGCATGTGAGCAGAAAAACGTCGTCAATTATACTACTTGTAATACATGCAATTTCAGCGCCCACCAACATTTTCAATGCTATGTTTTTGTTCGCAACTATACAGATTACTGATGCATTGAAAGATACATTCAAAAACAGATTTACAAAGGAAAAGGAAGAGCTTAAAGACTCATTGCTAACAATGAGCCATTGCGCTACGCAAGCATCCCATAATGCAATTTCAGAAAGTCTGAAATCAATTTTTGGTTATCTGTAGAAGTTTACTGCCGTTGTTTGGATCGTCGCCACGCTCGCAAAGGCCCATTATTAGCAATGAGTCTTTAACTGGACATTTTTCATTTGTTGCTAATTCAAGTTGTTTGATTTTTACATTTACATATTCAATCAAAATGCAAGATGCGAAGTGTATTATGTATTTCAAAAGATTTATACAACATAAAACATCATTTTCTCGAAAATTCTTATTCTGAATTCCACTAGCGATTGTACGATTGTTGTAGGTGAAAGATGTAGGTCAAGCGTTCGTCATCATCATCATCATCATCATCGATCAATTATTATACATTTCACTCCCCGAGTAGAGGAATGGGTTTACAGATAGACATCAGTTTTCAACTAAACTCGACGTCACAAACATGATATTGCGTATTTTTGGATTGATATTTTATTCGTTGTTCGGGTGTCCTTTTCAGTTTCGACGTAAATAAACGGGTCTTTTTCTAAACAATCATTCACTTTCTCGCTTATCTGGTTTTCTTACAATGATTCTTGTTGATTCTGTATGATTGCTTTCTATTATTGCGGCGATAAGGGTGATCGACTGATTGCTTGCCTCAGTCGAAGACGAGACTCAATATGGCGGACCAACAGCAACTGTTAGAAGAGTTTGTAAGTGTAACTGGAAGTGATGCCGAGAGAGCTCAGTTCTATCTCGAAGCAGCGGGATGGCAACTTCATGTAAGGTTTTTAGATCTTGTATTTTCATGTTTATCCCCATGCCAAAGCACCAAACAATGTCTCAAAGCCTTTTTATCACGCTTTGAATCGGGCCTAAATCGTATATGTGAATTGTCTCAAAAATGTTGGCTTGCATCTGGCATACGATTTTTGAAAATAAGTTATGAAGCGTTTACATCTAGACTGTCATGTAGAAAATCTGATTGAACTCGATGTAGCTTTAATCTCCCAGTGCATTATTTACAAATAAACTATTTGTATAACTGAAATACGAATGATTTTTCAGTAATTTTAAGCCTTTTATTTGAGCCACTTTCTTGGTCTAATTGAAATTTACCATAATAACATAAAACATTATTATTACATAAACCTTGCTACTGCATTATTACATATATAATTAACGAACTGTTTTCTATATAGATAGCTTTGAGCAGTTTTTATGACGAAGACGGTGGAGGGCAGGATGATGCTGTTGATGTTGATGGAGACTCGCTTGTTGAAACGGTATTGAAATTGTTGAATTATGATTCGTTGTTTTTATGATTTTTAATTCTGAAATGCTTATCAATGCATACATAGTTATCTTTTATTTATAACTATGGTTTCCTTGCACTCTTTCTGTTGGCCAATTTTGCAAGAATTCATGCATGCAACTTAATTTGGCAGTGACATTGCTTAACTGCCATCCCTGGGGACAAAACTCTAGATCAGTTTATAACAGAACAAAATATCACCCAAATAATTATATCTATAAGTATTTTTCTGTGAAGAAAAGGAAATTCTTGATTTATTTTTCTGTAATGATGCAATAATATCTACCCATTATTTTTCAAGAAACCAACAAGAGTAGTCTGCAATTGCTCTACATGAAAATTACCAATTACAAGAAAAATATGATATAATATAATTTAAAAGGAAACACAGCAAAGTATCTAGCCTCATAAAAAAAGCTAGCCAACTTTTGACTTCAGAAAGCATTAAAAAAATTGGCTATAGTTTGTCCATTGCTTCCTGCACTCATCAATGTCGCAGTAAAATTACCTACTTGCTTTGTCAACTTTGACAAAACATTCCCTGGTTTTTAATGCCTCCTCATAATAATATTTTTTTGTAGAGAAAGAAGTATACTGCCCTCTTTGAATTAAAAATTTAGATAAATTATCCAATATTTTGGTTAAAATCAAGGTCAGTGCCAATGAAACTCACAAGTTCTTTTTATAAATTGATTCGTTTGTAAAATGATTTGGTCATAATTTCAGACTTCAGCTCCAGTGACATCATCAAGTAGACAACCATCTCAACCTGAAAGGTGAATTTGTACTTTTGTTGTATTGAATTTACAATTTTATTGTCATTCAACTCACAATCTGGTGTATGTTTTTTAGTCAACTTTGTACCTTTTTTGAACATTTTTAAAAATGCTTAAAACAAAGAACAAAGTGATAGTTTATTTAAAACATAAAAAAGAACATTTTTATGTCCTCTTCATGAGTGTTTTTTCAAAAATATGCTTCCTTTTGCCCTTTTTATCGCTCTTCCATTAAATTTTCAACATTCCTTCTCCACAAAATAAAAATCCCCTTTTGTAACATGTTTTTTGAAAACTATCAGAGTAAAGGTCTTTTGAAACTTGAAATTAGTTTTTTGGTGTTTTATTTGGTTTTATTTCTGTACCACAACTTTATTGTAAATTTTTTCAAACTCCAAGGTAATTCTAGAAATAGGTTGCCTACAGATCTGGTAAGTTACCAGCTGCAAAGAAAGTAGATGAGATGAAAATGAAATTTAAGGTCGCAGTGTGTGACAGTGTTCTTTACTATGTTTTAGTTTTGGAAACAGTAAAGTACCTTTTTTGCAATAACTGTAGACTTTTCAGTGAAGCTCCAAGAATCATTTCAATTTTTTCTCCATCAATCAAGAATTTAAAGCTGCAACAAAAGCTCATGTGGACTTTATGCCTAAAATAAAAATCTGGTGAAAAAACTCTGCTTATATAGTCTGAACATCTTTCAGTGATGAAAATATAAGATCCTAAGAAGTGACCCACTCACAGACTGTAATATAATCATTATAATTTCAGTTGTTCTGTTTTGACAGTGCCTCTTCAACATCTGGAAGGTTTGCAACCATATCGTCTCTACACAATGATGAATCAGATAGCAGTGGAAGTAATGAGGATGAGGGACAAGCTTTTTATGCTGGTGGCAGCGAAACAAGGTTATATTTGCTTAATGTTTTTACACTGCTCAATGCTTTCAACAATTTTAAATGTTTTAACGCTTGGTGAGTGTAAAAGAGTTAGGTTATGGCTTTTTCTCTCATAAAGTTTCCTGGTAGTCATTTTTTTCGTTTCTTTATCTTTATGAGGCCTAGATGTATAAAAAACAACATATCATTTGATAACTAGAGGCTAGCTTCCAAAGTATAGCAGAAAGCTCTAGACAACTGAAATGTAAAAACTCTAGACAACTGAAATTTAAAAGCTCTAGACAACTGTTCCATTGTTACTTGTATGACCACATGTAGCACCAATGTCTAAAATTCAGGGACGGATTTAAAGGGGGTGTAGGGGGTGCGAGACCCCCTAATAGCTCTGTGTCCTTCGGTAAATTTTGTTTCATTTGGTAAAAATCATTTGTTGGTAGTCAGTAGTAACAAAGTAACACCAAGATTTTACTTTATTTATTTTTAAACAGTAATTATCTTCTTATCAGTAGCGTAGTGGTGGGGGAGATACTATCAAATGTATTTTAAGCTAATCTCGAGGACATCGTCGCAAAGATTTTATGTTTGCTTCGCTTGCCTCTATGGTTATCAATTTCCCCTCTTTTTTGGGTTTTACGTTCTTGAGTCATTCCTCATAAAATACAAACTAAAATGCTAAAGCAGTCCTATCCTTAAAGAAAACTGGATTCTGAAATGCGTTTCAATCATTTACCAGTTACCTGGAGTGTGTGGCACCAAAATTAGTGTCTAACACCTCCTAATCATTGTTGCTTAAATCCGCCCCTGCTAAAATTTCGAGTATGTGGAATAAATTCATCATATTAGAGAATGGAAAGGAAAAACAGACAAGATAAAAACCTCTTTTTTCTCTTTTCATTACCTGAATCAACCGGCTGGAATTTAATAACTGATGTCAGATATCATTGCTATTGATTTTTATTCAAATATGAAATCAGCTTCCAGCTTCAGTTATATATATATATTTGCTAGAAAAAACTGATAGCAACTTGTCCTATGAAAGATGCATTTTATATGGAAAATAATCCTTTACGGAAATCTCCATAAATCTCTAAGTTGTTTTTGAGTTTTTTATTTGCATGTTTTTGGTATTAAATTATGGTTGTATATGATTGCTTTTAGTGGGCAACAAATTCTAGGACCCTCAAAAAGGAAGAACAAGCCAGATGGAATAGCACAGAAAATTTTTGATGCTGCCAAAAGGTTTGCAAGTTTATGTTTTTTCATATTCATGTTAGGGTCTGTTTTACTGCTTAAACCTGTAAAATATTATTCAGCATTTGCTCATTCTACTCTTTTCTACCAATAACAGTAAACAGCGTGCATCTTCAATTTTTCCTCTACAGGAACGTTATGGATATGATCTTTGATAACTAGATCAATGTTAATTGATTCCAGTCTTTCCATGTTATTTTGTTTTGTTTGGGTACAGCCTGCATTGCAAAGGTTGGGAGGAGAGCTATCTCTTGAATAATTCCTCAATGTTGCAAGACTATAAGATTGTAAGATCCTGGGATTTTGCAACATGTTTGGCAAATATGATCCATAAATGTGACAAAGTTTATCAGAAACCCAACTTTGAATTAAGCATTTGATATAAAGAAAGGGAAGAGAATATTTGTTTTGGCAATTCAATGATTGTTTTTTATTTCTCGTCATTAATTATTGAGTAAACAATCAAAACGAAAAATTAGTGAATCTAGTTTACTAAACATAAAATATTTAATGAATATTCAACGACAGGATTTAACTTAATATAGATTAATATAAATAGCTTGAAATATTATGCCTATCAAATACTTCTTTAACTGTTTTTGAAATTTTTGTTAGTACAACTAGTTTCTATTCTTTTAGACAGGGAGCTGAGCCAACTGACAACGACTCGGAAGCAAGAAAACCAAAACAGAGACAGGCTTTTGTTGGAGCAGGTACCTATCAATGTCTTTTTGTTTATGAAAAATCTTTTGTGGAACTTCCCCAACGTTCAATTTAGAGCATGTCCAAATATCAGGGGATATCAACATTATCTTTGATGAAGAAAATGCAAGATTTCAGCAGCTCCGGTCCAGTATTGTTACTTACAAACATTTATGAAATGCAAAGCATCTCAGAATCGCAAAAAGCTACCTGTTTGTTATAATGTTGTGACTAAACAGAAATGGCTTTGAAAAAAGCAAACATTTAGTAAACTAAAGCTTTTCGTCTGACTAAAACGTCAGAACATAGTTTTCGGTCTATGTTCTGACGTTTTAAACTCTAAAGAGTGTCAGGCGAAAAGCTTTAGTTTTCTAAATGTTTGCTTTTTTCAAAGCCATTTTCAAGTTTTGTACCACCAAAAGATTGTAAACAGGAATGGCCTTTTTTAGGAGACAGCTTTGCACTTTGATTATTTCTCGTTATATCAGTTTGCTCTTTACCTCAATATACCCCTTTCTTTGTTTTCTTTGATATTTTTATAAACATGGGGGGTTTCTTTGTCATATGACGTTAGCGGATTCTTCTTTTTTGTTATAGGCTTTCGACTTGGTTCCGAGGCTGTAGCATCAGAGCAAATCACACCATCAATCCAACAGTCTGCTGATACAAGCAGAGGGGTATGTTTGTTCTTTTGAGTCATGCATTCTGGATAATTGTTTACGGGATTTAGACATTCTGATTTAGGATTTTTAAATGCCGTTGAGATGTGGGTAGGGTATTTGAAAAATCAAGAGAGAGTGCCTAGAATCGTGAAACATGAAATCGATAGGCCCTTGTAAGTGGAATGAGCAGGTATGAATGAGCCATTTCGATTCTTAAACAATTTTCCTAGTTATTTCCTTTTCGATTAGGAAATCTTTCCATAACTTGGGGGATATCCTATGGAAACCAGTGACTAGTTTTCACGCTGATAATAAACTGGCGCTCTCATTCTTTGCAAATTACTAACAGCTCTCACAGATAGTAGACAGGGGCCAGGGAATCAGCCTTGCTCATATTGACTGAGATTTATGAAATTTCTATAGTAAGAATCAAGTCCTTTATATGTTAACCTAGGCATCTTATGCCTGAAGACTTTGGTCTTGTGAATGGGTGTTCATAACAGCATATGCCTAAGATGTGACCAATAGCGTGGCGTAAAGAGGAAGCCCACAGGACTATCGTTCCTGTAAGCTATTCTGGACGACACCTCCGTGTTTATAGACATCTTAAAGATTGATAAATAATTAGTTTTTCTTTCTTTTTCTGCAGCCTGTAACTATTCACTTAAAGTTTTGGTCAAATGGCTTCTCAATAGATGAAGGGCCTCTGCGATCTTTCGATGATCCTGCCAACAGAGCGTTACTGAATTCAATCGAAAAGGGGTAAGTTTTTATATATTAAACACTTAAATAACATGGTCTCAAAATACTTATTTCTCTGCCTGTAGTTAGTAGTTTTGTGGGAATAGGATATTTATAGCTTGCTATGCGCAGTTCCACTCGTAATGTGATCACAATTTCGTGACATGATTGCCTTTGTTTTGATCAATCAGGAAATGGGATGCACCTCTTAAATGATCGAAACATCCTTAGAAGAAAAGAAACCATCTATACAAAAGCAGCTTTTTGTCTTTTGTAGACAGACTTCTATACTTTTGTAATTTAAAAACCACTTTCCTTGACCTATTTTCATCTATATCTGTTTATTACCCATCTATTCGTATTTCTTTTGGAACATTTGCATATGTCACAAGTTTTTTTGTCTGCTTTTTTGTTATCTTTTAGGAAAGGGAATGTTATCTTTAGAAACATTCCTTTTCCCTAAAAAAATCATGATTGTTTGCATAAACTCTCCTTAAAATCGCTTTGATGGGCTTTTTACTCTAGTCTTTAGTTGATTCAACTGTCAGGTTCATAATTTGAACAGATTCATTCATTATCTAGTGAGAGAAAATGTGAGCAAATGATAAGACCAGGACAGGATTCGGACACGTCCTGTTCTGCATTTAAAGGCCCTAAATTAAATCGAAATGAATTTAAACATGTTTTCTATTTCAGTGAAATCCCGCGTGAACTTGTACCAGCAGGACGAGGTCAAGAAGTCCATGTCAACATTGAAGATCACCGCCATGAGGAATATGTTAAACCTAAACTAAAAGTTCCAGTTTTTTCTGGTAAAGGACAAATGCTTGGGAGGTAAAATTTGTAACGTTATAAGATGACAAAATCTTTGGCCACGTACATCAATGAGCCTTAAGCTTTGTAGCAAAGTTGAGGGGAGTTCAGGGGGGCCTAAGAGAGAGGGGGTTTGTTTTAAACGCTCACTTATCTACGATATTTAGAAGGCGGAGTTGTTGTCCCGGCACTCGTGAACCGATATCAACAGAAATGTAGTTGATATATAATTTAAACTTAAAGGAATGAATAAAAAAACGGAAACGAACTGAAACATATGAAGGTGAATGTCAATGCAGTAAAGACCGTTTGTAAAGTAATATTATATAATTATTACTATAAAGCAATAAAAAAATAATATTAAAGAATTGTTTGTGTGTTGATTAATCGATAGGCTTATGATCGGGAAGGGGGGCTTTTTTTCTTGTCTCCAAAAGTTGAAGGCTTGTTAGAAAATTGAACTTTAAAGGGAAGGGGTATTAATGAAAAATTTACCTTAACCATAGGTGTAAGCAGTTAATCGGGAATCTGGTATTAACAAGGAGTTGAAATCGAATTAAAAATATGGCCCCAAGCCTTGCTCATGAAAATAAGTAGATTGCTTTGATGAATGTTTAAAGTGTTTATATCTATGATACATTTTGGAACGATTAAATATACTTCGTCATAGGAAAGTGACAAAGATTTCAGAAAGCTAAGAGATATCTTTATGAAACCTAAATAAGCCTCATTTCCATTTCAAATTAGGCGTGAAATAGATTGAAGATCTGTCGGCATTGTCGTCTTCTTTTAATCAAACAAAGTTAGCACAATTTAGTGTTAACATAATTTATTATCATAATTTTATGTTGTAGCCCTGCACCCCAAGTTGTATCAAACAGTCTAGAGCCGACCTCGACTACGTCATCAGCTCCTCCCAAGCAGATGACCGTTGATGACACAAAACCAGTAACCACGTTACAGATTCGACTTGCAGATGGAACACGGTACGTATCCTGATACTTAGTCATCAGTTATCGACTGCCTTTTCAATGCCACTCTTTGACCGCATAGCTTTTCTGTCAGAGTCCGCCTCTCCATATTTTCACCGCGAATTTTCCCAGGAACAAATTGAGCTTCAGTTTTTATCGTAACAAAATGTTAAAACAAATGCAACGAAAGAATCTAAGATTAAGGCTTAAATTGTTTGTGTAAGATTGATATCACGGCTTAATATAATGTGTATATCTGTATATTTGATGCTGCGCCACGTAATTCTAAGTTTATGAATGTTTTCTTTTCTGCATTGTTTAAGATATTTTGGTTTTGTATCGTAGCCTTGTTTCAAAATTTAACCATACCCACACGGTGTCAGACATCAGAAACATGGTCAGACAGTATCCTTTTCAAAGTAAAAGCAATGAGCAGTTTTTTATATTGGTTTGTATCTGTAAGTAATTCCAATATTGAGAAAACCAACTTATTTAATCAGTATCAATCATAATCATCACCAGTCATAATCATCAATCGTAATCATCAATCATAATCATCACCAGTCATAATCATCAATCGTCATCATTATAATCATCACTTACGGCAAGCATAATAATCATCAGTCATAACCATCAATCGTCTTTAATCATAATGAATCACGATCATCATCAATCATCATCATTAATAACCATAATCAATCATGATCATAATTTACAGCAATGATTGTCACCATCATCAACCATCAACGCTAAATATCATGATCATAATCATCATTCATCATCGTCAGTCGTCAGGATCAGCAGTAACAAAGCCTTTCTAATACATGGCAAGCTTGACTTTGTCTCAATTTGACGTAATGTTACGAATCTTTTTTAACCAACCTTTATCTGTCTTGTCCTCTTTCTTATGTATTGTATCTTGTGTGTTCTGTCTCATATTCGAGTCTGTTTTGCATAAAAACTTACATAACAGTTATGGCACATTGGTGGGTTAGCTTTTTCTGTTTCATGACAAATCTTGCTCTCAACACACACCTTATCCCGGTGCAAGGCACTGCCATTTCTCTCTATTCTTTCTTTTTATATTTTCAATATATGTAGATATTTAATTTTGCCATGTTAGCACTTTAACATGAATTGCAGATCTCAACCAGGAGCAAGTGACAATTTCATCCTTATGACCGCCTTCCCTAACAAAGAACTTACAGAAGAGTCCAAAACATTAGCAGAAGCAAATTTGCTTAATGCAGTTATCATACAAAAAAGAAGATAGATGTTAACTTATGATTACCTAGAATCGCCCGTTCGGCTTAAATGACGTTTTTCTACCCCGTTCAGAGGATAATAATCGCGAAGAAGGTTCTGTTTCTAGATTATTTAAGCATTTCTCATTTCAATATAATTGCCCTTTAGCCAGTTGATATATTTATTTGCTATTTCTTCATGTCGATACTTTGGTATTGCAACCTAAAAATGTTTATAGGATTGTCTTGGTTTCCGTTGCGAAGTAAATATTCTCAGACCAGCCGTGTGAATGAACACAGCACTAGTGAAGTTGCGAATTTATCTTTGCCAGGAGCGAGAAATAACTAAATTTTAGCTCATTTTCGAAATTTGTCTAAATTCGGTTTTCAGTAATTCTTTGAATAAAAATGAACTGTTTTGAATTAATTATAAAGATAAAGTTAAATAAACAGATGGACTTATCAAAGTTAGTAAATATTTAATTGTTGGTTGGTTGAGTCAGTTGTTTCGTTCGTTCTATGGTATCTAACATAAAAAAATGTATACTGTTTGGTTGTTTGAATAAGACCTTACGTTTTCCCCATTATGTTGACTAAGCATCATTGCTGAATCTGCGTGAAGTAAGTGATGTAATACACCAATTCAACTTACAGCCTCATTTTGAAAAAATTCTTCAAACTTTTTTGTGCAAAATGTTTGTCCCTAGATTGTGATTAAGAGCAAGAATTTTAGTCTACCTGGGAGTTTCATTGTGTTATTGCTGACGATATTGATTTTATGACGACATTAAGATAAAAATTTTATAAGGGGTTTGACCATGATTGGCGACTAAGGGAGTAAAGTTTCCCCCAGAACGATTTTTGCAGTGCAAGTTTTTGAACTTCATTTCTCCGCAAAATCTAAGCTATAAGCACAAACAATATAAAAAATTGTATCTAGCTGGAAAGTATGGAAAGATAAAACCGAATCTGAGCTCAAAAAAGTCGTGCAATGAAGTTTGGAGTAATTTCTAAAAATGAGGCCGTAAGTGTAATCGGTGTAAATTATCTTTTATGAATATCACTGTTAACCATTCTGATATGTATTGCTCGGTATTGTAAAGACAGATCTGTACATGCTTTGGTTGGTAGAACAGGACGGTTCTAAGACGCTATGCCGAGTCTTTTATGGGTGTTCTTACTATTCTTGCAAGGACCACGGAAGCGGGGGGGAGTGAGGGGGGTTTAGCTTAAGCCTCCCCCACTAGTTTCCAAAGTGTATTTAAAACCATACAAAAATTACCTTGCCCTTGGTTGTTAGCACGTTTAGCCCATCAAACCCCCCCCTCTCAAAAAAAGTTTTAGCGCTCTCAAACTGTAATATGTTTCGCAGTCCTTTTCCTTTAGTCAAAAGGGTAAACTTTCGTTAGAACAACAATCAAGAGTTGACTCAGGATCTACAAAAAGGGAGATTACAGCCTATCTGGGGTTCGTGTCTGTTTTCCATTTTTAGATCTCGATCCTATTAAAATTGATAGTGACCCAAACTCCCTGGCCTACAGTATCTTTACCTGCATGATTGGCCTGTATTTCCTTGAAACTAAGAAGCTTCCTTACGGTTCCAAGGTGTACCCTGGGTACCAGAGCCTAAAAAAACTGGGGATATAGTGTTGTATACCGCTGCGGCCAATACCCGAGACTGAATAATGTAAACTCTGGCATCCAGGGTATGCATATCTCAGATATTTCAAGGGGGAAAACAAGGTGCCTCGAAATAATTATTTCACGATTGCTTCAAATGAGGCAAATTTTATAAGTGGTTAATATTTCGTAATAAAGCAAACAAATTTCATTTCAGAGGCCTTCTTTTTTAACTTTTGTCACTTTTAATCCCATCACCTTTTTCTAGGCGCTACGAAAGGCCTTCAAATTTTTTAGATACACCCTAGTTCTTTCCTGGTTCGTCGAAAGGGGGCTCGGGGTGTAACCCCCCCCCTCAATTATTGTGAAAGGTTTCCCTCGAAGAGTAACTCAAGTTTGGACGTTCTTGTCACGCTTTTGCCATCTCGGCAACTGCCAAAAATTTTTTAAAATAACTCACTGTCACTGAAATAATAATCTATGGACAAAAAATTATTTAAATTGTCCAATCATATTAGAGGAGGCAATTCCTGTTACATTATTGCCAAATACCATCAAATATGTTCAGTTTCCTTTGTCAGAAAGTATTGAATATAAAATGACGCGTTGCTCTGCTTTCACCTTCCATTTCCAATGTGAATCCCTTTCCGGCGGCTTTAATAACATTTAGGACATTTGAATCCTTCGAGGATTCTCGGTTCAGGCCACAGGAATCCAGCGGCCCTCACATTTCCGATAGTATTTATGGAACAATTGTTTTCCAGACAATAGTTTTCCTCAAGGATTACTATTTATTACAGTAAAAATCTATAAGAGTCATGTGCGGACTGAGAGAAGGAGAGGGATTCGGTTGCAATTTAATTATGTTATCTTCTTTTCTTACTATGTAGCTTTGGTGTATTTCTGTTTGAAGTGAATCAGGTACACAGATTTTTACGAGGGGCAATTCACTCTTGCAAATAGCGTACGAGATTTTCCTTAAAACAAAAAGATTTCCAGGGATTTTCAGATAAAACACTAGGATTTTCACAAAAAGTGTACGAGATTTTCTTGGAGTGATTTGCCCCTCGGATTTTTAAGAAAACAGCTCTAGAGTTTTAGGTTGGGTTTTACAATTTTGGGAAAAACTATTAGGGTAAAAGCTTTCTAGCAGTGTTTCTTAATTCACCTTATAGAAGTTACAGAGTTTCCCAAAACTCACTGAAAAGCATCCATAGCACCAGCTGTATATCATTTTAACATGATCCTCATCAACCAAATTTCTACTCAGAGGGACTGCTATTTGAAAAAAAAAGAAAATCGATAATTTCAAAGAATTGAAATTATTGTAAAGAAATATAGACAACTAAAACTCACTCATCGATTTGATCAATTCTGGTGATTATCGAGTATTTGTAAAGAACATTAGAAGTTTGAATCTTCAATTGCAATTGCACAAATGGTGTCTTAACGGTACTGTGAGAAAATAGAATTATCAGGGGCACCGCTGTCGCCGTGGTCTGGGAGCACCACGGGCTTCTTTAAAGTTAGAGACACGAACCCCCAAGAAACAATATTCACTGCAACCCTGGTTTTTATTTCGAATAGGCCTCCATTCTGTTGTCGAAGACGCTTTTAATTTTTAGAGAGAGAAGTTTAATTTTAAGAGAATATTTGAGAGTTCATCATTTGTTTTTGGGAGAGTTCTCTTAGCAAATCCTTTTCATCACACATCCCCTTTCTATGGTGAATCCTTCTCGAGGCTGCAATAAAACCGAAGTAGCGTAGAGGTTGCACGTAAGCTAGCAACATATGTATAAGGGTTAAAGGTTAACCCAAGATCATTCGCTTTCAATTGTCTGCAAAAATCATATGACTAAAAAAACCATCTTTTCAATTCATTGCAGTATACAATGAACAAGTCACTTTGGCGCCTCTCTCTATCACATTATCGACTTTTACACGTATATCTTTTTTCAAAAATGATAATTTCTCACCTCGTTCATGGATTAAACCAATCCATAAATGCACAACTGCTTGTTGCGTATCCTTTTCATACAGGAGTACTGTAGCGAAGCTTATTCCTAGCTTCCATATTGCCAAAGAACTGATGAATGAAAATAACAGCAAGAGTAACATCTTGACGTTTTCGCCAAGGGGCAAATAGAAGTGTGACACTACCGGCGAAAATGGAACATTTTCTAACGAAGGCGAAATTTTTCAATCATTTGGCGTTTAAATAGTTTTTCGTCATGAAGTCAAAATGAAATCAGCGTCATCATAGTACCCTCTCGGTGCCACACCTTTCAAGGGAAATCAAAGAGACACGCCCCTAGTTCTTTCTAAGCACCACTGCAACATGCTTTGCTAGGGGGCCTCTAGCGTTACGAGAACGGAACGTCCTACGGAAGCCTTTTTTGCCATTTCTTTTATCAAACTACAGTTTGTTTGCATTTTTAAACTCCAAGATTGTCACATTCAAAGGCAGACCATTACGTTACAACAATTTGGATTTTCTGGGGTTTGTCCGCCACCTGAATAGGAAGTGATTTGTACCTAGATTTAAAAGCAGCGTTCATCTGATTTAGCTACATCACAGTATCATATCATGTTTATTAGTTTTATGGTTAAGTTATATAATCCAGCTGGTTTCATTATCAAAAAACGAAGTGTCTAAAAATTTGCTTGCCAAATAACTTCCTTGTGTCACTAACGAAAGTGAGCTACAATCGTGTTTTGCATGCCTTCTAGCTATGTATGCCACATGAAGGAGGGTGAACGCCATGACACAGAATAGAGAAATACGGGGATGTTTTGTGTAAGTCAGAACTTAAAGAAATGCTAGTAAGAATAGCTATGGTGCATTTTGGTAGGGTGCGGTAGGAATCTGTCAGGTTTCTTCAAGAGGAAAAGGGAGTTTTTGTGCCAGTCACTCCTCCATCTCGACAATTTCTGTCGTTTAAGGTTGTTTATATATACCACATTATTGCGAATGTGCCCTTTATCGTACATTTAATTGTCCAGTGATTTCCATTTATTTGAACCAAGTTGATCAGGCCATTTTTGGAAACACTATTTGGAAAAAGTTACGGTGTTTCAAAAGTGTTCATAACTCACTGATAAAAGGGGTATATGGACCTTGCCAGAGTGGAAGCCTTCTAGACTTGCAATCGTCAGTTGAGAATTGAGGCCCCTTCTACGTCAGCAGCTCGTTTGCGGGAGATATTTGCTGACAACAGTAAAACAGTTCAATGACGATGACTTTTTGACAGAATGGGTGAAAAATTAAATTTAGAAAACTTTTTAATCATTCTCCTACCTAAGAATGGTTTGTACCACCGACAGCTTCTCAGTCCCGTTTATTTTGTTTCCTCATTGCCACAGACAGAGTTGAACCACAAAGACAAATTTATTTCTGCAATTTCCGAACGATATTCGCACAAAAAGCTCAGTTTAATGCTAGATTATTTTTCATTTAGCTACTAGCTGTCGACAATCTTTCTTTCTGAAAACCTTTCAGAAATGTGTACGCTTTAGGCTTTACAATCGATACTGGGAATTGATTTACAAGAGACATAATGACTTTCTACCATTGTATAACGGTACAAAATTCCTCAACCAAACATTGTTTCAACATTGCTTGTCTATGCTATTTTTATGTAGAGTTGAAAAAATATATATTTATCAGTGCGTTATCAAAAAAGGCAACGTGAAAATATTTTTGAGACGGTAGCCCACGTTCACTATTATATAATTTCAAACTTCCAATTTACCTAACAGGTACTCAGAATTCTATCTGACAATATAGTTACTCGTTTTTGCCTGATCTAAGTTAAGCGCGTCCAGAGACCAAAGGCTTATACTTGCAGACATAGACAAAGCAAGGGGGTAGCATCCACTTCTAAATAATATCTTGACCATGCTTTAAATAACTTTTATACTTGTACTAGATTTCATAGGTGTATCGTCGTTTTAAGATACTACGAAATTATAGCATGTTTCCAATTTTTCGTGCTATTTTTCCAATCAAATTTTTCGATACCAAAGGCACGAAACGGCAATTCGATAACACGAAAATATAGAAACATAACATACCGGTCTTGTTTGCAAACCTTTTCAAAATTTCAATTGCATTTATGCCATGCCTTATTGCAATAATAATTTGAACCTTATGTTATTGAATATTCTATCTAAACAATGAGTTTGTACATTAAATTAATTTACTAATTTATTCAGAGTCCTGTTAAGGCATCTAGTGAAAACTATAAAAGTAACATGAATTAGGGATCTTCCCCAACTTTCGCAATATTATTTCTCAAGTCGATTGGATGTACCCTGTTGGACGGTACCACCATACAATACTGTCTTCCAGTCATCAAAATGTCTTTAAATCCCCTTCGAAAACTTTTACTAAAGTAACAGTACAGATAAGGATCAATAACGCTATTGAACAAGCCAAGAAAGTTACCACATATGTCGAAACCCTCCCGCAATGTGTATTCCGGGGATGGAGGCCAAATGCAAAATATGATGTGGAACACATAAGGTAGCCAGCAAATCATAAATGTAACTGCTGCTGCCATTAACAGTTTCACTGCTGTCTTACGCTCTCTTATTCGTTCCTCGTCATGGTCCACCATTTCGCTTTTACGCAGTTTTATTGCTAGAAAAGTGTAAATGATGGTAAGAATTGTCACTGTAAGAAGATACGTTGAAACTCGGACTGCCATATAGAAGCGTTCTTTTTCACGTGTCGAATAAACTTCGATGCATAAATGTTTGAGCTGTTCCCCATTCGAAAGCATAATTAGTTTTGTGCTTAAACCACTTGGAATCGTAGCAGCAATGGCAACAAGCCAGTAAACAACAATAAACTGTTTGAAGCTTATTTGCGGGTAATAACAATTCGATGGTTCTCCGTGTACTAGAATGTATCTATGAACTGCGATGGCGATTAACATCATAACAGAACACAAAACTGACAACTGAACGATATATTTGGACCATTTGCATGTCGCTTCTGAGTATGGCCAGTTTGGATAAGCGAAGACCTGGTAACTAACGATCGTTGGCATGCACACACTAGTGACTAACAAATCAGATATTGTCAAGTTTAATAATAACAGGTTACCCACAGTCTGCATTCTTTTATTGAATATAACAGTGGTCATAGCAAGAATATTCCCAACTGTGCCAATAATCGATGCACTTATATACACGGTCCCAAGTAAAATGGTCACTGCTAGCGGCAGTTCGTCTGTTGTCTGAAGATCTGAACCTTGGCAAGGTAAACCACTGAAATTGAGGAAAGCCTCCTCGTTTACTGATATACTGCTCACAAACTTTTCAACGCACTGTGCAGTCCTCATTTTCTGGTTTCAATATGACTACCTGTTTCTTTCCTTGTCATCTTTTGAAAGAACGTCTTCCCGTTCTTTTCACAGGTTCACAGTTTAGTCTTTTTCGGCTTGCTGTTAGTTGATCTGTGCTACTCTGTCAACAACTTTCAAACGTACGTAAAGGAAACCGAAATACTACACTTGTGTAAATGTTGGTTAATCTTTTGTCATCATGAAGGACAACGCATCAATTGAAACTCTTTTTCAGTGATTTTTTTAGTTTGCCAAGTAAAACTTGCTTCTGTGTCGTTAAAGAAAGGATTTTCTATTTTAGATCAGTGGCTAATTCGATCTATCAGCGGTGTATCTACAGTTTCGCGATAAAATTTTCTTCATCTCCAACTTCTTCTGCCTCTTTCGGTCATAACAACTTTGAATATGACTGATAAAGAAAGGATGCTTATTATTTTCTCTAAACCTTGTCTCTTCACCTTCAGAGTCACAAACAACCTCCTCTATCCCACAAAACAAGTTGGACTTCCTGGTTGAAGTTAAAATTTTCTAAGCTTCTGGCTTAAGAAGGGCTCAAAGATGTTACCAGACAAATCCACTAAACAATTGGATGCTATTAGTTCGTTTTCTAAGATTTGTCTTCTGTTATAACGTTAATTCCTTGGGCAACTTTCTCGTGTCACCAATAGATGCTCCATTTGCAAGATGTCTTGATTGATATATTGCTTATAGTTCAATTTATCACACAATCTAAAAAACAAGGATCCAGAATCAAACCTTAAAGCGAGATTCACCTAAATGTGTGAGCAATGTAGAAATGGCATCAAACATATCTATGGTGTTTCAGAATCCAAGTCGTAATTAGAATCCAATTTACCTGGTATCTGAAGCTGCGAATGCAAGTTGGCAGAAACTTCACACATACCTCTTCCACCAATTCATTAAGCATCGCTCTGTCATGATGCAGCTATGTTTAAAGCATTAATGCCCACAGTGTAGAATTTATCAAGGCACATAATTTGTCTCTAATGTTTTTAATCTTAAAGCTTACGGCCGAGTTAAATATAGAGGGGTTGCAACAAAGAGAAATCTACCATAAAATAAATTGCCTGGTGATGTCATTAATTACAACTTGTATTAAAAAGAACATGAGACAATTAAAACAATGCAACCACCTTGAAAGCCTAGCAGCTGTGTGTTTTGATATTGACTAACACTTTAAGAACATCCTTTTTTTATACTGGTTAAAGATAATTTTCATAACAGCCCATTGTACAGAGTTAAAGTTTAACTCAACACGAATTCAAACTTTCGTATAGCATAGAATAAATCCTTTGGAATCGATTAATTTGGAACTGGATTTATCCTTTTCATGTTTTTACTCGTTTGCAATGCACAAATATGAATAAGGTCTACCTATTTTGGTTGTTTTTGTATTTCTGTTTGAGCTAAGGTCAAAGACAAGTGAAAATGCTCTTAAAATCATTTAGCTAGTAATATCTAAGAAATTAAGATAAACTTACCAGGCACTTTGATGGGTGGCAATCAATTCATGATGAAAAAACCGGACACATTTCTCAGTATTGCCTACAGCACAAAAATCATAAGCAAGAGAAAAAACCTGGCCCAAGTAGAATTTCATCAAAATAAAACCGATTTCTTGTAGAGGAACAATGAAGCTACGTTGTAGAAGAACAACGTAGAGGAACTTTTGCCATGTTCAGCTATCTATTGTGATTGCTAAAGAATTATCACAAACTTAAAATCCATGCGTTTACTTACAAAATAAAACTTTCTCAGGTTTTGGCGTTAAGTTGAAGGAATTTCTCTTAAAGAAATAATAAGTATGCTCCGAAGTTAATGACAAGGTCTTCAAATTGTGTGTTGAGTGTTCCAAACTAGCGACAAATATGTCCGGTTGTAACTTTCTATGAATCCCACAACGCTATCATCACTTTCTAAAACTAGAAATAGCTCTTGCTAGTACTGCCCGCAAACAATTAGTTCCTTGATAATGATTGTTTTGAAAATGTAGGTCAGGATATTCGAAGAAGACACCATCTTGGGTTTTCACAATTCTATAAAAACAGCTGCTCTAGTTGATGCTAAACTATTCTTTTTATCAAGAATTTTTGGTGTTCAGTTTGCCTTTGATTTAAGTCCAACGCCCTTTTGAAAATCATGAAGTTTTTCGAGGGTTTGACATTTATTTTTCGATAATCACGAAAATCATAACTTTTGCTCGTACGGTCTCGAGTTTTTGGGAGAAAAGTGTGGCATTCGACTGGTTTTGATTCCCAAAACTTCGAAACAAAACTTCCATCCATTGCGGAGAACAGAGCTGTGATGCAGCACCGTTTTCGTGCCAAAAAAACCGAAGGCCTTTAACAGAGTCTTGGCAGAGCAACGCTCCGAAGATAATTCCCTTCCGCACAAAGAGGTGGCGGTTAACGACCTCCTCGACAAAGCCGATTGATTGACAATGAAATTGATTGACAGTTGTCATGGCAGCAGAAAAGTGACAAAATCTGCTGAAAAAGTGCTGACAACATGAACTGAAGCTTCCATATGCTACTTATACGCGGGGCAGACTATAAGCCCTTCACTCGCGCGCTATCGCGCGCGAGTTGCGGGCAATTATAAATGTCTTGTTTTATTGACATAATTGCTCTTTTAGCATAATACTGCTTTTTAAGTCCAGTTTGATACCAAGCGCTCTGCGTGCATTGAAATGAAAATAATTTTGCTCCTATCGTCGCATAAAATTAATTGATGGGCCGAGATAGAATAATAAAATGTAGCAAAAACCGCATATGGCATTGCATGGCATCACCAACGTTAACAATTTAATAAGATTAGGTAAACAAACACCTACAACGCCATTAATACTGTGTAAAAAATAAGGACCGAGATACCGGGGGGCCCCCAAAAAAATCTTACGTTGCATAAGTGAAATGCTTTTATTTCGTAAAATATGGCTGTCATTACACTGATTTATCAGGACTGCCCCCTCAAACAAGAAGTTGTATCTCGATCTTTGGTAATAACTAAGCAATCTCTGCCAACCTAAAGGACGTGGAATATTGGCGTAGGTGACTTAATGGCTAGGGGGCTAGAATTTATCAAATTTCAAGCCCATTCGGGAAACTTCATCTCAATGAAGCAACAATATTCAGATAAGACCCAATCTAAGTCCCCCTCCCTAAATGTTAAATTTCCTCTACTTTTATGCACTGTCTTGAAAATTTCTTGTCGGACTGCAGCACCCATTCCATCCGGCGCCAAGGAGGTCCCAAAAAAAGGTTATTGGCAATTGAGAACTTAAATTTGGTTTGATTTGTGTAAATTTTATTTTAGATCTTTTGGATACATTTCTTGTTTCAATCGTTTCAGTTCTTTTCGGAAAATGCCGAACTTAATATGCAATAAAAATATATTTGTTTTATGTTATCAAAATCGTCCTTGTCGCTTCTTGTCACTCTTCTGGAAAGTTAGTCAGCCTCTTTTTCAACTATTGGCCTCGTGGTCCGTTGAACAAGATGGCTGAGAAAAAGCAAGAAGGGGATATTTCAGAAGAAAACGATTTACTCAAAATAACACCGCTGTGAGTCTACTCTTACGTCTACCTTTAAAAATTATAACATTAAGTATGGTCAAGTAATGTATTTGATATGGCTACCTGTTTAGTAGCCGTTTTCTTCTAGTGATGAGAAAAGTAGGCCATTTTGCGTGCAAAGCTTTATCAGTTCCTTTCCCCGCTTGTTGTCCTTTTTTATTTCATATTTAACTTTAAACATAAACAGAAGAAACTGTATCATCTATCATGCTGAAAAGATACAATTTTTAAGGTGGAAAATAAGCACACCATGAATTGAAACCAGTCTGCAAAATATGGCAGGTGCGCGCACGAGGTCTACTCAGCATAGCCGTTGCAAGCCGAAATATGAAATTGCACACCGAATCCAGAGATATTTATTTTGTTTACAGTCAGATAGTAAATAAGCTTTTGTTTACCATCTGATTGGCACAGATGAAGTTTGCGACAGAAAATGTGACTGAAACGAGTGTTCATGCACAAAATTTTATAAAGAACTAGCATGCTTTGCAAACTGACCATGGAATATTATTGTCGAATAATTGCTTCTTTTCAAGATATCAATTTATTTGGAAGCTTCCATGTTTCATTCTTAGTGAAGCCAAGGCTGATTTGTATCTGACCAAAGGTCCTTAAAAATAAGTTCCTTCATTCCATTCCTTCAATTTCATGCTGTATTTTTCTGTACATTTGCTTTACCATATTACCATATTCCAGAATGGTCCTTTTAAAGTGGGGAGGACATGATGTAATAAAATGGGTTTTGTCTGAATTGCACAAACTTCCAACATTTTCATTCAGCAAACAGTCGTACGAGCTTTAAAGTATACAATTTCTAAGATTATAATGGGTATAAAAAATTACATTTAACAATTTTAGGATAGCTAGCTAAACGTTGCTAAGGTAAACCCAAAAAGTTTTCATCCCAAGTGCACAGATTGCCTTCACTGGCATCTTGTCACTTAATTGTGATTTTTGTCATTCAAAATATCGTGTCAGTGAATTTGAGATTGCAATACTACTAAAAAAAATAGGGCTAGTTAGGATTTTGACATTGGGGAGGCTTACAAATTTTTTATAAACATAGAAATGGCTTTATTAAAAATAGAATACATAGGTAACGTACAAATATTGCAAACTAACAAAGTCATGGAAGAGAGTGTTAAGGGGCAACATGTGCTCGTTTTCAAACTGAGTACATGTGCACATTGCCATTTATACACTATGCATATTTATTCTTCAATTTGCAAACATTTTGGTTTTCGGGCCCTCTAGAATATTGAGGGGTTATCTGTCTAAAGCAGTTACATTGTGTAATACCCTTTAAAATCTCTTTTCAAGAAGAAAGTTTATGATTTTTTTGCATTTTGAATATGTCTGTAAGTGTATATGACCCAGTCTTATTGAAATGAGTTTTTCTACAGTGGATCTGGCCAAGAAGTTGGTAGATCATGTCACATATTGGAATTCAAAGGAAAGAAAGTCATGGTAATTTTTTTAACATTCTTCCTTATTGTAGAATCCAGTCTTTGTAATATGAGGCGTGCGATCGCACGCGCACGCCTCCACACACCCGCAAATTGTCCAAGGCGTGCTAATCATCGCACGCGCAAAACAAAGAATTTGCCATTTTTTTTAAATTGCTTATGTTTCGAAGATTTTCAAAGCAGCGGTAACTCAAAGTCGCCAAAGTCGGTTCTGTCGTTGTCCAAGGTGTTGTTAAAGTATTCCCATACGGGATTTATCAATAGCGTCAAAAAGATCGCTTAACAGTTAATACGACAAGATCGCTTAAAAGTTGACCCAAGGGGGATTGATCTGCAATCAACACCTGGTGCTTACTGTCAAAACCCGGCAATTTAAATTTTCGATCCAAGAGATTTTTTCGCTGTTCGATTGATTATTCTGTTCTTCGGTAATCATGGCGAAAAGAAACAAAGTGGAGCTGGCAACATTCATTGGGTGGGGAAAGAACGAAATTGTCGGTTTCAAGTCGGAAAAGGACGATGCTACTTCGATGATGCTGATGGAGTATTTAGTACGATGAAGTGGTTTGATCAAAAGCAATGGAACGGCAACAATGATTACAGGGTCCCAGAGATCACTACTTTTGCAGCTATTTTCAAAACCCCCCTCAAGGAATGGAAGTCATTCAAAAAATACGTACAATATAATGCTTTTGGGATTGAAGCAAGAAAGCTGTGAAAAATACGCTTTCTTACAGGGCAGACGAGTACCCCAACCTGTGCATTCTGGCAAAGATAATGGTTGCATTATCTTGCTCCAATTCATCGGTAGAGAGAGCATTCAGTACTCTCGGCATATTATTGTCAGATAGAAGATTGCGAATGTCACACAGGGTTATGGAGATGAGACTTCGCATCGCAGTCAATGAAATTATATGGACTGACGAAGAAAGGGAGAATATTTTGAAAAGGGCAACGGAGATCTATCTTTCGAAAAGCAGAAAGCGAAAGCTGGATAATTGCAACAGTTTATCGAAGAAACCAAAGCTAGATAAGGAGGAGGAAGCTGAAGAAAGCTCTGATGAAGAAAAGTGACGGTGGCTCTACTTATTTTTAAATTATTTTAAAATTGTTTTTGTGCTCAAAGAAAGTGTCTTCATTTCGACGCTTGTGTCATTTCTCTACCCATTTTTTCTCATTTGATTGTTAGCTCAATTCCAAAGGAATACCGATTCAACGGTAAGATATTTTTTATGAATATCCGCTAAGATATCCGTTATGTTAACGATGCTACTGCAGTCAGTGACGCTGCATGGCAATATCTTGACGGATGGTAGGATCTACGGGTAATAGAATTTTTTTTCAATCCAGATTCCTTAAGTGACTAATTAAAATTAACATCTTTAAAAAAAGAACAAGAACAGTTTCTCCGTTAATTACCTTGGTTTCCGTTCAGTTTATAACTCAAAAGGTCTCCTAAAAAGCAGCACCCAGTTTTTGACAACAGGGATGAGAAACAACCGATAAAAAGCGGTTCGCATCGCACGCCATCGCACGCGCAAAGTAATCAAGGCGTGCGAAATGCCGCACGCGGCAAATTTTGATATTACAAAGACTGAGAATCAGTAGCTGTTCATAGATTCATAGAGTATATTTTTCCTTGTGAGAACCAAAATGAGTTTGCTAATGTATTTTGCTTGTGTATAGCAACTCACAAAAGATGAAAAAGCTGAATATTACTATAAACCTAACCTATATAGCTATTCCATAATCTATATAGCTATTTCTAGTTTTAATAACAATAGTGCTACTGCTGGTGTTGCAATTGGGCAGTAGCGTCTTTTTAGATGGTGTTTTTGTGATATCAGCCATAGACTTTTGAACCAGGGACACAGGGGGCATATGCCTCTGGTTTTATTAATAAAGGCCAAAAATTATCAAAAGCAAAATGAATGTTGCAGGGCCTGCACCACTGATCCTAAATTGGAGGGACCAACTGTGCCTGAAAATTTCCTCTTACCTTCTCTAGCCCCAACTGTGGCAAATATTTTCCTGGTGCTGTTTTACTTATGGACTTTGGTTCAATTTATTTGTTGTAATCTACAGATTTATCTATCTTAAATAATTTGAGTTTATTTTAATCTTTTACATCACAAAAAGTGGGGAGGCGTTAGCCCCCCTGGTCACCCCTGTGCCACAGGCCCTGTGTTGTTGTTTACAATAGAACTGCAAAACAAAACATGTGTAAGTTAGTTGTTGCTTACTTTGCAGATATGCCTTTTTTCATTAATCTATTTTTGTTTGTAGCTGGACTGTGGAATTCACCCAGGGTACACCGGGCTGGATTCCTTGCCATTCATTGATGAAATTGACCCAGCTGAGATAGATTTACTTCTTATAAGCCAGTAAGTACCATTGCAATCAGTTCTTGTATTGTGAAATGCCATTATCCCTCATCTATGCTATAAAACTTACATCTCAAGTCATTGCAAAGTTGAGAGTTATGGCAAAATAAGCCCATTCAATTGAACACATTTCATCCACATATGCCATAACTTTCATTCTACTGTTTTGAATCCAGAATAATGTCCAAAGAACAAGCAGGAAACAAGAACAATTAACCCTAATAAAAAATGAATGAAGTTTTTATCATCTAGCGTTTGCAAGCATCTCAAAGAAGTTTCACAAGTCACTTTTCATTTCAGTTTTCATTTGGACCATTGTGGTGGACTGCCATGGTTTCTAGAAAAGGTATCTTAAAACAAGCATTCAAATGGTTGATGTCAAAAGCACAATAATTGATGGAATAACTATGTGATAAAAATTTGTGTGATTAAAGATTATCCAATCATACTGATATTCTTGCACTACTTTTGTATATATGATACTTATAATAATTATTTGCAAGGCAACTAACTTATCTATTTGTGAAACCAATCTAGCATTATAAGTTATCACCCACATAAGCCCTGCTGCTCTCCAGGACTTTCTTTTTATGTAGCTGAATTCAATAGACACTTAGAAAATCTTTGGTTAGGGATCAGTAAATCTTGCAGTAAATCTTACCATAGTTTTTTCTACTTTCGACAGTTAATAAGATTTCCAAAACTTTTTTTGAGTTGACAATTATCAATATAGTAATATAACTTAGCTATGATTACCTGACTAGTTTGAATTTGTCAATTTCTAAGAAAAGAGCCTGAAACCTTTGCTTAAAATAGGTCTTAGAGGTAAAATGTAATTTTTTATTTGTTTTCCATGGCAATATTTTTTTAATTTCATTATTCAGACACATTTTAAAGGCAGAGTTTTCATGACTCATGCAACAAAAGCTATTTACAGGTACGATTTTTAGACTTCAATTTGTCTGTATTTGTCTGTATTTTAGTGTGCTAATTTGTTTGAACTGTATATCAAAATTTTTCACAAGTCAAATTTTGCTGCACTGAATGTAGACGTTAATGTATAAAATTTTTTCGGTTCGCTTGAAAAGATTGGTTTTTTCTTATTTAACGCCTCTTTGAATCTATTCTTTTACATATTGCCCTTCATAACCTGTGCTTCAATTTATTTACCAGCCAATTGTTCAGTTTCCTATCTGATTGATATTCCTTTTTTTATTTCGTAGATGGCTGTTGTCAGATTACATCAAAGTTAGGTAAGAAAGATTTAAAGAAAAATATTTGAAATTGAGTACTTGAAGATTTTATTCAATTTGTTTTCATATCAGAAAGATGAATATTTACTGACTAAACAGTTTGTTTTAATATCTTGTTGGGAATTCAGTCGTTTTCTTATGTTCCTAGTATTGCTACTTGTAGCAGGCAAATATTGCGTTTTTTGCTGTACCCCATTTTATGATCCAACTAATTGCATTAATATTTAATCCTAGTAATGATCTTCTTAATTGTCTTTTGTTCATTTTTAGTAACATATCTGCAGATCATATGTTATACTCAGAAAAGGATCTTGAAAAAAGTATGGATAAAATAGAGACAGTTCATTTTCATGAGGAGAAGGAAGTAGGTGGTGTAAAATTCTGGTGTTACAATGCTGGACATGTTTTAGGAGCTGCAATGTTTATGATAGAGATTGCAGGAGTAAAGGTTTGTTAAATCATGTTTATTTTCTTCTCATAGTTTTTGTTTTTTTATTATCAGCTATAGACTTTGAGAGGAAAAATTTTCTCCCTTTTTCCCTCAGTTTGATGTTTAAATAATAAAATCTTTTCAATGAGGAAAGTTTTGTCATCAATTTTTCCAAATTTCTAAAATTTTCCAGTAACATCTGTTTGCCTTTGTGACTTTCTTTGCATGCTTTATTTGTTTTGAAGACGTTTCCGTCTTTCTTTTTCAGATTTTATATACTGGAGATTTTTCAAGACAAGAAGATAGGCATTTGATGGCAGCAGAGATACCTAGTGTTAGGCCAGATGTTCTCATTATGGTATGTCATATTACCATGATGGTTTATCCATTACTGTGTTTGTATTTACGTGTTTATTTGTATATGTGATTTCTCGTCAGTTGATTAAATTTAACTGAAAGCTTAATAAATCAGCATCTTTATGTTATTTATCTCGTTTCGTAGGAATCAACTTATGGAACTCATGTTCACGAGAACAGGGACGAACGAGAAAAGCGCTTCACAAGTATGTTTACATACAAAGTCAAGTGATTATGGTTTTTTAAGTCTATAAAGAGGGCCTACTGAGGGCTTTTATAAAAATGACGATACAGTTTAATGTTTAAATAAAAACGACGACTTTCTGTTAATCAAGCACAGCCGATCAATATAGTTTTAACAAGCAATTTTAAGTTTTATTATTTGTTTTCTACTTTCTAAAAAATGGGCAATCACATTACCTTGCTTTCGTGACTTTCTTTCCGTTTAGATGTTTAAGTTTTAGACGAGTAAGGATCCTCGAATGGCATTGGTTACTACAGCATTCAGATAAGAGTCATTTAAGAATCAAAGCATTTTGCGATTTTCTTATATGAGAGTAACACAGAATGAACAGATTTTAAAGATATTTGGTTAGATTTGATCCATAAATCATGCTTGTCATTTATTCAAGTTAATTGGGGTCTGTATTATTCTTTCAGGTACTGTCCACGAGACAATCAACCGTGGCGGACGTGTTTTGATCCCTGTTTTTGCTTTGGGAAGGGCGCAAGAGCTGCTGCTTATTTTAGGTGCGTTTCAAAGTTCTTGTTATTATTATATAGTATCTTCTTCCTGTAAGAATTTGATCGAAGAGTCATGCGTTCTGTCTTATCCATTCCTATTGTGCTCACGTGATATTTGAGAATCACGTGATCAATGCCGACATCACGACTGATCAATGCCGATATCACATAATATTCCCGGGAATAATTGCATACAACAATGCTGTGTTTAGTTGCATATGTTTTATTTTTTTTATGACGTATAGATAAGTTCAGATGTGAAAACTCATTCATTTAGGTGGTTACGGTACTATGCTATATATAATTCATACTGGACGTTTCTGAGCTTTGTATAATAGGACGGTTCTAAGTTACAGCTCCGAGTTTCACGCTTAATGCCATTATCAGGTAGTTAATTGTTCTTTATATCAAGTACAGCGTGTTTACTTTCTCGATACTAGGTGTATGCCCATAACACTAAGCTAGCACAGCTCTGTCTACGTGGCATTGAGCACCCTCCATCACCCAGATTAACAGTAAGATTCATTTCTGTTCTCTTCCTATCATCTTCAGATGAATATTGGACCCAACACCCAGAGATTCACGATGTTCCAGTTTACTATGCTTCTTCGTTGGCCAAAAAATGCATGGCAGGTAGGTAAAGTGCTATTTCTTCCTTAGTTGCTCTCAGCAAACAGTCTAATTCTTGATCCCCTCTCAGCTGAAGTATGACAATTTTGATTGAAAGGGTCTAAAAAACGTGACGTGACAAAAATTCATGAAGCCAGCATGATACTGAACAAACTGTTCATTAATTTCAACTTACAAAAAACAATGAGAAATTTGTATTAAACAAATTCTGAGTTTCTCGTCATACGATCGAATTATACGATCAAAATCGATCAAAATCACAATTAGTTGAAATGCTGAATTCCTTTTATTTATCAAGTAATGATTTATCTGCGTTTATCACGAGCAACAAATGCTGAATTACATTTCATTCTTATTGTTGTCCTATTATGATGGTATGTTGATTATATAAATACAAGAATATCGCTCGTTCCATGGAAATATCACACATTATCAAATAATTTTTAAGAACTTTCTCTTTACCAAATAATTGATTTTGTTTCTCCACAGTATACCAAACCTACATTGGTGCCATGAATGAAAAAATTCGTAAACAGGTATAGCTGTCGATTTTATTTTGTTTGCTTGGCTAGAAGAGAAGTTCATATTTGTAATAATTTGTTTCATATATATAAGCTATTGAATTTTATTTGTTTCATATATACGATCTGCTATAAATAAAGTATAAACAGATGTTTCGCTGATAAATCTGCTTTTAAATAGCTAGACAATTTTCGTTATCTATTGCTACTCTTCTCTAAGCTTTGTATAAAGGAGAATTAGAAGATGTTTAAATTGTTATGTGTTGTGAAGGATTGCACCCTAGGGTTCTGAAGAAGTTCAATTGCAAGCAAAAAGTGTTCTAAGTGAAATTTTATCGCTGATGTTTTTTAGCTGCTCATATAACGCTTTCAACATACAAAAAACTTTGTTTTCAAAATGAACTAATGTAAACAAACTTTGTTTTCTTTTTATGATTTTTTAAGTATTTTCTGCAACTGTCTTCTTTTTCCAGATCAATGTTTCAAATCCGTTTGTCTTCAAACATATTTCAAATCTAAAAGTAAGTTTTGTCTAAAAAATTACCTTTATAATTCAGTTTTCTTTGTCTATTTCGTTTCCTTTTGATACATTTTTATGTTACCTATATTCACAGAAATGGATATCGTTGGCTCGTATATTTCTGAAGCTCGATATTAATATTAAAATCCTGAAGCATGAAAAGGCATGCGATATAAGGATGGCTTTTTGTAATCAATCCCATTGAATGTCAGGATTAATGCCGATTACCATTATTTATCAAGGCATATGTAACTCCATCACGTGAAGGGTAGCTAGCTGCATTTATGAGCACATAAGCAAGAGCACTTCTAAGAAAATCTCGTGTAAATGCTTCCTGATTTTCTTTTAATCGATATGGTCTGCCATACGAACTCCAGGGAATCACCATGGCTGCAGAAACGAGATCAACCAATCGAGATTGTTCTCTGCTTTTTACTTTTTGGCATGTCTTTAGATATTTAAGTATTGAAATCTGGGAGAGTATTTGAAATTTAGTTTTTTAGATTTATATTATTTTAAGTATTCCCCTTCTTTACTCACCCAACATTAGAGTATTGATCAGTTCGATGATATCGGACCCTCTGTTGTGATGGCAAGTCCAGGAATGATGCAGGTTGGTTACCTTTGTTATTAAATCTTTTTTGCTTCAGAGAAGGAAAAACCTCTAATATGTTTCCACAGAAAAGTGGAAACAGACCTGTTTGGTGTCTAGCCGTTATAACGATTAGAGGTATAATTTTCCGCTAGCAAGGGAGTACATGAATATAGGCTATTTTCTGAGATTTTCGATCAATGTTAAAGGCAAATTCCTCAAAGTACACGAAAATGCAAACTTGTTTCCATGGTGATGCAAACCTGTATCTTTTTGGAGTAGTTTCTCAGTTTCAGAAATCCCAGAAAGCGTCAGCGTGCATATTGTATGAGCTTTCAAGCTCCCTTCCAGTGCAAGTTGACATCTTGAGGTTTTCCTTGCAAATAGGCCATTTAAAAACGGCTACGTTCTAGATACGCTGTACCTTTGTGAAATCATTTGCTGCAAGGTCTGTTATACAGGAACATTTGAAAAATAATTTTGAAGTCATTTCAGTCACTGGCTTTTTGGGCCAAGGATTTTAAAAGACCCTGTATGGTGTATGACAAATTATACTTAGGTAACTCGGTACATTTATGAACCATAATTGAAAAACAACACACACGATCAAAAATATATCGATCGTGTATATAATTGTTCGTGTATGTGTGTTTTTAATCATGGTATATAAATGTACTGAGTTACCTAAGTATAATTTTGAAGTCATTTTGCTATTTGAAGTCCTTCGAAGACTAAGCTTAAGACCTTCTTTATTAAAATGACCAGTCTGTCTTGTAATGCTCTTTTTTAGGGTATTCCCTATTTAACGTTTTCTTCGAGCAAGGATGCAAGTTTCCAGATTATATTTCCCATCAACTCCTTTTGGCAGCTACAAAGTTGATTTGAAATCATTGCTAATCATACCAAAAATATCTTTCAGAGTGGATTATCAAGAGAGCTTTTCGAAACCTGGTGTGCAGATAGAAAAAATGGTGTGATCATTGCTGGCTACTGCGTCGAAGGAACATTAGCCAAGGTTTGTTTAAAATTCATGTTGAAAACGTCAAATGTTAATCTTTACTTCATCTATCAATTTATCAAACAACAGATCTTTACAATCAATAATTATCCTGATCATGCTCAGATCACAATGGCCAAAAGCACTCTCTTCCTTTCTTTACTTTAACTTTTGGCTTCAATATTGTATTTTTTTCTAGTAAATTTCGAACAGGGTACTGCTTGAAATAGTATTTTTACAATGTTTGCAATGCTTTAAAGATATCATGTGTATTGTCATGAGAAGTATAGGTAGATATACATTTTGTAGTTTGAACAAGACTCTTTAAGGAAACACATAATCAAGAAAGTCTCAAGTATCATAATAGAGGCAACGAAGTTTGATGCTTTTATTCGGTTTTTGGATGCCGGGGTGAAGTAGGAGCTGAATCGTTGGGGAGGGGGGGTGGAGGGGTATTATTAAGATGCACCGAAATCTGAGAGGCTTTTATTCGGTTTTGGATGCTGGGGTGGAGTAGAAGTTGAATCATTGGGGGGGGGGGAGGTGAGAGGTATTTATCATAGATTGCACCGAAATCTTGCGCTTTATCGGTTTTGATGCCGGGGGTGAAGTAGGAGGTTGAAATCATTGAGGGGGGGGGGGGGGGGTCATCATAAATGCACCGAAATCTGAGGCTAAGTACTTTAAGATAGAAATGCCGACAAAAGTGCTAAGTTGTTTGGAAATGTTTTTGTTTTGTAATAAACAGGGACAGTTATATCCGGTTTTCTTTAGCTTTAATCCCATATTTTGCTATAAGCTATTTCTATATTAAATAGGACTTGATGCGAGAACCAGAAGAAATTGTTACAATGTCCGGTCAAAATCTGCCGCTGAAGATGCAAGTCAGTAAGTGAACCAATATCGTGTCTATTATTTCAAAGCTCTTCCACTTTTTCTTATGATGTTAATTTATCATTACAATTTATATTGTTATATATGATGTTTTTCTAAAAAAACAAACATTTGAGTAAACTAAAGTTTTTCGCCTGACACTCTTTCAGAGTTTAAAACGTCAGAACATAGATCGAAAACTATACGCTAGGAAAATTATATACCCAGTCGTGGATCGAAAAAGGCCAATCAGAAACGCGAGCACACGACTGTTGAGGTTGCCCAATCAGTGCCGCTTGCCTATTGAGAATGTTATCAATAGAGTCCTAAGGTGAAAACGAACTCCTGTTGTCTACACAATAGCGGTTTTTTGTGTTTATGTAGATAGATTCTAAAACTGCTAGGTGGAATGACGATCGTGCTTTACCAATAATCCGAAATATGTCGCCATTATAGTTTTTTACACAATCTGGGTTTTCCAGTAAATGCTGCCCGATAGCGGAATAGTGACTTTTTGATATATATAATATTTTGCTGTGTTGGAAAACTGTCCAACGCTGCATAAGGAGATTAGATGTTTTTGTTCTTGATAATGCGAGCATTTTTCACGTGATCGGATGTGATTCTTGTGCAATATGCAAGTGCATTGGTGGACAACCGAGATGTGCATAGGCTCAGTACTAGTAGGCCCTATCTACTAGGTCATTGCTTTATTAATGCTTTTTTCATATTAATGTAAATATTTCACATGGCATTTATTAATATACCAATTATCTCTTACTCTGTAACAAACGTCCTCTTTATTGACAGGCTACATCTCCTTCTCTGCTCACGCCGATTACGAGCAGTTAAACGAGTTTGTGAATATCCTCAAGCCACCGCATATTGTAAGTGCATCTTACCTCTTTTCAATTTTCAGTTTTCCATTGTAACTCATCTTATTATCCTTTTCAGATGAAGAAAATGACGCCCCTTAAAGCTGTTGTATAAAAGCTGAGAGATTGTAATGATTTGTTCAGCTTAAATGCCTGCTCAATGATTGCAAATTTTCGCTGTTCTCAAAGGAACGAAAATTTTCAGTGTAGGAATTACAAAATATTCCAGAAGAAAAATGTGCAATTTCATCTTTTTCAAATGTAATTAGTTTTAGTGATGTTTTGATGGCCTAAATCCTCGTGAATCTTGCATTTAGATTCAAACAGGTTTCTCGCTCTATGGTTTTAAGATTGATATGATAGTTTTATTTTCTCTCTCGTTTTAGGTCCTTGTCCATGGGGAACAGAACGAAATGAGTCGATTGAAGGCAGCCTTAATCAGGGACTTTGATGAAAAGGGGGTATGTTTGCAAATTTATCGTCTTCATTCATCATTTGTTGCTTTTTGCAAATTGTAAGTTTGCGATGTGAAAAATGTTTGATGTTCAATTTGTAATCTACGCTTGAGGGATGTGAGAGCAAACTAAATCTACACTGTTCGTCTTTGAAGAGCAAGAATTTGCTTTCATGTTAGGTTCGTTATTAGGCAATAGAATTAATGGCAATGAAATATGTCTTTAATGGCAATGCTGTGGACTGTAAAATATTTTGATTTACATCTTATGATGCGTTCACAGCTATTGTATGTTTAGTATGTATAATAACAGCTTTTAGCAGAATTTGTAGAGGAAAGACGTGCCATGTTTTGGCTCCAATTGGTTGATTTATTATAAAATTGGTGATTGACATTGTGAGGCACGTTTGATCATAAACTCGGTGGAGTAATTTACCTTATCAACTTTCTAGCTGAGTCACATTCAAGTTTACAATCCGAAAAATGTTCAAAGTGTACAGCTGCACTTCAGAGGGGAGAAAATGGCAAAGGTAAGGCTCTTTCTTTGGTGTTTAGGGTGGGGGATATAATTCGGATTTTGATAATGTCTTCAAAGTTTAAAGAAGGGTTGATGGAGCCTCTACTTTTTTTGCTATTCCATTGATTGATATACTTGGACATTTGTTTATGATAATATGTGAGAATGGCATGGTGCCATTGATTACTTGCCTCGATGAATGTTAAGTTTTGCAGCTGAAGTAGGCTGTTCTTATGCTTCATCAAAACTAGCTTAAATGCTCTTCATTGTGTCGTGAAGTTGAGTATTATAGCTCTTATTTTTAAGTTATAGCAAAACCTTTAGGCTGTAATATTTTTCTTTATTTAATGTTGTCTCTAATAAAGGTATCACCTATTTGTATTTTATGTTAGGTTATAGGAAGTTTAGCGTCCGAACAGCCAGCAAATGGGAAAAGTATATCTGGCCTTCTTCTAAAGAGGGGGTTCAATTATCATATCATGTCCCCAAATGATCTGCAAAGTAAGTATTTTATTGAATTTGTTGTCTATGAATCATACTCATTAAGGACTTGCATTTATGAATTTGTTTTTATTTTCATTACTAAGCACAACTATAATTGGTACCACCTGGACAGAAGAAAACGACTCGAAACTTCTAGAACGCTGGCATCCTGCTGCGACTATGAACGTATTGATAGAAAACAATGAATATATTAGACATGCTGAGTAGACACTTAATAAAAAAGAACAATAAGCTTCGTAATGAACTAATTATAGAAATGTTGCGTCATTCCTTTGTATTTCGTAAAGCGGCATTCCTTTGTAACTGCTTGACCTATTAATTCCCGTGATTTCTTGTTTATTCTGGAACTTTCCATTTAAAATGTATAAAAGTAGCATTTGTACGATTTGAGTAGTAGTTATTAGTTAGTTCGATAGTTAGTCTTTACGCTCTTCGACGATAGACGATTATTATTAAGACTTATTATTGCTCTCATAATCGGAGAGTTATTTTTCTATGATCAATCTTCGGATCATAATTTGGTAGCAGAGGGTAGTTGAGTTCAAGTCGTTAATGATAATCATTAGAGGAAAATGGCTGGAAAAAAGAAGGGCCGTAAAGAGAAGAATAAAGAATTAGAGGAAGACGAACAATCAATGAATTTTCGAGCTGAAATATCGAAACTGAAAAGGAAGAAAGCTGTGGAAAAATCATCGTTCACTCGCATCAAGCATCAACTAATCGAGTCCATTGCCGAAGATGAGTTATCTAGTCAAAATGAAGTACGAAGCCTGAGAGCAAAGCTGTCTGATCAACAAGAACAGGTAATCAACGTGCTTGTTGAACTATCACATCAATACGAAAAATTTAATGATAATGAGAATGTAGAACTCATCAACAACGAGATTGAAGAGATTAATAACGAATTTGAAAAAATCATGAAAGATGCAAATGGGTATCTCGCAAGTCACAAAGGAGATGGATCCAGCATTGGGACAAGAGTGTCAAGTAAGATGAGTCAGCTCTACGTCAGTGAAGCTAGAGCCCGTGAACAAGAAAAACGTGTCAGAGAAGAGCTCCAGGCTAAGGAACATATACTGCGACAAAAGCAACAACAATTGGAAGAAAAATACAGAGCTGAAAAGACCAGGCTAGAACAAGAACTGGCAGCCCAAAAAATAAAGCTACAAGAAGCTTCAAAAAAGACAAAGCAATGTCATCAGCAGCTTGAAACAGAGATCGAAACGGAACTTGGTATGGACCATGGAGAAGCTGATAATGAAACGGCAAGTTTTATGATAGAAAGACCTTGTGTAAATGCATATAATCGTAATGTATACGAACAAGAGGCTCAAAGTGCAAGGCATATTAACAGTAAAGCTGCAGATATCGGACAAGATCTGTGGAAACAGCTAAAACGAGTGTCAATTCCAGTGTTTTATGGTGACAAAAAGACGTATGAGATGTGGAAAGCAGCATTTACAGCCTGTATAGATCAAGCACCTGCTACTGCTGAATACAAGCTACTACAATTGCGTCAATATCTTTCTGGCGAAGCGCTTAGTGCAATTGATGGTCTGGGTCATTCAGCATTCGCCTATGAAGCAGCAAAAGAAAGACTTGAAAGAAAATATGGTGGGACAAGACGGAAAGTGATGATCTACCTGGACGAACTGGACAACTTCAAACCTATCAGAGAAGATCATCCGAGAGATATAGAAAGGTTCGCAGACTTATTGGATGTAGCAGTTACTAACCTTCGTGAAGCAAAACTAACAGAAGAACTTGGTAGTGGAACTTTGTACCACAAGTTGTTGAGAAAAATGACTGAGAAAATGCTGTCAAGATTTAAGCGCTGGGTTTACGAGCATCAAAAGAATGAAGATGTTGAAACGCTGCGACAGTTTATTATTGAGGAAGCAGAATTTCAAGTAGCAGCCGCAGAAACAATTCACGGCTTTCATAAGAACATGGTTACAAGACCCAAAAACTCTAGCAGTTCATTCTTTGGAGCAGATGACCGATCAAAGAAGTTGAAATTCTTGAGGAAATGCTACGTTTGTCAAAATGATCATATGATATGGGACTGCAGTGCCTTCAAAAGCAAAAAAGTGAACCAGCGATGGGAAATTGCAAAGAAGCAGAAGCTTTGTTTTAAGTGTTTGAGAAGCAACCACCTGGCAAGAGCATGCAGAAATAGTCGAATTTGTGGTATCGACGGGTGCACTGATACACATAATCGTCTCCTTCACAAGAACAAAGAGGATGTGGTTGACAAAGTAAAGACAAGAGAAACTGAGAAAGGGCATGAGGGGGAGTCAGTGGAAAGTTCCCATACTTCAACATTGTCTAAAGAAAAACAAGATGAAGTAAAGTTTGTGTCACTAAGAACTGTTCCAGTTGTTTTAAAGAATGGCAATAAGAAGATTGTGGTTAACGCTCTGTTAGATGATGGAAGCACGAAAACCTATCTAAATAGCGATGTGGCAACAGAACTGGACTTGAAAGGTGAACGGCAAAATGTAACAGTCAGTATGCTTAATGGTGTAGCTGATTCTCTTGAGACAATGCCAGTTGAATTTCAACTTGAGTCCTTGGATGGAAAGCTGAAAACGCAGATCCAGGCATTAACAGTCAACCGAGTTACAGGCAATTTGAGAGCTGTTAATTGGGTAAAAATGGCAAACAACTGGAAGCATTTAAAAGATATCAAATTTCCCAGTGTTGGACCAAAGCCAACGATTGACATCTTAATTGGTGTGGACCATGCTGATCTTCACTGTGCACAGAGAGAGGTAAAGGGGAAAGCAAATGAACCAGTGGCCCGGCTGACACCACTTGGGTGGACTTGTGTAGGTGATTGCAATGGGCAAGTTATTTCAACCAACTTTGTGATGTCACCAAAAGACGACAGAGAATTGATAAAGATAAACAGTACGATTAGAAAGTTATGGGAGATTGAAGGGGATGAAAGTATAAAAGACAAGACATTGATGTGCCCTGAAGACATTGAAGCACTGGAAATGGTGAAGAACTCATTGGAATACCATGATGGAAGGTATGAAATTAGAATACCATGGAAAAAGGAAAGAAAACTTGATGACAATTACGAAATGGCTTTGAACCGATTAGCAAACACGGAGAAGAGACTTTTGAGAGACATACAGCTGGGTAATAGCTATAATGAGATTATACAGCAATATCTACGAAAGGGATATCTTGAAAAAGTCGACAAAGAATCTGGGAAAGATTGCTGGTACTTGCCACACTTTCCTGTTCTACGTCCTGATAAAGCAACTACCAAGGTGCGCATTGTCTTCGATGGGTCAGCAAAATACAATGGCATGTCTGTCAATGATGTAATTCACCAAGGACCGAAACTTCAACAAGATTTGGTGAAAGTACTCTTGCGATTCCGGAAGCATCCAGTTGCCTTGGTTTGCGACATAGCCGAAATGTATTTACAAATTGGAATACATCCAGATGACCGGCAGTATCAAAGAATTTTGTGGAGGAACATGGATCAAACTGCTGAGCCCGACGTGTTACAATTCAACAGAATGGTATTTGGAATAAATTCGTCACCCTTTGGAGCTCAATTTGTGTCACAAGAACATGCAAGAAGAAGTGCAGAAGAATTGCCAATGGCTGCAAGCTCAGTGTTAGATTCAACTTATATGGATGACACAATGGATTCAGTGACTGATGACGAAGCAGGTATCAAACTATACACGGAACTGTCAGAACTTTGGCACTCAGCCGGTATGTATGCAAGAAAGTGGCTATCGAATTCAACAGCAGTATTGAAGGTCATCCCAGAGACAGATCGTGCAGAAAATATCGACTTGGATGCTGGAGAATTACCGTCAGTGAAAACACTTGGGATCGTGTGGAATGCTCAACGAGATGTGTTCACGTACAAGTCTGTCAAACAAGCTGAAGGTACGACATATACAAAACGTTTTTTATTAAAGGAAATGGCAACGCTCTTTGATCCATTGGGATTCATTTCGCCATATGTCATCCGTATCAAAGTCATCATGCAAGAATTATGGTTACGTGGACTGAATTGGGATGATGAACTTCCTGGTAATGTGGTAACGAAAATAAAAGCATGGTTTCATGAGTTGGAGAAATTGCCATTGATTCAAATTCCAAGATGCTTAAGGACGACGTCATTAGTAACAAGTCAGTTCATCCATGTGTTTACGGATGCATCTAGTGAAGCATATGGTGCAGTTGCCTATCTACAGTCTGTTTACGAGTCAGGGGAATATTCTTCTCGTCTTATCATGTCCAAGGCAAGAGTTGCTCCTTTAAAATCGATAAGCATCCCAAGACTGGAACTGCTAGGAGCTGTTCTCGGATTAAAGTTGGCAGACAAAATAGCTGACGCTTTGAAAATGGAGTTACAAGACGTGAGATTCTGGAGTGACAGTATGAATGTGTTGTGGTGGATAAGAAATCAAAGTCGAAACTTGAAGCCGTTTATTGCAAATCGGGTTGGATTGATTCAATCAAGAACTGAAAACAGTCAATGGAGATACATTCCAACGAAGAAAAATCCTGCTGACTTACTAAGTAGGGGACTATCCGTGACAGCTTTGGTGCAGAATGAAAGTTGGTGGAATGGCCCCAGTTTCCTGTACAATCCTGAAGAATCTTGGCCAGA